TTTTTGGAAACTACTGAAGACATTTTTTATTTTGACAGGTTTTTCCATCTTGGTGTAATAATAAGAATAATTTTATTATTTATACCCCACCCATCTGGCTGGGTTTCCCCAGCCACTTCATTAGGCATTGATTTTGTATTGTTTAAAAAACCTGTATCTGCCCCTTTTCGGGTATTGTTTTAAAATTGGTTTTGATTGTTGTTACGGTATGTTCGTAAATAGCCTTGACACTGATTTGAAAGGCTATTCAGAAATGGATGACAAGAATACAATACTTTGTGCTTTTGCACAGAATGTTTTCAGAGTGGCTTGCTCCCAGCTGACTTTACTTAGGTAACTTTATCTGCAGCCTTGACAGTCCATCACTCCATCCTTGAAGTGGGGGACTATTGCTCACAGGGACAAATGAAGCTGCCTTGCACTGAGTCAGACCATCTAGCTCAGCATTGTATACTGGTTGTGGTTCTTCAGGGTTTCATGGAGGACTTTCTTGCAGACCTTCCTGGGGATGCTGGGAACTGAACCTGGGGCATTCTGCCTGCAAGGCAGATGCTGTATCATAGAGCTATGGCCTTCCGCATCTTTTGGTTCCCAAGCTTCTCTTCCTCCAGCCCAGCTTGCGGTCCCTAACCTCTGGGTGAAAGGATGGAAGGAAGGAGGGGTGCATGGGTGGCACACAAAGAGGAAGCACAGACAAGCTCATTTAGCTCCTCACCTTCCTAAGTGATTGCTTATGAGTGGTAGACCCCTGCCATATGGAATATTGCACTTTGCACATGCTCAAGGCACTCAGGAGGTAGAACCAAAGGAGGGTAGTGGGTGGAATCAGAGGATTCTTTTTTTAAGGGTGCCATCAAAGCTACAATTTTGGGAGTGTGAACTATTGCTATATATTAAATATGTGCAAATAAGAGAAGACTGAGAGGTGATATGAGAGTGATCTTCCATTATTTGAAGGGCCGTCACATGGAAGATGGAACAACCTAGCTTTCTGCTGCTCCAGAGGGTAGGACTCAAATCAATGGATTCAAGTTTCAAGAAAGGAAATTCCAACTAAACATTAGGAAGAACTTTCTGTGGGAATGTTCAGGGATGCAGGAGAGGATATATTGTTTGATTATGGCCTTTCCAACTTGTGTAAACAAGTTCACAATTTAGCAGAGTAACATTCCCCTTTTTAAAACTCTCAGCAGATGCATTTGCTCAGGCTCGCCAAAGCCTCTACAATAACTGTTCTGGTATTTCCCCCTTATTCCCCCATAAAAGATAAGACACGACACGGTCTTCTATAAAAGTATAAAAAGAGTTTACTTACATTCTGTTCACAATCGGATCCCAGAAGGCAGACTTAGCTTAGAAAAGTTACATACACCTGGAAACTGTCTCATAAGGAGACAGTTCCTTTGTCCTCTCTTGGCTGGAGGCTGGAGGCCAAGAGAGCATCTTTGGCTAAGCAGATGTTGCTTCTTTGACAAAAGTAGTCATAGAGAGAGATGGCGCCAGTCCTATGCATTTGTTACCTACACAGATGAGGCCACGCCCACCTCTGGTCACATGCAGATGAAGTCTGCCCCAGCCCAGAAGGAAACAGGAAGTTTACCTGCTGGCTGGACAAACATTCCTCCCCATGTGTAAACATGTTCACTCTAGGAATGTTGTACTTGACTGCTCTTGTGTTTCACATCCCACACTTTCTAATAGTAGGAGCTGTTCAACTGTGGAACAGACTCTCACAACAGGTGATGGTGTCTCCTTCCTTGGAGGTTTTTAAGCAGAGGTTGGATCACCATCTGTAAGGGATTCTTCAGCTGTGATTCCAGCATTGCAGGGGACTGGATCAGATGAACCTTTGGGTTCCTTCCGACTCTACATTTCTATGATTCTAAGATTGTTAAGAGCTTCCTCTTTTGCTTTTTCAGCTTTAAAGCAAAAATGCCTTGCAAGCATTTGCAGAGCTATTTAAAGCCCAAAGAGGAGTCATTGCTAAGAAGAAGACTCACACAAACTCTTAGACTTCATCCCATTATCCAGCGCAAGAAATCACTGCCGGGTATGAAGAAGAAGAAGAAGAAGAAGAAGAAGAAGAAGAAGAAGAAGAGAGGAGAATGAGTTTTTCCCTGTAGTAGGGTAGAATATTTTCCATTCCAAGCACTGATTAAATGAACTGTAATAATAGGAGGTGGAACTCAAGCATGAAACTAAACTTAAATGATTTTTTTTTTTGTACATTGTACTTCATAAAGTGTAATCATTAGTATTGTTGCGGGTGCATGTTGAGGGTTGTTAACTGTGGTAAACCAGCTCTGAATAAAAATATGTGCAAGAATTAGATTGTGATAAAATCTTGGAGAACTTTTTTTTTATTATGAAATGGCATATATTTAACTGAATTGATATGAAACCTATTGCTGTTTCATATCATGTGCAGTATACAAAGAACCTGCTTTAACAATGAGTAGACCATTGGTCCAGTGAGCTCTCGAGGGTTTCAAACAGGAGATATCCTCAGATCTGCCTGGAGATACCAGTGATTGAATCTGGAACCATTCCATGCTCTGCCACTGAGTTATGACCCTCTCTGGGACTATGAGATTTAAATGTGACTTGCGGTGTGAATGGGCAATTGCAGATAAAACTTCTTGTTGCCGTTGTTTAGTTGTTTAGTCGTGTCCAATTCTTCATGACCCCATGGACCAGAGCACGCCAGGCACTCTTATCTTCCACTGCCTCCCGCAGTTTGTTCAAACTCCTGCTGGTAGCTTCGAGAACACTGTCCAACCATCTCGTCCTCTGTCGTCCCCTTCTCCTTGTGCCCTCCATCTTTCCCAACATCAGGGTCTTTTCCAGGGAGTCTTCTCTTCTCATGAGGTGGCCAAAGTCTTGGAGCCTCAGCTTCAGGATCTGTCCTTCCAGTGAGCACTCAGGGCTGATTTCCTTAAGAATGGATAGGCTTGATCTTCTACATCCTAAATATGGCATTAGCAGACACACCACTGTACCTCTAGGTGGTGCTAGACAAGCAGGCCCAACTGTTTTGAGCGAGGGGGCAGAGTTAGGGCTCTGTATCAACTCCACAATGGAGAAAGTGTAGATTTTCACAGGCCACAGAGCATGGGATTGGGGGCAGGGAGACTGGTGGCTTCTCATTTAATACTGGACGAGATATCAGCTTGGTTGGAAACCTGTTTCCTAAGCAAGTTTATGTCATGCTTGAAATGCATTGCCCACCCATGTACCCAAAGGACCCAAGCTGTTGATCTCATTCCTAGAGAATCACTTCATGAGCTACTGCATAGGAGAAAGGAGGCCGGCTACCTGAGCAGACTTTCCCCATGCACATCTCAGACAGGTACAGGAGAGCTGACAGAAGGAGAGGAATCTGAGAGTTTCAGGGCTGTTGTGACCTCTCATTTCACCCCCAGCTCCTTCATCCTAAGAGGAACTAAAACACACATTGTTTGCAAGCAATTTTCTGCTACGTCACCAGTCCCACCTTTGCATGCTGTTTTTATGGATCTGTGCATTTTAATGCTGACTTCCTCCCCTGATATATATACATACAGTGGTACCACGGGTTAAGAACTTAATTCGTTCTGGAGGTCCGTTCTTAACCTGAAACTATTCTTAACCTGAGGTACCACTTTAGCCAATGGGGCCTCCCACTGCCGCTGCGCCACCGGAGCATGATTTCTGTTCTCATCCTGAAGCAAAGTTCTTAACCCGAGGTACTATTTTTGGGTTAGCGGAGTCTGTAACCTGAAGCGTCTGTAACCTGTAGCGTCTGTAACCTGAGGTACCGCTGTACTTGCACACTGCAGTGCAACATTCTGAGAAGTCTAAATTCTGATGTGGGGAGGCATCCCCTGAGTCCTGGGTTTGTGGCTCCACACTCTTGGCCCTGCCTCCAGATATCCATGTGTTAGTGTGGCCATCTGCAAAGTCGAAAAGGCCATGCACAAGCAGCTGCTACCACATCCTGAATGTTTTTGCCTGGCTGGAATGTGTCCTTCAAAACAACACTGCTTGCTTGCCCAGACAGAGAACAGACAGGTGCATATGTATGTGTTTGTGTGCATAAATGCCCCTATTGCGCACAGGTGACATTTGCATTTGTAGCTCCACCGACTCTTGCCTCTGGCTCCGCCTACCACTGGCCCCTGGAAGATTGCCCAGAAGGAAATGTGGCCCTCAAGATGAGAAAAGTGCACTACCCTTGTCTGATGTACTTGCAGTCAACCATGTTAACATGTAGATGTCTGGAGCAGCTTTCCTCAACATAATGATCTCAAGAAGTTTGGGACTATAATTTACATCAGACCCAGCCAGAATGACTGGTGGTCTGGAATGGTTGGAGTTGCAGTCCAGAACAAGAAGAGTATCAAGGATGGTCTAGAAGGTTCTAGATGATAGATAATAGAGTTGGAAGGGGATCCTTTAGTCCAGCCCCTTTTGCCCAACGTGAACCGATGACCCTAAAATTAAATGTCTCATGCTCTACTGGCTGAGCCGAAAGGACACTTGACAGTGGTGAGATTCTTTTCCCCTTTTCTTTTTTAATAATAATTTTTATTAGTTTTCAATTACAATCCAATAATAGCCTCATTATAACAATATCAATTTATAATACAATCATTGATACCAATCGTTCAAATACCGAATTCTATAATTTAGATAAAGTGCCCCCCTCTGCATGCTAGATTGGATGAATTGATTATTTGCTTAATTTCTGCGTTCCAAAATCTTATTGATTTCCATTACGTTCCAGTCATAATGATAATCCCTTATACAACAACTGCAATATTAATAACTTTTATTTGTGTTGACACATTGAATGATTTATAAAGTTACAAGTGAGGCACTCAAACGATATCCTTGTTCTTCCTGTGTGTGGCAATTATTCTGTCTGTGGTGTTTCTTCCTGTCCTTGTAAGATGTTATGTGTTTCTTTCCCTCGGTTGTTGCTGTTATCCGCCATGCCTTGGGCGGAGCTGATATCCCATCGTATCCCATTGGATTCAAACCCACGACTCTGGAGAGACTGGCGCCTAAATCCAGTGTCTTAGACCGCTTGGCCACATTACCTTAGAGCAATGGCAGGGAATGTGCCTAATACAGGGGTGGGGCCAGGAGTGTGCCCCCAGATATGCCTTCTACGTGCAAATCACACATGAAAGGTGCTATGGCAGAGTAGCAATTTGAACCCGGGTCTACCCAGCCCCAGACAAGCCCTCTAATCACTTCAGCATGCTGGCGATCTTGCATAGGGACAGCACACCCACACTAAACTTTTAAAGTACTTCTAAAGCCCACAGCTTTCACCGAAGAATGCTGGGAACGATAGTTTGTCACAGGTACTAAAAACTGTAGCTTCATGAGGGGATGAACTACAGCTCCCAAGGTTCTTTGGGGGAAGCCGTGTGACTTAAATATACTTTAATTTTTTATTTTAAAAATAAATTTATTTATTTAATTTTCCAAATTAATATTTACATTCACATAGTAACATAATGTATAAAATCAAGATTCCAAAGAACCCCTTGGACTTGCCTCCTCCCTTTTGTGCATCTTTATTGTTAATAATAATAATAATAATAATAATTTATTATTTATACCCTGCCAATCTGGCTGGGTTTACCCAGCCACTCTGGGCGGCTTCCAACAGAGTATTAAAATACAATAGTCTATTAAACATTATAAGTTTCCCTAAACAGGGCTGCCTTCAGATGTCTTCTAAAAGTCTGGTAGTTGTTTTTCTCTTTGACATCTGGTGGGAGGGCGTTCCACAGGGCTGGTGCCACCACCGAGAAGGCCCTCTGCCTGGTAACTTGGCTTCTCACAGTGAGGGAACCGCCAGAAGGCCCTCGGCGCTGGACCTCGGTGTCCAGGCAGAACGATGGGGGTGGAGACGCTCCTTCAGGACCGAGGCCTTTCCTTAATCCTTTCCTTCTGCATCTTTTATATTTATCCAAATTTTTATATCTCCATTATGTCCATAGTTCATTGTTGCATTACAAGTGTTATTCCAGTCCCATAAATTATAAATTTCCCCCATCCCTTATTGAAGTCTTGGTCTTCTTGATTTCTGATTACTGATTTAAATATACTTTAGAAGTCCGTCAAACGTATGATGTGGATAGGACCTATCTGCTCAGTTTCCAGCTTGCCTTCGCAGAATGTTGTGAGAGAGTCTAGATTCTCCTGCTAAGGAGATCAATTGAACATTATTTCCCCCTGCTCCTTTGCAATTATATCTTCCTTCCCAGGAGCTCCAAGTGCTCCTTGAATATTTCTGCCTGTTTATTTAAAATGCATATCCCGCTTTTCCATTCTGAGGATGCACAAAGTAGCTAATAACAGTTAATTAAAAACAACAATGAAGAATAATGTCTCAGGAACACATAGGAAGAGATGAGATGCATTAGTCACAAAGGTGACTGGAGCAAAAGAATTCAAAGCATTTAAAAAAGCGATCTATGAGCAGGAGAGTAGGATTTAAATTAGCAAATAACAATATGCCAGTCCTAGTGAAATAGCATCACCAGGGTCAGGGAACATGGGGCCTTCCCGATGGGGCTGGCCGCCAACTCCCATCAGTCCCAAGCAGCGTGGCCAATGGTCAGAGGTGATAGAACTTGTCGTTTAGCAAACGTGCAGGGCTTCTGGTCCCCCTCCTGTGCTGTAGCCAAATGCGCAGGTCAATTCTGTGTCCAGGGCAGCTGTTTACCAGCTCCATCTGGTACACAGGCTGAGACCCTGTCTGCCCACAGACTGTCTCGCCAGAGTGGTGCATGCTCTAGTTATCTCTCACTTGGACTGCTGCAATGCACTCTATGTGGGGCTACCTTTGAAGGTGACCCAGAAACTACGACTAATCCAGAATGCGGCAGCTAGACTGGTGACAGGGAGCGGCCACCGAGACCATATAACACTGGTCTTGAAAGACCTACACTGGCTCCCAGTACGTTTCCGAGCACAATTCAAAGTGTTGGTGCTGACCTTTAAAGCCCTAAACGGCCTCGGTCCAGTGTACCTGAAGAAGCATCTCCACCCCCATCATTCTGCCCGGACACTGAGGTCCAGCGCTGAGGGCCTTCTGGTGGTTCCTTCGCTGCAAGAAGCCAAGTTACAGGGAACCAGGCAGAGGGCCTTCTTGGTAGTGGCACCCACCCTGTGGAACGCCCTCCCACCAGATGTCAAAGACATAAACAACTACCAGACGTTTAGAAGACATCCTGTTTAAGGAAGCTTTTAATGTTTAATAGGTTATTGTATTTTAGTGTTCTGCTGGAAGCTGCCCAGAGTGGCTGGGGAAACCCAGCCAGGTGGGTGGGGTATAAATAAATTATTATTATTATTATTATTATTATTATTGCAGAAGCACAACAGGAAAGCAGCAAACTGAGCCTCCCAGGAGAGGGAGCTCCACAGTTTTGGTGCCACAACCAAAAGGACCCTGCTCTGCATAACTAGCGATGCCTAGGAAGTCCTCCAACAAGGGGCTTCCAACCAAGGTCTCTCTTTTGCTGGTACAGCGAATCTCACAGCGCAGGGGTGGAATGGGAGTGGAAACAGTGGTGGACAGTGGCGTATCAAATTTAAGTGGCGCCCTGTGTGACACAAAAATCTGCCTCCAACTGCTCTTGCCTTCCCTTGGACTTCATAGTTGGGGCACCTGCTGCAGCAAGCCAGAAGCTCTGTGCTCCCTGCCTTTGTTGGAAAGATGAGTTTTTAAAAAGGAGGTGTGTTGCGGGTTGGTGGAGATGAATTGCTGGGCCTTTTTGGTTGTGGCTCTTTGTCACACTTTCGCCTGCTCGCCCCACCCACCACCTTCCCTTGCCTCCTGGCATTTGACGAAGACTTGGCTCTTCAAGAAAGCTTTTTGACTTTTCTTTGTAGCATTCTGTTTATGCTCTTTTGATTATCATTTATTTTTTCTTTTAAAAAACCTGCAAACCACTTTGTTTTCCTGTTCTAAAAAAAAGTGGGGCAATTTTTTCATACGTGTGTATGTGTGTCTATTTCTCTATCTCTCTATCTCTCTATCTCTCTATCTCTCTATCTATCATCTATCTATCTATCATCTAATCTATCATCTATCTATATCTATCTATCTATCTATCTATCTATCTATCTATCTATCTATCTATCTATCTATCTATCATCTATCTATCTATCTATCATCTATCATCTATATCTATCTATTTCTCTATCTCTCTATCTATCTATCGATCATCTATCATCTATCTATCTATATCTATCTATCTATCTATCATCTATCTATCTATCTATCTATCTATCTATCTATCTATCTATCTATCTATCTATCATCTCTCTCTCTCTCTCTCTCTCTCTCTCTCTCTATCATCTATCTATCTATCTATCTATCTATCTATCTATCATCTTTCTACAGGTATCTATCATCTATCATCTATCATCTATCATCTGCCTGCCTCTGACTCACACACCCTAAAGACCCTTTAATGTTGTTTTTTTCTAACACTCTCTGTCCTTTTCAACACTTGGAGAAACCAGGGGCTCCAAATCAGTCTAGATTTTCACCTGTCTCTCAACATGGAACATTGTCTCTTATTAAGTTCTTACCGCCACCGTCACGTGACTTGGCAGGAGAGGGATAACAGAGGGGCAATTGTTGTTTAATTACAACAGGGCCTGTATTATTCCGGCAACTCGTAGTCCCCTGGAGAGAAGGCCTATTTAATATAGCCCCGAGTATATAAATGATCTATAATGTTAAACCTCGCCGCGGCGAGCATTGTGACCTGCACAAACCTCATGAAAGGGCCGATTGAGAAAGCTTAAAGTGGGGTTGACGAAGAAAGTGGTCACATGGGTGAGGGGGGATAGCCAAGCAAGTATAAATCACTAAGCCCTAACCTTCTTTAAAGGCCATTTCCTCCTTCCCATCTCCTTTAGAGCAATATCCCTCGAGGTAAGTCGTGCGCTTTTGGCTGGAAGGGGATCTTACGCGATGATGAGCGGATCTGAACTGGCACCCTGATCTTAAAGCAGTTGACTTGGAAGGATGAAAACTCCAGTGGCCGTAAGGGGACAAGGCAGCCGTCCTCAGCATGCGGACTTGAATTAGTCCAGTTGAACCCAGTGAGATAACTTCTTCCAAAAAATCATGTGTAGGACTGCACTTCAGTGATGGTCAGATCTATCGATTTCAGTGTCTCATTTTTCCAGTTGCTAGTTCTCCACATTTCGCTTTGCAATTATTATTATTATTATTATTAGTATTATTAAGTCTTCATGGAAATTGCCAGCATTTTAGTACAAAACTCTCCTAATTTGCACATTTTTGTAAGGCAATTTCCCCTCATATCATGCATTTGGCGTGGCATTTTCACTATATATGTATATGTACTGCTGCTGCATTTATTTGTTTGGAGAACTGTATTTGGAGAAGTGAAAATTTCAAAGGGATGGTTGTGTTTCAGTTCATGTATTAATTCGTAAGGTTAGGTTGGTTTGCCTTTCAATGCGATCTGAATCGAATTTCTCCTCCATCGCTGATTTGCATTGCACTTTGTCTTTGAGGCAGAAGGTGTGATTTAGAGTCTAATCATGTGTACAGCATGATCCTATGTGTGATGAAAACTCAGAAGGAGGGTCAGGGATCCAAGCAAGGGTTGATGTGGAAGAAGGTGGTTGATGTAGTCACAAAACTGTTTTGGGTTTTTTGAATTGGATGGGCCCTTGGAGTAGGGTTGCCATATTTCAGAAAGTGAAAATCCTTCTGACAAAGTTGTTGAGCTTTTGAGCTACGTATTTCTTTTAGGAAATTCTTCTGAAATGGGTTGCCTTATGTCCGGATTTTCCCAGACATTGCTTCCTACTGCTGTATTCCGTCTATAGCAACCCTACCTTGGAGATTCTTGAGGTAGCAATTGTAGATAAGAGATTGGTTGATCTCAAGAGGTCTGCTGAAATTTGAAATTCTGCCCCTGTGTGTCCCACCAACTATCTTTTTCACACTATTTGATTTTTTTAAAAAAATCTTTATAGCCTTTTTTTTCCTTTTCATGAACAGAAAGCTCTAAGTGTTTTTATTCTCTCCTTGTGTGAGCAATTACTTCCACAGACAAGCTGACTGTTGCATCACCGTTGCCAGTTCTTAGGCTCCTATGCCGAAACACTTTCAGGGACTAATATTCTCTTTTGTCGTTGAATAGTGGAATGAACTGAGGAGACATAAATAATCTGATGGCTTTTCAATGGGGCAGCTATATTGTATTATCTTCAAAGGAAATACGCACGCCCGGTCTAACATTTTACTTAATTCACCAGGCAAGATTCCTGAAAAACAATGATGGTTATTCTCCTGGTGAATATGTTGATGGTATTGCATAGTGGTGGTAAGTGGAAAATAATGTTCCTGTTTCTCAAGCTCTAGTCATCATTCTGTATGGACGTTTTGCGTCAAGCATGCCTCGAGAACTGTTTACCCTATAGCCTCTTACAGCAGAACTTCCCAGCCTTGTATCCACAGATTTGGTCAGGTTGCATGTTCCTTTATCCATGGACATTGGCCATATTTAATGGGGATTATGGGAGCTGGAACATTCGGAATACCATTACAACATCTGGGGACCCAAGGTTAGAGAAGGCTGCTCTATAGTAAGAACTGATGATGATGATGATGATGATGATGATGATGATGATAAAACACATATAGGTACATACAACTCTGATCCAAAATCTCCACTAACTTGTGGGACATCTCTGGGAGAAGAAAGGGCTAAGGAGGAAACCCTACACCAGTGTTCCCCAACCTTGGGCCTCCAGCTGTTTTTGGACTACAATTCCCATCATCCTTGACCACTGGTCTTGCTAGCGAGGGATGATGGGAGTTGTAGTCCAAAAACAGCTGGAGGCCCAAGGCTGGGGAACACTGCCCTACACAAATCCAGAGCAGAGTCCCTAATATGGTTGGATGGCACCTTGTATGCCTGCTTCTGGCAACTCCTGCAGCCAAGCTGGTGCCAAACGTCTTGCTCTGCTTTTCTTTGGACCACATCAATGAGGCCGAGAGGCGGGTCTTGTCGTTTGGGCAGCCCAGGACCTCCATGCACACTGCCCAGGCTTGCATCCCAGGGAGGTCACTTCAGTACTGCTAACACAGCTGTTAGACTTCACCCCTGACCTTAAACGGCCTCGGCCCAGTATACCTGAAGGAGCGTCTCCACCCCCATCATTCTGCCTGGACACTGAGGTCCAGCTCCGAGGTCCTTCTGGCGGTTCCCTCACTGCGAGAAGCAAAGCTACAGGGAACCAGGCAGAGGGCCTTCTTGGTAGTGGTGCCCATCCTGTGGAATGCCCTCCCACCAGATGTCAAAGAGATAAACAACTGCCTAACATTTAGAAGGGAAGTTCAGGGAAGTTTTTAATATGTGACATTCTAATGTATTTTTAATCTTTGTTGGAAGCCGCCCAGAGTGGCTGGGGAAACCCAGCCAGAAGAGTGGGGTACAAATAAATTATTATTATTATTATTATTATTATTATTATTATTATTATTGCCCCTGGAGGCTCACTCCATTGTCTCTTGAGACAGGTGGATGCCAACAGGTGATGAACACATGACAAGGTTGCAATCCTCTGCAGACGTATCCATAAGTAGGCCTAGATGAAGTCAGTAAAACCCACCTCTATCTGAGTAGAACACAAAGATCAAGCTGTCAGCCAAACAGTAAAATAAAATAATTGTGTATTAAACATAATTAGATTTTTTTTTTTTTAAATTATCAGATCAATGCATCGGCTGCTGAGAGATGTATCAGTTCCTTCTAACTTTTGGGAATAGCCCTATGTATTACAATGGCCTGTGCATTTTCTGCTATACAGAAGTTGTGTAAGAGAAGAAGTCTCTATTCACTTCAGTAGAGGGTTCACTTCAGAGAGTGTCCCACCATCACAGTGAATGGAAAATTTCTCACAGCTATACGGAGCTGCTAAACCAAGTTAAAAGTCTACACAAAATGTACTAAAATCCTACAAAAAACACAAGTGTAGTCCCCGCCCCCCTTAAATTAAAGTGAATCAAATATTTTTGTAAATGTTGATTATGTTATAAATAATTCTTCCTCTGAGAAGATCCTTCCTCCCTGTACTTTTTCACACCCATCCAAATTTCTGGGTAAGGTGATGTTTTACAGACTTATCCCCCCGCCCCCCATTTCAGTGAAGCTGGTTGGAGTAAGGAGAAAATTGAACCTGGAAATTTGATCTTAGTGTCGCTGATGTGCAGATAATTCCCACCGATTTCAGAAAGAACTGACTTTGAAGTCTCCGCAACAGATGGCTGGGGTTATTATTATCTGTCGGATACATATGCCTTCAGATCTTCATATGCAACCTGGTCCTGGGTACACAACACACTTACACATTTTAAGTTCATCTTGAATTTCATTTCGGTGAATGTTTAATATATAACTAGCAAAGGTAAATGTATGAAGTCAACCAACAGATATAGAGGAGAGGAGAGCAAGAAAGAGATGCGCTTTGGATATTGCAATGGAGACCAACAAATGAGTTGACGAAAATTGGCTTCAGGCACTCTATTGATTAATCTTTCTGTTTTAATTTGTGATCCTTCTGAATGGAACTGGTGAGACAGGAGGTCAAGGATCAGAGACACCAGCAATTCCAATGGATCTTCCGCACGCAGCAGAAAGAGATCTAAGTAAGAAGCTCTTGTTCTGTATCTGTCCAGGAGCAACAGAACCACTGAATATGGGGCATTGCATGTCCACCTTGGCCAAGTATTGCTGCCTAAACTGGCAATAGCTACTCCAGGTCTCAGGCAGGCTGTGATGGCTGGTGTCCAATGGGTAGGGCAGTTGCCAGGGAGACCAGCAGCAGGTGGCATCAATGACAGGCTGTGTGCAAGAAGGCAGGTAGGCATGGACCAGGTGAGGGCTCACTGAGGTTGCTGGGGCAGTGCCCCATTTTCTCTTAATGGACCAAGTTCCACTGCAGGCAGGGGTTTCTCCCAACCAAAGGCAGCCCAGCCTATTTCGCCACCTGGGGCAAAATGGAAACTGGCACCTCCTACCCCTCTGCCGTGCTCCACTTCTTCTGCTCCTGCTGTTCCCTAGCTCTTGCTGAACTTAAAGGAGCCAGAGACCTCCTCAAAGTCTTGCTGCTTGCTTGGCTTCTCCTCCAGGGGCAGGGAAGACGAGCGGCAATGTTTCACGCTGGAACGCCTCCATCTCAGCGATGGATGCAAAGGGTCAGGCGGGTCGAGTGCTGCCTCTTGCATTTTTGCCACCTGAGTGGCATGGGCCATGGGCCAGCTGTGTTTCCAGCTCTGTTGCCCTCTGGGATCTTCTTAACTGGAGATACCGTAGATGTAGGACTAGGGATACCGCAGGCATAAGACTGAACTTCTTGGACCATCTGCATGCAAAGTATGCACTGTCGCTAAACTATTGCCCCTTACCTGAAAGGGCTGAATTGTTTGCTTACAAGAGGTGAAGTTTAAGAATGGATTCAGACAACCAGTTTGTCCCAGTGAGAATTGCCTTCAGCAGTTTCTGAGGGATGGGGATTTAGTGGAACCTATGAGGGTGGCGCTGTGGTGTAATCCACTGAGCCTAGGGCTTGCCGATTGGAAGGTCGGCGGTTCAAATCCCCACGACAGGGTGAGCTCCTGTTGTTCGGTCCCAGCTCCTGCCAACCTAGCAGTTCGAAAGCATGACAGTGCAAGTAGATAAATAGGTACAGCTCCAGCGGGAAGGTAAACGGCGTTTCTGTGCACTGCTCTGGTTTCACCAGAAGCGGCTTAGTCATGCTGGCCACATGACCTGGAAAAACTGTCTGTGGACAAACGTCAGCTACCTTGGCCAGTAAAGCGAGATGAGCGCCGCAACCCCAGAATCATCTGGGACTGGACTTAACTATCAGGGGTCCTTTACCTTTACCTTTTTATGCAGACTTAGCTCTTGCTGAAGTGTACTGTTTCATATAGTAGTGGAGGGCATCACATGCCTATGTTATCCAGGGTAGCCTTCTTCCTGACACTCTTGGTTTCTGCAGGCAGGGAGCTTATGTTTCATGACAAGAGTAATTAAACATGTGATCCCCACAACAGGCGGAGTGGGCAGGCTAGAAAAAGACATATGTTGTCATTCTTCTGCCTGTGCCAATTGACTCTAGATCAGCTAGGAGGGTCCAATGAACAATGCTATGGGCTCTGAGGCTTTTCAGATCAGCTGCAAAAATGCATCATTCCCAAATGGTTGCTGTTAAACCCATCGACTGGAGCTGCAGCCGTGTTGCATATCCACACTACAGATGAGAATATTACCTGTAGCGGGGAATAATGAACAATAATCATAGCCTGAGCAGGGGTTGGTGGCAGAGGTTTCCCAGAAGTCCATCAGATGTTAGCTGGCTTTATCATAATAAATATTTTCTGAATTTCCTTCCTGTGGCGGTCCCACCCATTAAGAGCCAAACCAGTTTCTAACTGTACAGCCTCGCTGCCTTGGGTTGGGTTTGCTGGTCACTCTAAAGTGTGACAGAATACTGGGAGAGTAGGACAGAATGTTGGAAAACGGTTCCTTTTTTGCGATTATCCCACAATTTAGTTTGTAGATGAAATGAAATAGATGAGAGGTGGGCATGTATAACCTTTAACATTTTAAAACTATTTACATTCAGATAACATTACATTCTTCAACGGTGTCTTTGCAAACGTGGAAGGTGTTGCGTTGTTTTTTGGTAAGTGAATATCATTCTTTTTTTTAATCAGGCTGATTTTAAGGGGAGGACACTGACACTTGCATATCTGCATTTTTTGTTTGTGTGCATGACTTTGAATTGTGGACATCTCTGAATGTGCTTATGTGCATAATCCCAAACAACAAAGTGGTGCTGTGTATCAGGAATGTACAAGAGAGAACTGCAATGGAATGCTGCAGCGTGATAGGCTGCGTTTCAGAATTCCAGTCTTCCATTCCCTCAACCCTCCACATTTTCCTACTTGCCCACACAACAGTCAGCATTCCATGCCCACTGACCCCTTTCCATCCTCATTGGGCTGTTTTTATCCCTCACCCTTAAGAGATTTTTTTTCTAAAGGGTTTTTTTTTTCTACTTCCCCCCAAGCATGCTGATATCTCCCACTTCTGTATGGGTGATAGAGCTTTGGCTACTGAAGCAATGCCACTCACTTGTCAGTCTCCCACTTTCCCAAACAAATTTGAAGAGAATTCATGCTGGAGAGGACCTGCTGGGAATAAATTAGTCTGTATAGGTCTGATCTTTAGGGTTGAGGAGTATCATTTTTGTTGGGAGGCATGGGATTTAGAGTTTCCTCTGCTTCCCTGTCCAATTCACTGAATCGGCATGACTGAAGTTACTCAGTTAGGAGGCACTGGGAAACTGCAAACCCCCATGCATCCCAGCAGGAAATGTGCCCCTCAAAATGCTTGGAACCATGCAGGCCATAAGACCGGGATATGCAAGACCTCTCACATCTCTCTCCCTACTTTACAATGGTTACTTCACTTGGGGAACTGGCATGGGGGTCAGGAGTTCAGCCTACACTTGAGTAGGACTCTGGCAGAGACACATGCCCGACTGGCATGTTCTCTCCCTCTTGGTCGATCGTTCGGGAGCTTCAAAAGCTTTCTTCAGCCCGAACATCACAATGAGCGATGCCAACAGACATCGGCACACTTAGGGATCTGCAGAGTCTTCGCAGCTTGTGTAACAGACCCTGGCAACTCAGCATTTTGGCTAATCTACTTTATTTACATGGGGACGTGGGTGGCGCTGTGGGTAAAACCTCAGCGTCTAGGGCTTGCCGATCGCATGGTTGGTGGTTCGAATCCCCACGGCGGGGTGAGCTCCCGTCGTTCGGTCCCAGCTCCTGCCCACCTAGCAGTTCGAAAGCACCCCCAAGTGCAAGTAGATAAATAGGTACCTGCTTTATAGCGGGAAGGTAAACGGCGTTTCCGTGTGCTGCGCTGGTGCTGGGTCGCCAGAGCAGCTTCGTCACGCTGGCCACGTGACTCGGAAGTGTCTCCGGACAGCGCTGGCCCCCGGCCTCTTAAGTGAGATGGGCGCACAACCCTAGAGTCGGACACGACTGGCCCATACGGGCAGGGGTACCTTTACCTTTACCTTACTTTATTTACATATAAACACATGGAGCACTGCAACCTGGCTCCCTCTCTCTCTAGCATCAGACAGCAAAGAGAGAAAGAACAAAGGACAATAGTCCCACTTCACGGAACACAGTAACACAAACATCCTGTTTCTGTCACTTCCCACTCTGTGGAGTCAAAACATATACCATCATGTGATAGACAACAATCCCATGACTGCAATCACGGAGCAGGAATTCTAACAAGGAGAACATAGGAATCTGCATTATACAGAATCAGACCACTGGTTCATCTAGCTTTGTGCTGTCTATACCAATTGGTGGTAGCGCGCCAGGGTTTTAGGCAGGGCTGTCTCTCAGCAGATGCTCTACCACTGAGTTATGACCCTTTCTCCAAAGGGCTGGTCTCCTTGAGGTGTGTGTGTGTGTGTTTCTGAGCATTCTCTGGAAAACCTCCAAAATAACAATTTATGAGATGAGCTGGTTGACTCACTACAAACAAACTTCAGACTCTGAATTCACATTATGGTTGTCCTTGCAGATTGTTTGGGTTCTCAGTTCACCTGGCTCCAGTCCATCTTTACCAGCTTCCCTGCGCTGCTCAACTTTGTGAGCAAAATGAGGTGTGTGACCGGTATTTGCCCAAGAGATTTCGAAGACTATGGCTGCACCTGCCGATTCGAAATGGAGGGTCTCCCCGCAGATGGGTTTGATGGGTGAGTCTGTAATATTCGTGACGACATTCCCATTTTGCAGAGGTTTTGTGAGGGACGCCTGTCCGTGTCTGGTTGCTTGCTGTAACAATGGCCTGTAAGACTACGGAGTCAAAGAATCATAGAATTCGAAGGGACCCTGAGGGTCATCCAGTCCAACCCCCTGCAATGCAGGAATCTCAGCTAAAGCATCCTTTACAGATGGCCACCCAACCTCTGCTTAAAAACCTCCAAGGAATGAGAGTCCACCACCTCTTGAGGAAGACTGTCTAGTAGGAACACATTAATTCTGACTTTGTTGATTGCCTGGGATTGTAAAAACAAGAGGCTGCCATGCATTATAACCTGGTTCACATGTCACCTTAAATCTAGGGTTGATAACCTTTGGCCCAAAGGCTTAAGTCCAACAGTAGTCCAAATTGTTGGAAAAACGCCCGGGAAGGCTGCCAACTTCCCAAGTCTTCGGAGCGTCTCTCTGGTGGTCCTCTCTGGCTATAAATCTCCTTCATCCCAGAGAGACCGGTGATAGGCGACCCATCTCTCCTAAAAAGACCATGCCAGACTTCTGTCATATCATAGCAGAAGAAAGACTCAATCGTAGTTCTGAACTACTTTATTTACAGTCTTACATACAGAGACTCCATCAGTCCGTCTGTGCCCTCTGAACACCAGTACAAAACTGGGACACGTACAAAAGTGAAAATAAACTTCCAATAGTACTTAGCAGGAAGAGAAAATACAGACTTCCTTTCTCACACTCTCTCAGACACTCACATGAGGTATACAATCACAGTACCACTCGCTGGAGCAGCTCGGATAGATAAAAATCCTAACACGAATTTGGGCTGAAATGCTTTCTGGACTATAGATCTATAGGCACACTTTACCCTAGCAGCCCATGAAGTGGATTGGGCACCTGGTAGGACTAGGTCCCTCAAGACCAAGGTTCAAATTCCCTCCCACCCATGAAACTCACTGAGTTACCTTGAGCTAGTCACAGTCCCTTGGGCTGGCCTACCTCACAGGGTTGTTTTATTAGGACAAAATGGGGGAGAGGAGAACCGTATGTGCCACCTTGAGATCGTTTGAGGAAAGGTGGGACATGAATGTAATAAGAATGTTCAAAATAAATAAATAAAATTAGTGTTTTAGTGCACTTTTGGGGGGAGGGGTGACTAGAGAGTCGCACCACGGAATTCAGATAAGTGTGAATGCTGAAGTGTTACAGTTCACGTCTTTTTTCGGGAAGTGAAAATTAGGTATTAAAATGCAAACTAAACAGATTAAGTGGCTAAGCCAAGAATCACATTCTGAATAGCCTTATATTAATTATTTGATTGTTACACCCCCAACACCTGCATGCCAAACAAGCTGCTGTTTTGAGCATCGCAAGTGTTACGAAGAAGCAACAGAAGAAGAATGTGTGTGGGACCCTGCAAAGATTTCGACGGATGTCAGCTGCCTCACCAAAAACATCACCTGCGGTAAGAATGAGGGCTTTGTAATAAATGCTATGAATGCTTCGTACCTGTTCCCACTCCTCTCCCAAGGTTCCTTTGCCTTCAGATGAATAGGTCTCTAAGACACACCTATTCTGGCTTGTTTTTTGTCTGGTGGGCTAAATGTTATGAGCAGTGCCAGGCAAATTCTAAGAACTCTTCAGCGCTACAGTAAGCCTGCAACTTACACAGCGGCTATATTTTGGGGATTGCCCCTAAAGCCAAAATCACATCTAGTCCAAACCCACTGGTTCAATGGTGAGTGAGACTGCCAAAGTATTTGTCCTAGAATATTATTTCTAATTATTATTATTATTAGCCACATTATTAGCTCCAGAATGGATCCCATTCGCATCCAGAGGTACCACTGTACTGTGTTCCAGAATGTAGGACTATTGTCCTTTGTTTCTTTCTCTCTTTGCTGTCTGACGAGAAAGAGGAAGGAGTTAAGTCAGAATGCTCCGAGTGTATTACAGTCATACCTCTTGTTATGTTTGCTTCACGATACATTTTTTCAGGTTGAATCCCGCGGCAACCCGGAAGTACTGGAAAGGGTTACTTCCGGGTTTCGCCACTCGTGCATGCACAGAAACGCAAAATGATGTCACGCACATGTGCAGAAGCAGTGAATTGTGACCCACTCGTGCGCAGACGCGCAGATGCAGGTTGCATTTCTTTCAGGTTGCAAACAGGGTTCCGGAACAGATCCCGTTCACAACCAGAGGTACCACTGTATATGTAAATAAAGTAGATTAGCCAAAAATGCTGTGCTACTGAGTTCTGTTACACAAACTGCAAATACTCTGCAGGATCGTAAGTGTGCTGATGCTTTTTGGTATCAGTCGTTGTGATGTTCGGGCTGGAGAAAGCTTTTGTAGCTCTTGAACGATCGACCAGGAGGGAGAGAACATGCCAGTTGGGCATGTGTCTCTGCCAGGGTCCGACACACGAGTAGGATGATCCTAACAGCTGGCACGGAGGTGACTTTTGCATACAGCCCACAAATTCTCAATGGAATTTACGTCCGGAGAATTCCCTGGCCAATCAAGTACCTGTATTTGCTGCTCAGTCGTGAATTTCTTCACCACTTTTGATGTGTGACAGGGGGCTAGGTCCTGCTGCAATATCCCAGTACCGCCAGGATACCTCTTTTCCAGCTCTGGAATAATTCTCTTTCGTAGAACCTCAATATATTGTGGCGAGCGCATTTTTCCTTCTATTGGCTGCAGGCTTTCGACATCATAATAACTGAAGCATCCCTAAAACATCTTCTTTTATGGGTGCTTGACAGACTGATTGATGTGGCATAGAAAACATGCTTTGTTTCAATTAATTTGCACAATGGTGTACTTAGGTCTCCTCCGCACAATCATTGGCCCGTCATTCTCTTATGCATGGAAGAGTCCTATGCTTTGCATCATTGTTCATGGAGGCTCCATTCTAACATGCACTGAGTGTGGTAAGCTGCTGTGGTCAAATTGCACAACATTGGGGGATTTGGGTGAAACACTCCCCCCCCAGTCCTTGTGAGCTTTCAGCACATGACTGCATTTGTGATAATCTTTTTGCATGCCCTTCCTATGTGATCACATCAAATCCCTGTGGTCCTATGTGAATGATTGTATTCCTATGAATGTGTATTCCTATTGGGGTTTTCACTATACTACATGTTTTAGTTTAGATTCAGATTCTTCTTCTTTTTTAAAAAAATTTGCTTATTCCATTTCCAGGTGGCATTTTGGTTTTATCTACTGGCAGATTATAATATTTTCAGAGGTGCAGCTGATTTTTGCATGTATTGTTTCCTGAAGAGAATCCTGTCCAAATCAGTAATTGGAAAGAAGAGAATTTCATATCAGCATGAGTTTTCCAGTGTATTAGAACCATCTCTCACTGTGAACTGTTCTCAGTCTTGAACTCGTTCCATGCTGGTTGAATAGTGTGGGAGGCACAATATACACTCTCAGCTACAAAACGAAATGCACTTCTCCAGGTCAAAACCTTATAGAGAGAAGGCAGATTGTGGAAACAGATACCTCAATAGTACTTTGTATGCTGATCTCTCCAACCCCCCTCAATTTCGGTTTTCTTTCGTCTCCAGAGTCCGACGATGCCTGTGAACGCCTTCTCTGCAACTGTGACAAGGCAGCTATTGAATGCTTTCTGCATTCCCACATTAACTCTTCCTTGAACAGCATGGATGTTTCACTCTGTCCCTCTCTGGTTACAGGTGAGAATATAAAAGAGAAACTCTGAGATCTTGTTTCCTCGGCAGTCTGTAGACGTCCCTATTCCCTGATTTGAATTTTAATGAACTGTATTCTATTCTTGCAAAGTTAATTTGTTGCTACTGGCTATTATGTCACACATCAGCGAAAGTTTTGTGTGTCTGGGTCTGGGTCTCAGTGAGTGAAAAGTACAAGCCAATGGTTTTAAGCCTGCTTTCCAGGGAATTAGGCTTATCAAAGGTTCCTCAGTGAGAAGATCTTGCTAGAGATGGACAAGCATGCCAAAGACCAGTTTGCCTCTCATGCCCAATCTTCTGTGTTACTGTCCACAACACCGATGAATGCTTGCAATACTGTCAAGAGGATAAAGGTAAAGGGACCCCTGACCATTAGCTCCAGTCGTGGCCGACACTGGGGTTGCGACGCTCATCTCGCTTTATTGGCCGAGGGAGCCGGCGTACAGCTTCCGGGTCATGTGGCCAGCATGACTAAGCCGCTTCTGGCGAACCAGAGCAGCGCACAGAAACGCTGTTTACCTTCCGGCTGGAGCGGTACCTATTTATCTACTTGCACTTTGACGTGCTTTTGAACTGCTAGGTTGGCAGGAGCAGGGACCGAGCAATGGGAGCTCGCCCTGTTGCAGGGATTCGAACCGCCGACCTTCTGATCGGCAAGTCCTAGGCTCTGTGGCTTAACCCACAGCGCCACCCGTGTCCCAACAGGAGGATAGAAAACAATAAAGTTGTTTCTGCAAGCCACCAAATTGGGCAGAGCTCCTATAAGTTCAATGAAATGCAAACTGCAACAGACTGGGTTTGAGCTACGATAATACAATCAAAAGACAAATAGATGCAGAACAGCAAACTCCATCTCTAGCACATGTGCTTTGTAAGTGTGTCAGGATATACTGGTATGTGGGGCTCTGGACTGGATTGTCAATCAAGTTTAAAAAGCAGAACAAATTTCTGTACGTACTTCATGCATTGAGAAGAGCTGCTCACCCCTGGAAATAGGGCTAAATTGGAAGTTGCTATTGTTGGGCCGAGTTGCTGTGGTGGGGACGAGGGTTGCGGTGAGGTCGGGGATGTTGCTTTTGTTTCAAACATTGCAAGTTTTGGATGGGAGGGATTGTTTCAGGAGGTGGCAGAGGGATGTCTCTAGATCTGTATGGCAGGGCAGGAAGCCTCGAGTAAAATTTAAAATATTAACGGATGCTAAAGAAGGAGGCGGACTTGCCCTGCCAGACCCCTAAATTTTGTTGTGAATCATCTGCTTTTTGCTGGCTGAGAGAATCGACAGAATCCGAGACCAGGGAGAAGAGCTGGTGGAAGAAGAGTGGAAGTTTAAAGACTATTTATAGAAATATTGCAAAATTAATGAATGTTAGAACAAAGTGGGAATGAAGTTATATGGCTTTAGCAGAAATGTTATAAGGAATTAAGTATAAATAGATTAATTGAGCATTAAAGGGAATAAAATAAGGTTAGAATGTGTTAAGATAATTATAGGATAGAAAACAGAGGAAGATGGAAAGGAATTGCTGAAATAATTAATTGATGTGGAATACAAAAAGGGAGGTGTGAGGAAGTCGTGGAAATAAGCAAATGAAAGATATGACATTGAAATTGTTTAAAATGGTCTTTGTTTTGTTTTATTTGTCTTGCATTGTCTTGCGTTGTTTTTTGCTTGTTGTTTCTTTTTGCTTCTTTGCTTTGTTTAACTCTTTTTCTTTTTTTTGTAACTTTTAAACTCTTAATAAATATTATTAAAAAAGAGAGAGAGAGAAGAGCTGCTCACCCCTTCCTTTTCATCCCTCCTTTCCTCTTTAGCATGCACACTGTCCATTTTTCATATGCCTGGACATTTTTTTATTTCTATTTTTTACGAAAATGAATCATGGAACACCTGCTCCCTCTTCTTTACAGAAACAGTCAGCGAGAGAAGTCAGACGACGCTTCATGCTGCAGGTATGCTATGTGTATCCTACACTGTTTCCCCCAGAGCCCAAAGTGGGGCAGGAGTCTACAAACGACAGGTAACAGAACGAATAGGCCCAGGTGGAGACTATGCAAATATGTCCATCCCTTCCAGTAAGAAGCTATTTTTCTTTCTTTCCATAGAGTTTCAGAACCAGAGGGCTGAAGATACTCAGCTGACAGATACATCTGTTGCAGAGGGTAGGTTTGCCAGTGTTCTTGTTTAGTTTAGCTGGGATCAAAACTGAACCTTTGCACCAAGGTAGGGTAAATTCTGCAAAAGGTTTTGTGTGTGATTCTGACATCTTTTGACTAATTTCTCCTGCTCCCACAGAAGAGTATGAATGCAGCATAAAATGCTAGTGGTTGAAATTGATCCACACATTATATCTTCCCATTCTACTAGGCTGCACGCCTCTTCTCTTTGCTCGGGTACAGTGATGACCATTGGGATTGGTAGGGTGGAAGGCAAGGAGGACCAACAGTAGGTGGAGCTATAGCCAATGACAGGCAGAGCCAATGCACTCTATTGTCTCCAGTGCTGGATTTACGTATAAGCTAAACAAGCTATAGCTTAAGGCCCCACTCTCTTGGGGGCCCCAAAAAATGTAAGGGGAAAAAAAACACCTGGATGTACATTTCCAAAATATAAGGTAAAAAACAAATAAAATAAAACCTACATACAGCAACAGTGTTTTGTAAATTGTGTTTCTAAAGGAACTTTTGCTATTGACAAATGCCAATGTGTTTGCATTATTAAGTTTGTTATAAATAAAAAATCATTTTAAGTTAGAGCTTAATAATTATTTCACTATCAATATACTTCTTAATTGTACTTCACTATTACAGTGGTACCTCGGGTTAAGAACTTAATTCATTCTGGAAGTCTATTCTTAATCTGAAACAGTTCTTAACCTGAGGTACCACTTTAGCTAATGGGGCCTCCTGCCATGCCACGATTTCTGTTCTCATCCTGAAGCAAAGTTCTTATCCCGAGGTAATATTTCTGGGTTAGCGGAGTCTGTAACCTGAAGCATCTGTAACCTGAAGCGTCTGTAACCCGAGGTACCACTGTAATATACTTCTTAATTGTATTTCAGTTCAACAATTATGCGCAAATGGCTTCAGATACAAATAAGTCCATAAATTACCATATAGCAGGGGTCAGCAAACTTTTGCAGAGGGGGGCCTGTCCACTGTCCCTCAGACCTTGGGGGGGGGACTATATTTTGAAGAGAGAAAAAAAATGAACGAATTCCTATGCCCCACAAATAACCCAGAGATGCATTTTAAATAAAAGGACACATTCTACTCATGTAAAAACATGCTGATTCCTGGACCATCCGTCGGCTTTATTATGCCTAAGGTAAAGGTAAAAGGACCCCTGACCTCTGGGGTTGTGGCGCTTATCTCGCTTTATTGGCCGAGGGAGCCGGCGTACAGCTTCCGGGTCATGCGGCTAGCATGACTAAGCCGCTTCTGGTGAACCAGAGCAGCGCACAGAAAAGCCGTTTACCTTCCCACCGGAGCGGTACCTATTTATCTACTTGCACTTTGAAGTGCTTTCGAACTAACCATGCCATTTAGCAAATATACAATACAAAAATAAAGCGACAATTTATTGTTGGCAAAGAACAACTGGACATATAAAGGGCCCCGTTACCTTCAGTAGCTTAGGGCCGCATCAAACCTAAATCCGGCCCTGGTTGTCTCCATCCTCCTCCTTGCTGAGTCCTACAAGAGAGAACACTAGTGGGAAGGAAGCTGGCAAGCCGTGCCAGCCCTTGAACTGTTTATAAGTAAGAAGGCAGGCAAGTGGGGGGCCAACTAAGGGCCAGCAGAGGTCTATGGGGCAGTACTTCATCTCTTTTTTTTGTTTGTTTGTTTTGAATATTTTTATTAGGAATTTCAACATAACAATTTATCAAAAATACATCATCCTCATTTCCCCACCCATTTTTCCCTCCCCCTCCCCCCAAAAGAAAAACCCACCCTCCCAGACTTCCCTCAGCTCCTCTCTCTGGTTTTTCAGCACTTGTTATTCTCTGCATATTATAAAATTGTAAAGATCCTTAATTTATAGATAGATAATATCTATGTTGTTGTTGTTTAGTCGTTTAGTCATGTCCGACTCTTCGTGACCCCATGGACCAGAGCACACCAGGCACTCCTGTCTTCCACTGCCTCCCACAGTTTGGTCAAACTCATGCTGGTAGCTTCGAGAACACTGTCCAACCATCTCGTCCTCTGTCGTCCCCTTCTCCTTGTGCCCTCCATCTTTCCCAGCATCAGGGTCTTTTCCAGGGAGTCTTCTGTTCTCATGAGGTGGCCAAAGTATTGGAGCTTCAGGATAATATCTTTTTTTAAAAAAAATAATATTTATTACTTTTCCAACAATTTAAACACACACAAAAAATAAAAAGAAAAAAGAACAATACAATGCAGTACAAAAACACTACATAACACATTAAACTAACAAAACAAAACAAAAACAATTTAAAAGACATCAAACAATTTCAATATCTTATCTTTCATTCACTTATTTCACACCTCCCTTTTTGTATTCTACTTCTGTTGATTGTTTCAGCAATTCCTTTCCATCTCCCTCTGCTTTCTATCCTTTTAATTATCTTAACAGATTCTAACCTTATTTTTCCCTTTAATACTCTATTGATCTATTTATACTTAATTCCTTATAACGTTTCTACTAAAGCCATATAACATTTTTCTAACATTCATTAATTTTACAATATTTCTGTAAATAGTCTTTAAACTTTTTCCAGTCTTCTTCCACCGACTCTTCTCCCTGGTCTCGGATTCTGCCAGTCATTTCCGCCAATTCCATATAGTCCATATATAATATCTATATATTACCAATAAAAAGTTTGTGTATGTTTACTCAAAACCTGCCAAGGAGTCCAGTTCATTTTGTTGTTTCTTTAAGTACTTTGTGAAAGGTTCCCATTCTTCTTTAAAGTCACAGTTGTCCTTATCACATGTCAATTCCGCCAATTCCGCATAGTGCTTCATCTGTTCTAATGGACCAGCCTCTGCTGCTCAGATTAGCCTCTTTGAGGAAACTGCCGAGACAAACTGGAACCGGATCACAAGATGGCAAGAACAATAGGCAGTGGGGTGTTCAACAAGTCCTGCTGAGGAAAGCTTCGAGGAAATAGGTCTATTTTTCCTGTAGAAAAGATGAGCAAGGCGTGGGGGGCATGATAGTACTTTTCAAATACCTGAAGATCTGCCAGGTAGAAGACAACAAAGGCATATTCTTTGCTGCCCCAGAGAGCAGGAACGGATCAAATGGGATTAAGTTACAAGAGGGTAAATTGCTGCTGAACATTAGCAGAAACTTCTTGACATCAAGAACCCAGCCAGATGACGGGATATAAATACTAATAAATACTAATATTATTATTATTACTAAGGGCAGATTGACAATGGAACTAGTTAGTGCGTTGGGTGGGCTGATATTTGATGGAGGTCTTCAAGCAGGGGTTGGGCAGCCATCTGATGCTGTAGATCTCTGGATGTCCTGTATCTTGAAGGGGGTTGAAATATACTCGGAGTCGAGAGTGGATTTCATGCTCTTTATTCAGCTCATAGTGGTGAGGAGGAATGGAAGTTCCCCCAGAATGTCTGCTTTATATACATTATTTACACAATGGGCCCCACGTGATTGGATTCACCTGTAGGCCAATCAGGCTGTGGATTCACTTCCACCTGGAGCTGGATTGGGTGGCTCCTGTGGACCAATCAGACTGCTGCATTCTGGACCCTATTGTTCTAGGACCAATAAGACTGCTGCCTTTTGGATCCTATTCATCTCAGTACATAACAGGGGTTCAACTGAATGGCTCATAAGACAACCCCCCCCCCCAAATCTTATTATATCATGACTTACCTTGGGAGAGGATTTGGGCCTAGTTTTTCAGATATGGCTATATGTGGTTTATCCCCTCTTGCAGAAGATCAGTCTCTTCTCCTTACTGTCCTCTGCACAGACAGAAAGCAAAATATAGCACAGCAGATGTTATTCTGATTATGGGATGCGATGATGAAGCTTGCAGATTCTCATAGGCATATATCGATATTGTGTATCTTTCAGTTATCCCACAGACCACAGATGGGATGGTTGTACTGAGTTCTGGAGCAGACCGTAAGTCGTTATTCGCAGGCATGATGCTATCGTTTGTCTCCTTGATATGATTAATTTCTTCTGTTGCTTTTCCAAAGCATGCTTTCTTTTCCTGACCAAGAATCGCTCCCATTCTGGTTTATTTTCTTTTAAACAGTTGCTTCAGATGCGACGAGTGATGTAGGCCTTGAAGCCCACAGAGAAGGAGGTGTGTGATGGCTTTAGGGCTTTTAGAAGACTTGTTTAGAAAACTTATAAACTGTGGTATACAGATGAACTTACAGATAAAACATGGCCAAATCCATAAGACAGTTAAATCAAATATGCTTAAAGTTATCATCATAAAAAACAAAGATAAAATCAATTGATCATTAAAACTAATATGTTTCAATCCCCTTCATTTGAGGTTTTTAAGCAGAGGTTGAGTGGCCATCTGCCATCGATGGCCCTTTGTATCCCAACTCTATGATTCTATGATATAACTAACTTTGGGAACAAACCCAACAAGCAAGATCTTCCAGGGTGAGCAGGTTAGGATTCAGTGGATCTCTGACTTCACCAGATAGACTCCTTCATCAGCTCAGCCAGAGATACACCATAGAAGTTGCCAAATCTTTGATTTGTAATGGTCTGAATAAACTAAAGAATGTTGAGCTTTCTTGTTTTTCCTTCGACAGACATTTCTCCTGAGTCCAGTGGCCTCTTGCTGAGAAACCCAGAAGAAGGTGGTAAGTACTGTACATCTCACAGGTTAACATCACTGTCTTCTCACTCTTCATCCCCAGCCTCTTCTGACAGCACAGCCCATAAACAAAGTCATCATTGATTCATAATCTTCTTCTTCCTCTTCTTCTTCTTCTTCTTCTTCTTCTTCTTCTTCTTCTTCTTCTTACAGAAATTCCAGTTTGTTACATTTACCCAGTGAATGCCATATGGCTGAGTGGTGGATTTGAACTTAGGTCTCTTCAAGCCCAGTCCAGCACTCTGACCCAGGGGTAGCCCATGTGATGTCCTCAACTCCAACTCCCACCAGTCCATCCATCATAATCAATAGTTGGACATGATGGAGTTGTATTCCAGCAACATTAGGAAGGCACCATGTTGGCTGCTCCTGCTCAAACCACTAACATCAGGGATGGGGTAACCAGTAGACCACCACATGTTGCTGGGACTCCAACTCCCATCAGCCCCAGTCAGCATGCCCAATGGTCAGGGATATTGGTAGTTGTGGTCTAGCAACATTTGGAGGGCCACAAGTTTTCTACTTCTGTGTTACACCACAGTGATGCTGCTAAATGTTTTGCAAAGTCTATCACATAGGTAAGGGTAAAGGGACCCCTGACCGTTAAATCCAGTCACGGATGACATCTTGCTTTACTGGCCAAGGAAGCTGGCGTTTGTCCGCAGACAGCTTCCAGGTCATGTGGCCAGAATGACTAAGCTGCTTCTGGCGAACCAGAGCAGCGCACAGACACGCAGTTTACCTTCCCGCCGGAGCGGTACCTATTTATCTGCTTGCACTTTGACATGCTTTCGAACTGCTAGGTTGGCAGGAGCAGGGACCGAGCAACGGGAGCTCACCCCGTTGCGGGGATTCGAACCGCCAACCTACTGATCGGCAAGCCCTAGGCTCTGTGGTTTAGACCACAGAGCCACCCGCGTCCCCCATTTATCAGAAGAAAAGGAACCAAGGAACAACCATGCAACCTTAATCTAACAACATCTCCCTATATTTGTAACTTATTGGTCATATGTGGAGAGTGGAAAAGTGGTAGGGCTGATGAGAATAAGTCAGTGATAGAGGTTCTCGATAGACCATGGTAGACCAAAGTCCATGACACAGTGAATGCTCCATCAAATACTTGGGTCCATGATAGCAGTCAATGACACACTAAGGCCCACTCTGAAATTTCCTTCAGTGGTGAGGGGACTTGCCACACAAATCCTCTTTGTATTTTAACTTTAATTTTTTATTGGAATTTCTATTTACAAGGTAACACAAACCCCCCAATACACATTAAACTTGAACATGTGAACATAACATACAACAATACAAACAACCAAATAAAAGATGTCCTTTATCCTTGTGGATATTTAAGTTATAATTAGAAAAATCTTAATAATTATTCATAAAGGAAACAGTTTATAAGAAGTAAATAAGGAGGCCAGATACAGGATAAGGGATAGAGGACAAACCTCTTTGTAGTGAATCTTTTGTAAGTACAGTAGTTATTTGCTTGAATTTATAATGGACAGGAGAATGAACGGCTTTTCTGACCAAAGTACTATTTCTGCACTGGATGCTTTTCTTTCAAAACAGTTAATCCAGACATGGAGAGCGGTGGAGGCCTCGAAACCCTCAGAGATGGAGGTATGTGGTTTCCAGTCCTTGCACTCTGCTGAAAATGCCCTCATAAAAATCACTGGCGTTCAGTGCAAAAAGTTCTAAACCTTTTAATCAGTCCTCATTCTTCTTGGCCTTTGCTTTAGGGTGGGGAAACCTCAACAAATACTGTGCAAAGAGTACAACGCATTGTCTGGTTTGCTAACATATACTTTCTGCTTTATTCATGACTAAAGCGCAGGAAGGCCTTGCTGGTCCTTTCGGAAACTCCATGCCAAGAGGTAAGTCAGTGTCACCCTGTGGTTTATATCCCATGTGACCAGGAACCTCCTTCTTTCCTTATTCCAGATGTTGACAAGATGGATCAAGAGGACAGGGGGAAAACACTACACAGGGGTCAAGAGGCGCCCCTGTCTTCAATATCTTAACTAAACCAGGAATGAGGGGATTACATGAAGTGAAGGCCCAAGACAGGTGTTGATCATCATGTGAGCTGCGCACAGGTGGTCTGAAGCAAGCGAGCTACCACCATTCCTGTGGAGCCTCTTTTTATTGGGACAAACATGCAAGCTAGGCAAATACATTTTTGGGCTGTGACCTTTACACATCTTCCGTCCCGAAATCGTGGGGTGGTACAAAGTTATTTTGGCACCTGTTCCACAGCGTCATTTTCCCCTTGCACAATGTATGACGAATGGAGACAAAAGGTCTCTAAGGGAAAAGTTACAGACAGGACACCGCAAACTGCTGAGATTGTGAAAGGTCAGGCAGAGGTGGAACGATGTACAGACAGCTGTGGCTTGTCGGGGGGTGGGGTTTCCCTGCACCCCAAGGTCACGCGTGCAGGCAGATTGTGGCTGCCTGCTGGTGGGGAAGCGTGCTCCCTCCGGACCCCACTCCCCACTCTGCGATATCCCTACATCTACACCCTGACACTTTTCAGGTGGTGCCTCACCCACCCCACTTTTTAGTGGTGCCTCCCCACCCACAGAATGACCAATATTGTTTGGTGGGAATTTAGCCAAGATTTTCAAAGCTAAATCTAAAGTTGCCTGATTTATTCAATGGTGGCTTCTTAGTTTTTTATATATATTATATGTGTTTGGATTATTAATGTATTTGGCTAACTTTGTATGGTTTTACTGTTTAAACCAGGGGTCAGCAAACTTTTTCATCAGGAGGCCTGCCCACTGTCCCTCAGACCTTGTGGGGGGCTGGACTATATTTTTTGGGGGGAAATGAACAAATTCCTATGCCCCACAAATAACCCAGAGGTGCATTTTAAATAAAAGCACACATTCTACTCATGTAAAAACACGCTGATTCTCAGACTGTCTGCGGGCCGGATTTAGAAGCCGATTTGGCCAGATCCAGCCCCCGAGCCTTAGTTTGCCTACCCATGGTTTAAACCTATGCCAATAAAGACCAATGACATAAATCACATTTATTGTTTAGTAGGCGAGTGATTTAATCACGAGTGTGCTTTCAGGGCTGTCAGTGAAAGCCTTCAACACAGAAGAAACCAGTGCTGCTCCACCTGCTATTATTAGCTCAACAGAGCCTGAGTCGGTTTCAACTTCTGATTCTCTTGGGAGATCAACAGACGATGGTAAGTCAGGTGGAATCTACATACATATAAAAAAAACGCTGTGAAAATGCTTTTTCAAAAAACGCATTTTGAAAAATAGATTGAATTTGCCATAGCTCACTTTCTCCATCTAGCGTCACATTTGTATATTGCACTTTACAACACACTTAAAACATTTTATTTGCAGCTGAATCGCTGAGTCTTAAGACTCAGGGAACCATCTGAGGAGGGGGGAATGTAAAGTATCTGTAGAGGTTCATAGACATGTGATTGTTTCTGTTTAGGTGATTATTTATACTATTTGCTATGCCAATTCATCACCAATGGTCTCTAGTAGGGAGTGCATCATTCCTATTCCTGATTGTGCAATTCTGATCTTACCTGGTACTGCTTGACTGTCTGGTCTCATCAGGGCCAGATTTAGTACCCTAAGCTACTGAAGATAATGGGGCCCTTTATAAGTTGAGCTGTCCTTTGTCAACAACAAATTGTCGCTGTTTTTTTGTGTTGAATATATGCTATATGGTGCTGGGAAGTTTTTGCCTCTGCGCATGGGTCTGGGAATGTTCTGATCAGTTCACATTGAGTTCAGTACCCTGACCTGTTCTTAACGCATTGTTGACCACATCTACGGAACACGATTGTTATGTTCTTTCATGTCATGCTATATCAATCATTAGTAATAGTTTAAGTCTTGATACTCAATCACTAGTTAATAGTTTAATAAGGAGGTTTCACGCCTGTCCAATTCTGTGTTCCCTTTCCCAACCTTTAATCTATTGATGATTAATACCTATATTCAAACTTTGCATTGTATTCATGTTAACCAATCAGCAACAAGCACATATGTGGTAATGCTGTAATATTCAATAAAAGGGACTCTCCGAGACTTGCTCGAGAGATGCCTCCCGTATGACACCTTGCCATTCGTCTGTCGCTTATTTCAACCCAACAATATGGTAATTTATGGTCCTAATAGGTATCTAAAGCAATTTGCACATTACAAAATATGTATTTTATCAAAGTAATTGTTGAACTGAAATACAATTAAGAAGTATATTAATAGTGAAATACAGTTAAGAAGAAGTATATTAATAGTGAAATAGTTGTTAAGCTCTAACTTAAATTGATTTTTTATGCATAACAAACTTACTAATGCAAACACATTGGCATTTGGCAATAACAAAAGTTCATTTAGAAACACAGTTTACAAAGACTTGTAATCTAGTTTGCTATTATTATTTCATGTTATAGCAAATTTCTAGAAACTAGATTACAAGTCTTTGTAAACTGTGTTTCTAAATGAACTTTTGTACATCCAGCAACAGTATTTTGTGTTGTGTAGGCTTCTGTGATGTAAGTAACGGGCCCCTAGCATTTTAGGGAGCAGGCTAGCGGGTGGGGCCCGTTACTTACATCACAGAAGCCTTACTTACTTACATCACAACACAAAACACTGTTGCTGTATGTAGGTTTTATTTTATTTGTTTTTTATCTTATATTTTGGTCATGTACATCCAGTTTTTTCCCTTTAATTTTTGGGGGGCCTCGCAAGAGAGTGGTGCCCTAAGCTATAGCTTGTTTAGCGTATACATAAATCTGGCAGTGGGTCTCATTTTGAACTCCCTCTCCGAACAGTACTCAGGGTGTATATCTCTCTCTCTCATCTATCTATCTATCTATCTATCTATCTATCTATCTATCTATCTATCTATCTATCTATCTATCTATCCTTACCATTTTAAGTGACCACTTGATGCAATTGATTTGATGGACATCTAACCCATGCAAGTTTATATCACAATAAATTGTTCGTTTTAAGAGAGCCTGGAGATTCTTTGTGTCATTTTGTGGGGGTTTTTTTTAAACCCAGTTAGGTTTATTTACAGCTTGTGGTCCTAAAAGCAAAACAAAAAACCTCATTTTATCTGATCTACAGGGAATCATTTCAAGATAGCTGAAGAAGAAGGTAGAACCTTTTCTACAATATCTCCAGAAGAGACGCCAGATCCTGATGAAACCTTTGGAGAAGGTGAGAAGGGGATGATCTTGCTCCTTCACAGGATCTCACCCACCCACTAAAAATTAAAGATCAGGGTGTGTCTGCTCAGCTCAGGAATTTGCGACTAGTATCAGAACTGACCTCACAAAGCCTTTTGCACTAGAAATCCACTCCTGGTTTTCCTCCTAACATCCCTTTTCAGCATCCTAATTTAAAGCAGGTGGGGAGGGGTGGGGATCTTTTTAGTTGTTGCAGTTATGAAGCTGCAACATAGCTCAACTGGTAGAGCATGGGACTCCTAATCTCTGGATCATGGGTTCGAGCCCCACATGGGGCAAAAATTCCTGCATTGCAGGGGGTTGGACTAGATGACCCTCGTGGTCCCTTCCTACAGTTCTATGATTCTATGATCAGACAGTTGGGGGGGTCAGGGACCGTGCTGAGGAGGGCTGGACTGAGAAGGAATGGTGGGAACCTCCCCCTACTCCTGATCCGGATCCTGACTCTTCCCAGGAGCAGGAGGACAGTATAGATTTGGAACAGTGGTTTGCAGAGGGTCATAGTTCAGAAGGCAGAAGCTGGGAAATACTGGATGGGGAACAGCTAGGAGAAGGAACACTGGGAGAAAGAGAGTTAACAGATTCACAGTCGTTGGACAGCATTCCTCCGATCTCTCTAAAGTCGAGAAGAGCTCAGAAAGTCTCAAAACAGAAAGCACAGAGGTTTCAAACTCAGATTACAAGATGTAGTAGTGACGTAGATTAACAGGGATGGAAGGGAGTGTAATCCTTAATTGGGAGTACCGCCATTTCTAGGAGATCTGTTCTTTGTTCTCTTGCTGTGATTATTAAAGTTTCCAACCGGTAAGACGTTCCTTTCTTTGATCGTCTTATCTATTGCCATGGGGGGAGGAAGCCAATTCCCCCAAACCTGACAGGGGGTCATTGTTGTTTAGTCGTTTAGTCATGTCCGACTCTTCGTGACCCCATGGACCAGGGCACGCCAGGCACTCCTGTCTTCCAGTTTGGTCAAACTCATGCTAGTAGCTTCGAGAACACTGTCCTACCATCTCGTCCTCTGTCGTCCCTTCTCCTTGTGCCCTCAATCTTTCCCAACAGGGTCTTTTCCAGGGAGTCTTCCCTTCTCATGAGGTGGCCAAAGTATTGGAGCCTCAGCTTCACGATCTGTCGTTCCAGTGAGCACTCAGGGCTGAGTTCCTTAAGAATGGATTGGTTTGATCTTCTTGCAGTCCATGGGACTCTCAAGAGTCTCCTCCAGCACCATAATTCAAAAGCATCAATTCTTTGGCGACCAGCCTTCTTTATGGTCCAGCTCTCACTTCCATACATCACTGCTGGGAAAACCATAGCTTTAACTATACGGACCTTTGTTGGCAAGGTGATGTCTCTGCTTTTTAAGATGCTGTCTAGGTTTGTCATTGCTTTGCTAGGTTTGTCATTGCTTTGCTAGGTTTGTCATTTTGTCATAGGGGGTCAGTTTCCTACAAATCACAAGGAGATCCGAACCTATTTTCTGCGTACCCTGGCATAAAGAATGCTTGGGAGGACCACAACAAGAAGAAGGTGTCCAAAGATAGAATCCAATTATATGACTCAGATTTCTACTTCTTTCTATAGTTTGTGACCGGTTTACATTCCTGCAACTGAGAGACAACGGAAGAGTCAAGCGAGTGCTCCCACAGTTGGGGGAGATGCTGTACTGCTTAACCGACCGATGCCCGGAGGACTTCGAGTTATATGGATGTTACTGTGGGCAGGAAGGACGAGGCCACCCAACGGATGAACTGGACAGGTTGTTCCTGGCAAACACTTTTGACACAAAAGAAAATGCTTTAAATGTGAAAATGCTTTTTAAAAAGTTTTTAAAATGTATTGAATTTGCCATAAGCACCCCTCGCCATCTAGTGTTGCATTTGTATAGTGCACTTAAAAACACTTAAAACATTATATTTGCAGCTGTATAGCTGAGTCCAGAGTCTCAAACATTCAAAGCACACAACTTTGGAGAAAGAATCCTGGGAATTATAGCTTGTTAAGGGTGCTGGGAAATGTAGTGCTTTGAGTAATAAACCACTGTTTCTGTTTCTGATGGTTCCACAACCATCCGTTGTCATGACCAACAGCCAATTTTTGGATAATTCCAAGGCGTTTGACGAAAGTGACTTAGAAAAACACTGACAAATTTCTAAGGGATCCAGACATTCAAAGCAATACAAAGAATGCAGTTCTGCAGAAGAGACTTAACACTTTGGCACTTTTTGCGTAACTACAGGTGCTGCTTCTCTCATCACTGCTGCCTGGAACAAGTCAAGAAACTTGGATGCCGTCCAGAAAGAAATTCACGGTCTGAGGTTGTGTGCTTTGATCGCACGCCAAAGTGTAAGTTTGGGATGAAAGATGATTCCCTTCTTCACTGTTACAATAAAAGAAAACATAAACATCAGTACCAGTTGCTGGAGAACTCAGAAGGAGAGAGTGATGTTGTGCTCAGGTCCTGTTTACAGGCTTCCCATGGCTGTTGGGTTGGCCACTTGTGAGAACAGAATGCTGGACCAGATGGGCCACTGGCTATTCTTATGTTCTAATGATAGTGTTTTTTACCCACTACATGTAAGGTAAAGGTAAAGGGACCCCTGACCATTAGGTCCAGTCATGGCTGACTGGGGTTGCGGCGCTCATCTCGCTTTATTGGCTGAGGGAGCTGGCATACAGTCATGTGGCCAGCATGACTAAGCCGCTTCTGGAGAACCAGAGCAGCACACAGAAATGCTGTTTACCTTCCCGCCAGAGCAATACCTATTTATGTACTTGCACTTTGATGTGTTTTTGAACTGCTAGGTTGGCAGGAGCAGGGACCGAGTAATGGGAGCTCACCCCATCGCGGGGATTTGAACCGCCGACCTTCTGATCAGCAAGTCCTGGGCTCTGTGGTTTAACCCACAGCGCCACCCACGTCCCTTCCCACTATGTGTAAGAATGCTCAAATGGGAACATCATCTGCATAGGGCCAGAGTTTCTACCTGCCTGCAGACTGTCTCACCAGAGTGGTGCATGCTCTAGTTATCTCCCGCTTAGACTACTGCAATGCGCTCTACGTGGGGCTACCTTTGAAGGTAACCCGGAAACTACAATTAATCCAGAATTCAGCCGCTAGACTGGTGACTGGGAGTAGCCACCGAGACCATATAACACCGGTTCTGAAAAGACCTACATTGGCTCCCAATGTTTCCAAGCACAATTCAAAGTGTTGGTGCTGACCTTTAAAGCCCTAAACGGTATTGGTACAGTATACCTGAAGGAGCGTCTCCAACCCCATCATTCAGCCTGGACACTGAGGTCCAGCACCGAGGGCCTTCTGGCGGTTCCCTCCCTGCGAGAAGTGAGGTTACAGGGAACCAGGCAGAGGGCCTTCTCGGTAGTGGCACCCGCCCTGTGGAACGCCCTCCCACCAGATGTCAAGGAAGTAAACAACTATCTGACTTTTAGAAGATATCTGGGCAGCCCTGTTTAAGGGAGTTTTTAAATGTTTGATGTTTTGTCGCATTTTTAATATTCTGTTGGGAGCTGCCCAGAGTGGCTGGGGAAACCCAGCCAGATCTTTCAAAAGTCTTCAAGCAATCCTAATTTTACTGGCTCATGACATTTAGCTGCCCGAGGTAGAGGACAATATGACATTGTCTCCGCTCCAAGTACCAAACTCAGCCAGCCTAGCTGAATGTTGTTTCAAGGCCAGTGATGAGAGAAGCTCTTCCTGGGATCCAGGGCATACTATCTTGCACATATAGTTCTGTCCTCTTAACAGCAACAAGGTCGAACTCCAAATGTTATGGGCACTCCAGCTCCCTTCAGTCCCAGACAACATGACCAATGGTCAGGGATGATATGAATTACAGTCCAACAACATCTGGAGGCTTGCATATTCCCCATCACACCTCTAGCCAAAGGGGGGGAGATGTATTTCCAACATTTATATACTTTTTTTTTTTTTGCAACAAAGAGGTTTCTAATGCAGTCAGTAAAACCACTTAAATTGGCATAAATGAATGAGCAAATAAAATGGCATAAAATCAATGTAGCAATACCGCATTTTCAATGTAACATTGTTTGATCTAGAGCAGAGATCTCCATTCATTCCTCCAGGGAAAGGGAATTCCATAGTTTTGGGGGGGTGACTGCTTTGAAACCCCCACAGATTCCCACCCAATGTACAACCATTGCTGGTGGGAAGGGGAAAACCCCCTTCAGCTGACCTACAGGCCCAGGACAGGCTAGTAAGGGTAGAAGCATGTCAACAACAGGACAGCCTCTCCTGGTATGCCCCGCGGAGGACCTTAAGGTCCACAAATGACAACATCTTGGAGGTCCCAGGTCGCAAGGTGGTTAGATTGGTCTCAACTCGGGCCAGGGCCTTTTCAGTACTGGCCCCGACTTGGTGGAACACTCTGTCACAAGAGACCAGGGCCCTGCGGGACTTGACATCTTTCCACAGGTCCTGCAAGACAGAGCTGTTCCACCTGGCCTTTGGTTTGGACTCAGTCTGACCCTTATTTTTCCCTCCCCTTATGGTTTTGATCTATGGGCTACTTTTAAAATGAGGCTGCATTTTAAATTGCATTTTAACCTGTATTTTAAATTGCCCTCCCATTATGTTTTTACTGTAATTTTATTGGTGTTGGCCACCCTGAGCACAGCTGCCAATTTTCCTCTTTTTTAAGGGAAATTCCCTTATTCCGAATAGGATTCCTCACAAGAAAAGGGAAAGGCTCTGGCTGGGGAGGGCAGGGTATAAATTATTATTATTATTATTATTATCATCATCATCATTATTATCATTATTACTACAAGAAACCTAGGATGGGGGACTCAAAAGGGACAGCCATAGGAGCTGCCTCTGCTGCCTCCCGATTTGTTTGAGGCAGCTGCCCCACTTTGCCTCATGGTAGGGCTGGCCCTGATTGTTATCTAGTCCAGTTTTGACAAACAAACACGAACCATCTACTTCTTAGGTATCGGATGGACGATGTGCGAAAAGCTTCAGTGTTCCTGTGACAAGGCAGCGGCTGAGTGTATGGCGGCTGCCTATTTCAATGAAAGCATGGGGTCTCCAAACAGACAAGCCTGTCCGGAGCCAGAGGTTAAATTGTTCTGCCGCAGGGGCGGGCATGAAAGACCCCTGAGCGGCGCTGGGATCAGCTCCAGGGCTTCCAGCGAGGAAGAGAGGAGCAGTGAGGAGACCGATCCGGCGGGGAGCCTTTTGGGAAGAGGGAAGAGGTCAGCACGCCTGGCCCGGGGAATCTCCAGAGCTGTACGGCTGCAAAGAAGATAACCGGCGTTTCTCTTGCACCAGTTAGGAAGCTATCAGGAGTAGGGAATGTATGAAGTTAGTACTGTCTGTTCTGCCCTTTATGCGACATTAAAGTGAGCTGGTTTCGTTCCTCTGCTGCTCGGCTCCTGCCGGATACATTGCTATCCCTCCTGCTGTTTGCTATGGCTCCATTATATTGTTTGTTGTCATCATTTTTTCATAATCTGTGCTGCTGAGTCACACTATATTTACAAATCAGTAGCCTTCCCTGCATGATCCTTTTCAAAGCTAAAGAATTTTTAGAGGGGTGGCCCTGAAAGTCTTTTGCAGCAACGATGACCCCCCAAAAAGCTTGTGACACCTTAAAGACAAATTTAATAAAGTGTCCAGCTATGGCTGAAAATCTAACCATGTATATTCAGAAGTAAGTCCCATTGGTTTCAGTGGGGCTTACTCTCAGGTAAGCAATGTTACGATACGATAACAATACGATAATCTTTATTGTCATTGTCCCATACAGAACAATGAAATTTTAAAAATCTACACCAGACATTCAAAAACCAACAAGCCTGCTATCCCAGCTGTCCCAGCCTGGTTAACCCCCTAAAAACTCTGATACCCCATAATTAAATACAATATACTCCCACAGAGACTACCTTACACTGTGTTTAAAACCAAAATCGCATCTGGATAGAAACTGTTTCTCAGGCAGTTAGTCCTCGTCTTTATAACCCTGTACCTTCTTCCAGAAGGCAGAAGCTGAAAGAGATCATTTCCGGAGTGTGTACTATCTTGCACTATCTCTGCAGCTTTCTTATGTCACCTGGAAGCATAGATTTGATCCAAGGTGGGAAGAGTGCACCCAATTATTCTCTCCGCAGTCTTTACAACCCTGGACAGCATTGGTTTTTCCCTGACCATGCAGCTCCCAAACCACACACAGTTCATTTGACATAACTCACTATTTTGATTTCACAATTCAGTATAAAGTTGTCATTCTATCTTGTTTAATCTCACTCAGGCACCAAGAAGGGATAGTTTAGTTAAAAATCAAGAAAACTGGAGTGGGATGGGGGGAAGGAGAACTGGGATTTTAAATTTAATTTTAGTTTTAAAATTCAAAATTAAGAGTGGCCAAAATTGGGCAGCCAAATCCAGATGGTTCTTTCGACTTTGACAAAGAGGCTGCGACTTTAGCAGAGGAGCCTAGATAAAACCCACAGGAGAGATCACTTCTGCCCATGAGATAAAAATAATGGGTGATGCATTTCTTTGACATTTAAAATTCACAAGACAAAGAAGATTGACCCCAATTACTTAGGAGTAAGCCTCACTGATTCAATGAGATTTACTTCTGATGAGACAGGAAACAAAATGATATCCTGCATCAAGGTACATAGTATACAGTGCCGTAGATATGTAGTTATGTTATCTGGATTTCCTGTGGATTTTAACATTATAAACAGTTGTGAAGGGGAAAGCAATTTAAATCAGGACCCCATGCCCACCCTCTCCCTCCCTAAGCTCTTTGCCCCACAGCGAAAACCTACAGATATGGTTACCTGTAATGAGACAAATATTAAATTTGGAAGGGAAGTTACTTTAATCATGAGAAAGACAAGTGGGAGTCCTGTTATTATTTTTAATGAGGAAAAACCCTGTAAAATAATCCAAAATAGTCACATATGACTGGGTGTGGGGCAGCAGGGGGCAGTTTCATTAAAACAGACTGGCAGGCCAAATTTGGCCCACAGACCAGAGATTTCCCCATCCTTGGCTCAGCACATCACGAGGCCATTAAAAGCCTAAGGCAACCATAATATAACATGTAATTTCAGGAAGGCAAGTGCAAACAATGTGGCTTATTTTCCACTTTTCCCTTTATTTGCTTAAATATAGATTACAGAAAGTGTGTTCTACATTTCACAAAAGCTTTTCATTAGGTAAAAGTCAGGGAAACATAAGCAATGAAAGGAATAAACTAGCCATATTTTCACTCTGGACAGTTTTCAAATCTGAAGTGTGTGAATCTGCGTTTTTTAGGTTTAGCAGTGTTTTCCTCCAGAGAGTTAGGAAGCTAGAGAAAGAAATGAAAACAAAGAGCTGGACTATGTGGATCCCAGGAAAGGGGCTTTAGCGTCCACACATGAATTCCAACTGGTCTGTAGAGATCTGTACCAGGTGACATTTCCCACACAGGGGTTTGTGTTTGTTGGATAAAGTGATGGATACCAAGAAGAATAAGAAAGTCAGAATTAACTCAACTATGAATGCTAGGTCCTGGTGCACAAAAACCATTGGCTGCTACAAGTCTTTTTTAAAAAAACATTTAGAAAATATTTATTACATACAATGCAATACTGGAAGTGTGCAAGCAAAGGGAAGTTTTTTAGACACTTTGGAGGTGCTTCGTTCACACGCACCACTGAAGCAAAAAAGAAATCACATCTGTAGGGCTCAAGGTGTGGTTCGGGGGGGGGGATTGCTGCTTCACTGTGATTTTAAGTTTTGTGGGGGAAAAGCTATGGGCACAAGCAACCTGGGCATTCCCCTGCTCCAGCCCCAATGAAGAACATGGAAGATGTGCGAGGAGTCTCTTGTACCAATCCCACAAGCTTCAAAGGGGCACAGCATGGGGAAATGGCTCTGGTGGGTTGCACATACAGCGGTACCTCGGGTGAAGTACTTAATTCGTTCTGGAGGTCCCTTCTTAACCCGAAACTGTTCTTAACCTGAAGCACCACTTTAGCTAATGGGGCCTCATGCTGCCGCCGCACTGCCAGAGTATGATTTCTCTTCTCATCCTGAAGCAAAGTTCTTAACCTGAGGTACTATTTCTGGGTTAGCGGAGTCTGTAACCTGAAGCGTATGTAACCTGAGGTACCACTGTATTTATATATGTCGAAAGCCGCCCAGAGTGGCTGGGGCAACCCAGTAAGATGTGGCGGGTATAAATAGTACAATTATAATGACGGAATGGGGCACCCCTATTTTCATTGGAGAAATGTTGGAGGGCATGCAACATGTATGTGCACAACAACTTTATCTTGCACACGCAAAGTATTTTCCTCATACAAGGGATCACAGATCAAAGGAGCTGTATGAGAACCTTAAGACAGTTTGTGAATCAACAAATTGGGGAGTTTCCTGATTGCGGGTCCTCATGTTGCATTAGATTTGGCACCAGGTAATCTCCTAACCACCTGGAATAGCTCTCTCTTGGCGTAAAAATGGGGGCTGCTGTAGGAATAGAATAATAATTTAATAATAATAATTTATATTTATATGCCACCCATCTGACTGGGTTGCCCATTCTGGGCAGCTCCCTCCAAAAAGATTAAAAACACAATAAAACATGAAATATTAAAACTTTCCCTATATAGAGCTGCTTTCGAATACCTTCTAAAAGTCAACTAGTTTATTTCCTTGACATCTGATGGGAGGGCGTTCCACAGGATGGGCGCCACTACCCGGAAGGGTCAAAATCCTGCCAGGGCAATGCATATAAAAGCAAAGTCTGTAGCCCTTTAGAACTGGCTTAACATGCTCACAGCAGGGGTGGCTAACCTGTGGGTTCTCCAGATGTTGCTAGACTCCAGTCAACCTCTACCTGCAAGGCCAACTGTCAGAGACAATGGGAACTGTAGGCTAACAACATCTGGAGGGCCATAGTTTAGTCACCCCTGGATTACAGGGTCCATAATTTCTTAAAACAATTATTATTTAAAGCACTGATGCCCAGTTCTTTAGCCAAACAGAAGACTTCATTATGAAAACTTCCCATTTTTTGAGAGTTTGGGGAAGAGTAGTCCTAGTGGTTAAATCGGCAGCTAACCTGAAAAACGAACAGGGCCTAATGCTGTATCTTCATTTTATTCCAACACATGGATCTCCTACCATTTCTAAAGAAAATTTTAAAAAACAACTGAGACGAATGCAAAGTTGATTAAATTTGCTGACCTATTAGTCTTGACGTATACAGGCCAGGATCTGAAAACTTGCATGAAAAGTGGTGTGTGGCATTCACACTACAATTCCTCAGAAGATTTCTTACCCTGAAAAAAGAGACTTTTCAGAATCTGGTGGGTGCAGGACTGAGCTTACTTTCTTGTGGTGAGGAGGCCACGGCTGTGTGTTTTTATCTCCATTAAACATTTCTGCAGCACTCTGCAGCCTCCCTAGTTTCTTGATCTGAAAAAGGCCTGTGGCATCTTCCCCTGGACTTTATCTGAAGATTGGAAAAAGCCAGAGTATGTGTTTGTGACCACCAAACCCTTGAGACTGCTGTGCTTGCCAATTTCGTTCTTAAGGGAAATTCTTCCTCTTTCCTGTCTTTTTTTTAAAAAAGAGTCTTTCCATGCTGGTTTATTTTAAAATCCCAGTGCAGTGTGGGAAGTCCTGTAAGCCTAGAAGTATAAAAGGGAAGGCTTTACTTAAAAGACAATGGCAATGACCAGCTGCTAGGTGCAGACAGTAGATAGCTCCTTTGTGCTTACAGAAGGGTCTGGCTGAGGTGTCATGGAGCTTTTTTCTGAAGCACAGGCACCCAGGAAGACTGCATAGTGCAGACCATTGGAGAGATGCTGTGTAGAATGAAAGGCAGGACATTCATACACACTCCTTGGCCACCTCGCAAGTCAGGTAAGTGCAACAAGTGTTCCTGGCCCACGAGAATTTCGCAGAAATTTTTATCCCTTCTGTTTTCTGAACACTGTTTCTTTTCTCATAAATTGATGGAGAATGGTTGGGGAGGTGGGGGAAGCAGGAGAAATCTTTGGCACAACACTCCATGTTATCTACAGAACAACAGGGAAGGGCAACAGCCCTGCTGATTATTATCACATTCTTTACACAACATTTTGCAGTTCAGCTTTAACAGAATATTACACTCTAACCTTGCACAGGCAATGTGTTGACACCAAACACATGGGCCGACGAAATTTAACTTAACCATTAAATCCAGTAAAGCACATACAAATTAAGAGGGCTATGGAATACAGTCATACCTCATGTTGCGTTAGGTTCATGTTGCGTCTTTTCGACTTGCGAACACACGTGTGCATGCAGAAGCGTTCTGTGCGCTTCGTGCATGCGCAGAGGTGCTGCTCTAGTTGCAGACTTTTTGGGGTGCGAACGACACCCTGGAATGGATCATGTCCGCAACTGGAGGTACCACTGTATGCTATTACTGGACAACAACATTCTAAACTTATCAACTACAAAGGTTTGCTAAACACACACACACACACACACACACAGAAATACTTCACACCCATTTCACAGTTCGGCACATTATGAAATACTTATCCTCTTTAAAATGCCTTTAGCATATCCCTTGCCATATCAAATATATAACTTTCTTTCCCTTTAATTGCTCCTAAGTTCTCATTAACAAAATACTCTGCATTTCAAAACCACAATCTGTAAGAAATTATATTCCTTTAGAAGGGGAGGGGGGATAGTGCAATTCCAGAGACCCCAACAGAAAGCTTCTTGCCTTTCAAGCAAGACGCCCTGACCGTGGGCTGGTGATGCAGCCCCACAAACATGGGGCAAATCCTCCAACTGCCAGCAGTGGGTGGAAGGGAGTGCCCCATATGGGACAGTCAGCATTGGGAGCCTCATGCATGCAAGGGTCTCCACATTAGAGCCTTTGGCAGGATGCACAGCACATTCCAATACTCTATAATAACAGGTGTTTAAGGCTCCAAAACATTATATGGAGCTTTCCGATTCATGTGGCCAGCATGACTATACCGCTTCTGGCACAATGGAGCCCCTTGACGGAAACCAGAGCGCACAGAAACACCATTTATCTTCCCGCCACAGCGGTACCTATTTATCTACTTGCACTGGTGTGCTTTCAAACTGCTAGGTTGGCAGGAGCTGCTACAGAGCAATGGGAGCTCACTCCATCGCGGAGATTTGAACCGCCGACCTTCTGATCAGCAAGCCCAAGAGGCTCAGTGGTTTAGACCACAGCGCCACCCGTGTCCCAAATGGAGCACTGCCACTGAAAGGAATACAAACTTTTACGGCCTGCACCAGGGTGCTGATCCAACAGGATGAATCACACATGTGACAGAGGGAACCATGCGTGAGTTTTCCCAGGCTGAAAGTCCAATCTAAGAAGAAATGTGCAAGTCAAGTTGCTGCCAATCGCTCGGGGTGGGGTGAATCTCAGACTCCACCAACAGATAACTGGTAGCAATAAATGCTACTCATATGCAGCTCCAGTTCCTGGGCTGGGATTCTAGTGGCCAGGCTTCCAGAAAGGATATTGCAATCGCTTCACACCAACTGGTTGTTTTGCTGCTGCCAGCTAAGGCAGGCATAGGCAAACTCAGCCCTCCAGATGTTTTTGCGACTACAACTCCCATCATCCCTGACCACTGGCCCTGTTAGCTAGGGATGATGGGAGTTGTAGTTCCAAAACATCCGGAGGGCCAAGTTTGCCTATGCCTGAGCTAAGGCACGGTTTGGCTATGCATTTTGTCTGAATCCAGGCTTAGCTTTCTCCAGACAAACTGAAGGTTGCAAGCCAAACCTTCATTCTAGCTTGTGGCTTGTCTGCAGTCTGGGTTTTGACCATGTGTTAAGCCAAACCATAGCTTAGCTCCATGCAGTGCAGAAGTAAAATGACTAGGGAGATGTGATACAGCTGCAATATTGTCTCTGGGATGTAACACGTTTGTGCAAAAGCAATGATTTGGGCTTAGCATGCAAACCAAACCACTGTGTCTGCACAACTTCCTCTCCATGCATGGATTATCTTCTTTATCACAACAACTTTAAATGTATTTCAAGCCTGTTTATAACTCTCATAGTTCCTCCCTGGGAGCTGTAAATTCTATGCAAATAAATAGCTACCCAGTGCTGTAAATATATCAGTGTTGCCAAAAACACATACGTCAAAACAGGTTACAAAAACGCATGGTTAAAAAAAAGAAAAGAGCCCATCCTAAACTACACTTGCAAACTGTAGTCTAAAATTAAAAAATGCTAAGATATAATAAACAAATCGGAGGGGGCGGGACGAAAGAAAGGTTTCCCTTCCAAATAGTAATATATATATATATATTTTTAAAAAAGATGTCTTGAATTCAGTGGAGATGAATAAGGACCTCTCCAGAAGTCTTTTTCATTATGAAGATTTGTGCTCATAAGCAATCTTGCTTTCAATACTGTTTGTGCCTGTTTTGGGTGGAAATACTGCTTTGTTTCCAATCGGTGCATGTCCCACGGCTTCCCTGGTGAAATCCTGCAACATTTCATGCCACAAATGTTCTCTTCCTTTCTCTTGTCCTGTTCATGTTGCACAATAGCGCACGAGTGCCCCTCCAGCTAGCAATAGTGCAGTTAACACTGGAGGAAACATCACAGAACTACTAATAAAGTAACTAATCGTGTGGAAAGTCCGGTATAGATCTATCACTAATTCACTATTACTGGGACACAGCAGAAGTGTTGGAGAATTCACCTATAAAAACAAAACAAAAACATATTCAAAATATAATGTAATCTGCTCTGGGCAGACACCACATTAAACTCGATAAAATAATTTTCTGAGAAGCCAAAAACCTGTCTTTTTGATGAATTCAGAGGACACTCAATACACACAAAGATCAGGAAACTTCATCTCGTAGACTGGGATGGACTGGTAATGGTTGTGTCCAGTGTTAATCGCCACCGTTCCAGAAGGGCTCGGAGGAGGCCTGGGGAAGATGGAGAACAAATAGAGGCATCGTTTTTAGGTTTTGCTGCATGCTCACAATTTTATTTGTCTTGCTTTTAAGTGTTTGCGATGAGGCACTCATTTCAGGTTGTCTCCTGCCTGGGGTACTGCTGGGAGAAATACCCCCTGTGGGTTTGCCTATCGGATCAATTAACAGGCATTTATTCAGCATTGAAATGGACACCACTTTAACCCCACCTGGGAAGGGAAGAAAGTGCCGAGGAGATTGAAAGATACAGCAATATTTATGGTTTAAGCATTCCTAAACAACAGCTATTCTGTCCAGCTAAGTCATGTGTCATAACCACAGCTTTCTGGTATAGCAATTGCCTTAATCCTAATCTCCATTCTGCTGTTCACTCAACTACAATATTCAATGGCTCTCTGCTCAAGTATACACGACTACTCAACTTTACAGTGCATGTCTGACTTACTCATAAACCCCCTTCAACATATTTTGGTTCTTTCCATAACATTATACTTTGGAAGCTTCAGTCGTCTGGGGTTCTTTTGATTGTCCAGTCGCCCCACTTATGCAACCATTTTATTTATTCATATCCCATCTTTTCTCCCAGATTGGAAGGTAAGGCAACTTACAACATTTGAAGAAAAGAAAAGCACGAAATAAAAAGTAATAAGCACAAACAATAGCTAAAAGACATTGAAATATCTTTAGAACCGGCCATTACAATCTAGTTTGCCCCACAGCAGCCCAGTGGGCAGCACTTGAGTATCCAAAGGCCTGTCTGAATAGAAAACTCTTAGCCTGCTGGTGGAAGGATAGCAGAGAGGGAGCTGGTCTGACCTCCTTGGGGAGGGAATTCCACAATATGGGAGCAGTCGCAGAAAAAGCTCCCCCCTTGTGTCACCACTAACTGTGTCTTTGATGTCAATGGGGCCAAGAGAAGGTGGCCTTTGGATCTTAGCAACCAGACAGGTTTGTATACAGAGATGCAAAATTTCAGGTAGCCTAGGATTCACCTAGTTGCCCCACCAAGTCAACGGTCCACTAGTTGCCGCTGACCCTAGATAACCTGGCCCCAGGTTGCTTTACGCTAGTTAAACTTGTCAGTTTGCATTTCTTAGTACAGAAAGTATTGATCTGATGTGCATAGATCTTTCCTATTCTAATTAATTCAAGAGGGTTCTGGAAGCTTTTCTGTGTGAAAGAAACAAGCAGAAGGTTCATGATGTTTGGGTTATTCCTTCAGAGAAGCTGAATACAGCTGGTTTAAACTGGTTCTGTTATCTCTTTCTGTCAAGGTCATGCTGACTATAAAAGTAAGGCCAGAAAGAGCCCGGGTTTCACTTTCTCTGTCTATCTCTTTTCCTTCTGGTGTGGTGTTCTGTACATAGATAGTGTTAAGGTTCAGACTTATTATAAATTAAGTTAAGTCTGCTGCAACTGGATTTTTTATGGACGGCGCCAATCCTGAATGTAATGGATTTGTGACTGTTATGCTCATTTGCCTTCAGTAGCAGTAAAGCTCTGCTGGATGAAATACAATTGCCTCTGGTCTATTTTTCGGGAATCCTGCAACGTGTTTAAGTGGTTACTCTGCTAACTATACGCTGGAATCTACTCTGGATCAATCTTGAGTAGAATTCCAATGAGAAAATTATCATGGGTTCCCCCGAAGAATCATAGGAAATATACTGTGGGAAAGGTGCGATGAAGCCAATTATAGAGATTGTTACCACCACCACCACTCCTCACAGAACCGCAGTTTCCTCATGAGGGTTTCCTGATGAGAGGGAATGCCTGCTAAACCAATCTAACTCTGTAGGGCAGAGATGCTCTTTGAGAAAATCAGTTTAGGTCTACTCTTACTAGCAGTCTAATCCATGGGTAGGCAAACTAAGGCCCGGGGGCCGGATCCGGCCTAATCGCCTTCTCAATCCGGCCGGGGGAAGAGCCGGGAATCAATACGTTTTTACATGAGTAGAACGTGTCCTTTTATTTAAAATGCATCTCTGGGTTATTTGGGGGGCATAGGAATTTTGTGGAGCCTGCCTGGTGTTTTTACATGAGTAGAATGTGTCCTTTTATTTAAAACCCATCTCTGAGTTATTTGGGGGGCATAGGAATTCATTCATTTTTTTTCTTCCAAAATATAGTCCATCCGTCCCCTAAGGTATGAGGGACAATGGACCGGTCCCCTGCTAAAAAAGTTTGCTGACCCCTGGTCTAATCCCTTAGAACAGAGGTCAGCAACCTAAGGTTCTGTGGCTCGGCGTGGGGATTCCGTGCTTTTCCCCCCTGAGGCACCATTTTTTCCTCGCTGTTGAGACCGACGTCTGGGTCGGAAGTGTGCTGGAAATAGCATGTGTGCACGCGCATGGGCGCTCCTCACCTGGAGGAGTGCCTGTATGCGTGCGTATAAGCCATTTCCGGCACACTTCCGGGACAGAGAAGCACCCATGCACACACGCTTTTTCTGGCGTTCTTCCAACCCAGAAGAGCGCCAGAAATATCTTGCACGCACGTGTGGGCACACACACTCTGGCCCACCAAGAGGTCTGCCAGGGAGTGGACCGGCCCGGCCTCAAAAAATGCTGCCGATTCCTGCCTTAGAAGGAAGTGCTACAGATATTAATGGGACCCTAGGAAGTATAGATGGGGGTGCAGCCAACATCTCCCCCTGCCCCCCCAAATCTCACCCCCCAAAAAGTGGAAACACAAGTTATTTTTGGAAACAAGGAACAACCTGATAGCCTTGCCTATACTTCACAAACATAAAACCACTTCCACAAACTCTTACCGAATGGTGCGTTCCAATATCTGTGTCAGCCTGTCGTGGAGCAAGTTTGCCTGCAGGGAGAACAGATTGGATATTTTAGGGAGAGGGATGCTGGGTGACCACCACAACCTTCTGACAAATTGGTCTGGAAAAACAGAGCCAGCAATAGCAGCACTGATCTTGTATCAGAATCCACTGGCATTGTGGGCATCTAGGGCACCATGAAGTTACTGGGATTGGGTACCCACACAGCTGGGATTGCCCAATCGCATGGAAGCTTGTGCACGAGCAGTTCCTTATGCATTTGGCTTCCATGACCAGAAAGCCTGTGGGAACACATGACTGTCTTGAGGTGGTGGCACCAGCATGCTTGACACTGGGGACACACCCAGATGTGCAGTCCCTTTCCTAGGGACTGCCCGTGATTCACACAACTGATGTGCTGGGGGAGGGGTACACATTGAGGATTATATCCTTGCAAAAAGTTAGGTGAATAACCATTTCAAGGAAACTTGCCCACACCAAAACGCATGTCAGTAACCCACAAATTGTAAAGGCAAACTCTTAGGGCAGGGGTGGCTGACCGTTTTGGGGGTCAAGGGCCATGTTGAACTGTTGTCAACCTTTCAAGGGCCGCAAGTCAAAGTTGCTGACGCTTAAAAGCAGGAATGGTCAACTTTCGAAATGGGGAGAGGCATTTTTTTTAACAAGACAAATTTTAGGGTCTCTCAAAGGGGAGGGGTTCCACACAAACCTTTTAGCATCACAGAGAGACCCACAGGAAGAAGAACTATAGTTTGGATTTGATATCCCGCTTTATCACTACCCTAAGGAGTCTCAAGGGGACGTGGGTGGTGCTGTCTAAACCACAGAGCCTAGGGCTTGCCAATCCGCAGGTCGGCGGTTCGAATCCCCATGACGGAGTGAACTCCTGTTGTTCGGTCCCAGCTCCTGCCCACCTAGCAGTTCAAAAGCACGTCAAAGTGCAAGTAGATAAATAGGTACAATTATGGCAGGAAGGTAAATGGCATTGATCCCTAGCTAGCAGGACTAGTGGTCAGGGATGATGGGAGCTGTAGTCTCAAAACATCTGGAGGGTCAAGGTTGAGGAAGCCTGCCCTAGAAGATTCATTTCTAAGATGCTTGCCAAAGGATACCTGTATGCATGGCAGAGGAGGCGGCATCTAAGTATAGAGGGGTGTTTGGGACTCCAACTCCCATCAGCCCTAGCCAGCATGGTGAATGGTTGAGGATTATGGGAGTTGCAGTCCCTAGCATGTGGAGGGTGTCATGCTGGCTATTCCTAGTCCAGAGACAGGAGAGCCTTAGCACTTTCTCTCTGACATTCGTCGCTAATGAGGTCCAGAATACCTGGTGCATCTGTTTAAGCCCTTAGCAGGATCGAGTAGGTGGATCATGGCCTGAGTACTTACCTTGGTTTCACACTGTGCAGCAATTTCTTCAAAAGGAGCCTTCTGGAATTTTTCAATCACAAGTCGCCTCCTTTCTTTCTCTTGTTCCTCAAGACCATTGTTGTCTTTTGGAGAGATGGGGATGGGGGGAAAACCAGCCAACTTTAAACCAATGACTTTAAGCTGCTAACAGCATCAACAGAGTAACCAGAAAGCAAAGCAAAGGGAAACATCAGGAATATTATTCATCCTCATCCCAATTTAGGGCCAGCATATTAAACAAAGAGTGAAGTGAAATAATTCACCCCTGAAGGAGCATATTATGGGAGCATATTATTGTTACTAGTGAATACAGAAATGCAAAGCTTTCTTACCTATTGCCTGCTTCAGGGTCTCAAAGGTGATTTCTTCAGTGCTATTTGCCTAAAGAAACAATAGTATTTAGGGTACTGTGTCAACCACAGTAAAGGGTCAGCTAGAATTCATCTTAAGTGTCTCAAATATTTTTTCCACCCGAAAAACAGCCCTTCGACTCATGTGTGTGTGTTTTCTTTTCCTGGTGACATTTTTCCTTTAAAAATTGCATGCAGAACAGTAGATCTGCAAATGAAAATCACAATCCTGACTACCACAACTTGTGGTATATAGATAGACTGAAAGCACCGAAGAATGTTTATAGGGGGGAAAAGATGCACGATCTTTTCTTTAATGGAACTGTTACATACCTTTTCATCCAGGCTGCAGCCAGGCAGAATGTCTACCTGAATTGACAAGGTGTCCACAATACTCTTCCTCCTGGACAACCTGTCTTCATCTGAACAAAAAGAGAAATGCCTGTCTTGTCAATACATCATTGTGTTTCCCTGTTTTCTTTGCCCCAAACTGAAGCGAGTCAATTCAAATTTCAGTGGCCTCTCCCAGGACCCTATGTCTGGCCCTTAGGACTCTGTCCAGCCACACCTCTTGTCTCCAGGCCACACCCCTCACCTACCTGCTTCACACTCTCTTTGAGTGCTTTTGCCTGGCTGGAATTCATCCTGAAACTCCAATAAGTCCTCTGGCTTGCATGGGTGGAGGCAAAACTAACCCCAAACTAACAGTTGGCACCAGCTAAGTGTCCCTGGGAGAAATGCCCTGTGTCTGGGTCACCATCAATGAAAAGGTCCTCTCTCCAGTGGTCTTCTACTTAATTTCAGAAGATAGGACACTTACAGTACATTTCTGAGCACAATTCAAAGTGTTGGTGCTGACCTTTAAAGCCCTAAACGGCCTTGGTCCAGTATACCTGAAGGAGCGTCTCCACCCCCATCATTCTACCTGGACACTGAGGTCCATCACCGAGGGCCTTCTGGCAGTTCCCTCGCTGCAAGAAGCCAAGTTACAGGGAACCAGGCAGAGGGCCGTCTCGGTAGTGGCACCCGCCCTGTGGAACGCCCTCCCATCAGAAGTCAAAGAGAACAACAACTACCAGACTTCTGAAGGCAGCCCTGTTTAGGGAAGCTTTTAATGTTTGATGCATTACTGTGTTTTAATATTTTGTTGGAAGCTGCCCAGAGTGGCTGGGGAAGCCCTGCCAGATGGGCAGGGTATAAATAATAAATTATTATTATTATTTATTATTACAGGTAGGCATAAAGGTGTCAGAAAGCAGACAGCTTCATAGCTGGTGCCTCCGATTACTTAGTCTCGAGCCATCAAGGGCTTTGTAATAGAATACCAGCCATTTGAACTGTGTGCAGAAGCACACTGGAAGTCCGTGAAGAGGCAGCATGGGGTAGCGGTTAGAGTGCTAGGCTGCAATCTGGGAGACGGGGGTTCAAATCCCCACTTGGCCATGAAAATTATGAGGTGACTTTGGGCAATTACTACCTCTCAGTCTGGCCTACTTCGCGGGGGTGCTGTGAGAATCACGTGGAGGAGAGGACAGCCATTGGAGGAAAGGTGGGATATAAATGCGAAGATAGATAAAAAAACCATTGGGAAAAATACCTATGAGATGCGTACGAATATGCTACATCTACTAGGGTTGCCAACAGTGCCGGATTTACGTATAAGCTAAAGCTATAGCTTAGAGCCCCACTCTCTTGGGGGCCCCAAAAAAATTAAAGGAAAAAAACCTGGATGTACATTTCCAAAATATAAGATAAAAAACAAATAAAATAACAGTGTTTTGTGTTGTGTAGGCTCCTATGATGTAAGTCATGGGCCCCGCCTGCTAGCCTGCTCCCTAAAATATCACTGGTTTGCTCATTTCTATATATAGGGTGCCTACATTCTGCATGGACTGGTTGCATGGCAACATGGGCAAATGGCCTTAGATGCCTATTAGGTTCATAAATTACCATACCACATATATTCAACACAAAAAAACAGCGACAATTTGTTGTTGACAAAGGACAGCTGGACATATAAAGGGCCCCATTACCTTCAGTAGCTTAGGGCCTCATCAAACCTAAATCCGGCCTTGGTTGCGCCATATTTCAAAAAGTAAAAACCAGGACACCCTGTATGGCAGCCCTAATGTCTACAGTTGTGTGGGTCACAGCTACTAGGAGCAGGGGAAATAAAGGAAAATCGCACAACACTGGGATTTTCTATCTATGAGCATAAGGAGCTTATTTGGCTTTCTTTGGGTCCTACCACCATGAAGCTATAACAAGAACAAGCAGTGGCAGCTCAAATTTACCTTTTGACTTGCGCCTGCATTTATGAGGCTTTTTGCCAGATGGGAATAGGGCTACATTTCCGAAGATGCATAAGAATGGAAATAGAAGCTTTAGGATGACATACCATATGGAAAATTAGAAAAAAGAAAGGGGCAGCAGAAAAGCCACCAACGTTTGGGCCAGAATCTAAAGAACTGGGCTACCCAAGAAAGGCTCTGGGTCTCACTTCCTTTGAAATGCTTTGAACTGCATTTAATATGTTAGTGATGGAGAAGGAGCCTCTTCCCCACCCACAAGAGCTAAACATGTATGTGTGCATGTCTCACTCTGTATATAGTTATCTCTCTAGTCATCTCTCGCTTGGACTACTGCAATGCGCTCTACGTGGGGCTACCTTTGAAGTTGACCCGGAAACTACAACTAATCCAGAATGCGGCAGCTAGACTGGTGACTGGGAGCGGCCGCCGAGACCATATAACACTGGTCTGAACGTTTCCAAGCACAAATCAAAGTGTTGGTGCTGACCTTTAAAGCCCTAAATGGCCTCGGCTCAGTATACCTGATGGAGAGTCTCCACCCCCATCGTTCTGCCCGGACATTGAGGTCCAGCGCCAAGGGCCTTCTGATGGTTCCTTCACTGCAAGAAGCCAAGTTACAGGGAACCAGGCAGAGGGCCTTCTTGGTAGTGGCACCTGTCCTGTGGAACGCCTTCCCACCAGATGTCAAAGAGAAAACAACCACCAGACTTTTAGAGGACATCTGAAGGCAGTCCTGTTTAGGGAAGCTTTTAATGTTTAATAGGTTACTGTATTTTAATATTCTGTTGGAAGCTGCCCAGAGTGGCTGGGGAAACCCAGCCAGATGGGCAGGGTATAAATAATAAATTATATTATTATTATTATTATTATTATAGAGACACAGAATCAATAAGACTATTGAGCATGCCTAAAAGTAGATCCAAGAAGACTTTGTTGTTCACTAGCAGTGAAATGTATCACAGCATTTATTCATCTCTAAAGGGCCTCCACGATGGATATAAATAGCTGCAATCAAGAAAGCCAATAGGATATGCTTCTAAAAATGTATGCATATGCATTTCACTCAGATAATATTATGAGTATTTGGGATTCTCCTACAACAAGGATGGGGAGCCTGGTTGCACTTCCAATGTTGCTGGACTGCTGGAAAGCACCAAAGGATGCTATATGCAACCCCCTCCCTTAAAAAAGCAGCTATGATAAACAGTGGTCAATGACTAGAGGTGAAGAGGATGCGTGAGCCACCAGGGGCTTACCTGTCACAAGTGGTACATATGGCACAGACAGTCTCTCCACGCAGTAGCCACTGCCACCCAGTGATTCTGCCATTTGGTTGGTCAAGAAGAACAAGCTCGTTTCGTCCTTCTCCAGGGACTTGGGCAGGCTTCAAAACACAATTTGCAATTGTGGATTTAAAACCATTAGATAAAAGAAGCAAAGAATGAGAAAAAAAGAGAGGCATGGTTCAGAATGTAGGTTAGAGCGAATTACCCAGTGGAGCATATTGCACCCTAGATCTGATTCTTAAATACAGTGGTACCTCAGGTTAAGAACTTAATTCGTTCCGGAGATCTGTTCTTAACCTGAAACTATTCTTAACCTGAGGTACCACTTTAGCTAATGGGGCCTCCCGCCACCACTGCGCCGCCGGTGGGCGATTTCTGTTGTCATCCTGAAGCAAAATTCTTAACCTGAGGTACTATTTTTGGGTTAGCGGAGTCTGTAACCTGAAGCATCTTTAACCTGAAGCGTCTGTAACCTGAGGTACCACTGTAGTATTTAGTACCAACAAGACCAGGGATGTGCCTTCCAGGCCTTTCTACCAAGCCACACCCCTTCTCCATTCACATTTACAAAAGAAAAAGTAGGAGGTTAACTATTGGAGGCGGCAAACCCCTTGTCTATTTGGTCTTATCTATATGTATATATGTATGTATGTAATTTCAAATAATCTGTATTGGAATGGCAGAGAGAAAGATGGACATGCAAGGCGCTTGTAGATATGGCTCATATATGGCTGGGCTGCCTTTACTCATGAAAGGGAGCAGGTGGCGCTGTGGTCTAAACCACTGGCCCTGCTTCACACCTGGAGTGTTTGTACCTGGCTAGAATGTGTCTTTGAATTCTGATAATGTCTCTTGCTTGCCTGAATGGAGGATACAGAGCATAGCAGGGTGCATGTGTGCGTCAAAACTAAACTATTGCACAAAGGTAAGATTTGCATTGATTGCTCTGCACACTTTTGCCTCTGGTTCTGCCTGACACTGGAATCTGGCTCCAAGAGATTGCTCAGAAGGGATTGAGAAAGCTCCCCCACTCTTGCATTAAAACCTGGGGAACACAGTGTTGGGAATCTGAATACGTGCAGCTACTCACACAGAGTCAATTAGGGTTTGGCAGACAGCCAAAAGGCAATGTGAAGGAGTAAGTCTGCCTGGTGATACAGAGGCATGGAGACAGCTCCATGATTGGTCAAGCTCTCTCACGGGAATAATGATTAATGGCCTACTAACTGGAATGTGTGTTAGTACGAGGTTGAGTGTAGGAGTTGGAGGTTGAGAGTTGTGAGTTGGGTATGAGAGAGTTAGCTAAAGATCTGTGTTCTGTTCTGTTCCTGTAAATAGTCCACTTTATATAATAAACACCTGGTTTCTGCTTCGTCCATCCTGTCTGCAGCCAAGTCGCCAATTGCTTCCATGGATTCTGCGTTTACTCTGCTAGGTCTGGCTAAGGTCCTGCAACTAGTCAGAGAGTTGCGAAACGCCAAATAGGTTTTGAGGATGGCTCAGTTGGTAGAGCATGAGGCACTTAATCTCCGGGTCATGAGTTCAAGCCCCACATTGGGCAAAAGATTCATGCACTGCAGGAGGCTGGACTAGATGACCCTCACAGTCCTTTCCAACTCTACAGATCTATGATTCTGTTTTGTCCACCCAGCCCAGTACTGTCTACTCTGAGTTTCAGAGGCTCTCCAGGGTCTTGGGCAGAAGATCTGTCCTCACTGCCCTTTAACTAGACATGCCAGCAACAGAGATGGTCTTTCACAGTCCTTAAGTCAAAAACATTACTGGTTCTCATGTTTTACGAGTAGTTTAAAATTTCACATACTTGCACTTCTCTCTGAAAATTGTTTCAGGTAAAAAATAGGGTGCTTCTACATGTCTGGTTTCAATGACCTGCAACACGAGCGGAAAAACAAGACAGCGTTTGACGATTTTCTCACTTTGCATTCTACGTTAAAATGTATATGTTTGCAAATAAATAAATAAATATGCACTGCAAGTGTGGACGACGTGTTTGAGGGATGAGCCTGCTTCCTTTAAGCCCCAGCCCACGCCTGCTGTCACTCACAGCGGCCTGTCTCTGCAGTCCATACATATTACCACAAGTAACCCCCAACCCAAATTTGCTTTGGGCTCTTGATTCAGCCAAGCCGGGAGGGCAGTTTTGCTACTGTATCAATGCAAGGCACACCGGCGAAAATCAGAAGCGATACAGCACCTTAGTAACATGTTGGCAAAAAGCAGGAACAGCGATCATCTGGCTTAGGAAGTTGAGGTATGCGGCTACCACTGCCATCACACTACAGCGATGGAACATGGGCAAGTTGTCTTCGTTAAGGATTGCAATGTCCTACAATGAAAGGAAGGGAAGAGGGAACCTCATTCAAGACTGGCATTGGTCATATTCTTTTCATATGGGTGAAAAGACTAAGAGCCAGGAAGGTAAAACAGGTTTTTCCCCCTGTCCCAGGTCACTGTAAAGTCTTTTGAGTGGAGAAGTCAGTTCAAGTTTTATTTATTTATTTATTTTGCAGGACAAACTAGTCTTAATAGCTTGTGCAGTGCACAACACATCTTAAAACAGTTTTTCAGGACATGGGTAGTTATGATCTGACAGTGTGTTGGAGCAAGGGTTCCCAAACTACAGTTCATGGACCGTCAGTCATTCAGGAGCTTTGTTCAGGTAGTCGGGGGTAGGGGTGGGGTAGTCGGTGAAAAACAATAGAATAGAATCCAACATTAGAAAGAAAAGAAGCAATGAAAATGTTATGTACTAAGCTTGGATCCTAGAACAATAGGCAGGTAAGATCCTAGAATGCAACAACTGGGATGGGCAGGTATCAGAAAAGCCCACTACCCATCCATCCCATGGACACTGGGAACACTGTACTGCCCTCTTCTCATTTCTGAGCCTGCTCTACACATTAACTAAGCTTTATTTTGAAACCACAGCATATACAAAAAGAAGGTGAGATTCTCAAGGTGCAAAATGATGCAGCAGGTAGATTCAAAGCGTACAAAATAAGCGCACCGTTCTCGATCAGATTCCAATCAAAATTCCAATCTGTTGACATGATATCAACAAAGCCACCTAGATGCACTTTGAAAGCCCTACCTGCAAGGCGATAGCCACTCTGATGAGGTCAATGACCACTTCTTCGTTGGCTAGTTCAATTGTCATGAGAGCCAGCGTTGTGTAGAGAAGCTCAAAGTTCTTCTGGACATTGTCCTCTTCCTTACATCCTAAGTAGACATGCCTATACAGCTGCTGCCCATGCTAGAGAGAGCAGAGAGGAGTCTTGATTAAGGTTTTTGTTGGAAGATTTGGGATAAAAGAAATGACTTCTTTACGCATAGTCAAGCTATGGAACTTGCTCCATCACAGGAGGCTTTGATGGCCACCAAGTTGGGTGGCTTTGAAAGAGAATTGGCAAATTCATGGAGGAGGTGGCCATCAATGGCTGTGTAATGGCCTGGGAATCGGATTCAGAGGCTGAACCTGAGGAATACCAGTCTGCACAGGAGTCCCCACCTCCAGGGCCGGCTGAGCTGGGGCTTGAACCTGAAGGGGCCTCACCTGCGCCAGATCCTCGGGAGCAGACACCAGCTGAATCCGCACTGACTCCAGAGGTGATAGAGGACCCATTGCCTGCAGGTGCTCCACTCTCAGCCCTGTCAGGGGAAGCTGAGGTTGCCTCTGGGTCCTGTAGCCCTCCAGCCTCTCCTGAGCTGCAGAGGCTCAGGGCAGAGAGGCGGAGGGAACTAAGTTTTCTCACAGGAGGAGTGCTCGCCTTAAGGCCAGGAGAGGCGAGTCACCTGTGGGCTGGGACCGCCCCTGGCCTCAGAGGAGATAAAGGCCAGTCAGCCCAGACCCAGGTTGCAGGAGCAACATCGTTGGTATCCTGTTCCTGCCGGCATCCTGACCTGCTCTCCTGAGTTCCTGACCACGCCCGACTCCTTGCTTTGGACCTCGCTTCGCCCCTGACGGACAGCCTCCTTACCCTCAACCTAGGACTGGACTTAGACCACGCTGCACGGTAAACTCCCCGGGACCAGCACAGGCTGCTAGCCATGACGGCTATCCTCTGCCTTGAAAGTTCTCGCCAGCAATGATTCCAAATACCAATTGCTGGAAACCATGAGAGGGGAGAGGGCATTTGGCCTTGTGTTCTGCTTGTTGGTTTCCCACAGGCATCTTGCTGGCCACTATAAGAACAGCATGCTGGACTAGATGGGCCATTGAGCTGCTCCTGCAGGCTCTGCTTATGTTCGTATGTTTATGTCGGGTTTTTTGGAGCCACTGAGGAGCCACTAGGTAATACTTGGTGCACATTCACAATACAGGTATTGGCTTCTACCAAAGCCAGAGCAGCCTCTTCCATCAAGTGGCCCTCCAGATATTTTGGAACGCGACTCCCATCAGTCCCAGCCAGCGGAGTTGTAGGTGATGATAATAATAATAATGTTATATTTATTTCTATCCTGCCTTTTCCCCAGACTGGGACTCAAGGCAGCTTCTCATGGTAGACTACCAAGAGAACAGGATGCTAACCAGCTGAGCCTTTGGTCTGACCCAGCAGGGCTCATCTTATCTTCATCTAGCCCATGGGTAGGCAAACTAAGGCCCGGGGGCCGGATCCGGCCCAGTCGCCTTCTAAATCCGGCCCACAGACGGTCTGGGAATCAGCGTGTTTTTACATGAGTAGAATGTGTGGTTTTATTTAAAATGCATCTCTGGGTTATTTCTGGGGCATAGGAATTCATTCATTGCCCCTCACAATATAGTCCAGCCCCCCACAAGGTCTGAGGGACAGTGGACCAGCCCCCTGCTGAAAATGTTTGCTGACCCCTGATCTAGCCCATAATTGTCAACTCTGCCTGGAAGAAACACAGCTCTGTTACTAGACTTTGCATTTAGAGGAGATGCCAAAAATAAATTCTGGGCCCTTCTACATTCAAATCACAGGTTCTACCCACAGGGCAGTGAGTCCCTATATCCCTTACCTAACAGTATGCAACATCTCTTTCTTCTAACAATTGGTTTGATCTTTAATGATATTATTACCTTTTTGATGAAATTCACATCTTGCCTTGAAATTTTGTCCCGTTTTATCTTTAGATCCGAAACATCAGGTATTATTCTGCGCAGAAACAAAACAGTATGTTACTTTCTCAAAACAGCATTAATAATTATAATTTGCAAGCAAATTACTTCTCAGCAGTGGGGACACTCGGAATCATGCTGTGAAAAGTATTTAATTTATCCAGGCATTTTCGAAGTCATCTCCATTTTAATTACACCCACATTTTGCAATGACAATAGATTTCCTATTCAAAAAAGGGGGGAATCATAAGTAATTATGACTCAGTACAGGAATAGTCCATTTTATGTTTTGTATAAAACAAAAATATAATTACAAGCTTAATTAAACCAGGAGCAATTTGGAAGAGCTATTTAACATTCAGCGCAGGGCACCTGGAAAACAAAATCATCAATTGCTGCATCAAAAACATTCAGCTGTTACATTCCTGCACTTTTCCTCTCTTCACTGACAAAATGGAACATGTAAAACAGAAGGAAAATGTGTACAGTGAATGGTATCTATTGATCACAGTTGGAAAACATAATTTGTTACTGTAGTTTTCTCTTATTTGCTATATCTTTTGAAAACTTGTTCACTTACAAAGCTGGACACCTCATAAGATATCGAGACCAAATTTTGCAATGACTGGATACAACCAGACACCATTTTCAATCAAGATGGCGGACTGAACCCTTCAAAACTGCACTGATTTCCTTGGTTTCTTAAAGTACCCAAACAATTCTAGGTTTGAGGCTGGTAGTGCATTATTAATTGCCTGTCTTCAGTGCAAACCAGAACTCTGAACAAAAGTACAAATAGCCTGGGCTACCACAATCTTTCCCCAATCTTAAGTCACTTCGCCCCATTTCTGCGTCCATATGTGATTCCCCTCCCTTTAAATATTCCACACCAAAATTCATGTACAGTTACCCAGGAATTTTGCCCAATATAATATAGTAGTTTTGTACGTAATTTACACTAGCATGTGCACACATCTTGGTTAGGGAGTTGCACCACAATTGTTTGGAGATTTTGAATGACAGATGTGTTTTGCTTCCTGACCTGAGAACTGCAAATTAAATAGGTTTGCATCAAAACGCAAACCAAACAAACTTCTTCCCCACTGCTTTATAAGAGTGCACAAACTGCAGAAGGAACATAGTTAATGGGAGTTTTGGCAGAGATGGATTAATCTCTTTGTGCATGCCACCAATTTTAGCATCTACATCCGAGATTCCCATGGTACACTGGCGTGATCTACTGTTGCATAGGGACTCAACAGAGACCCTGTCAGACTCCAGCATTAACCTTATCCCTCTGAGCTTCACTCGGTTGTCATGCCGATCAATAACGTTGTGCAGTATTTCCAGGACCAGCTGTCTGAGTTCAGAGTCATCCATGAGTGAAGGAGAGAGCAAAGGATCCAGAAAAGGAGCGGGCAGGGCAGCAGAAATGGTCTTGGCACTGTATCCTGTTGTGACCTGGTGAGCATCAAAGAGAAGGTAAGGAGGAGTCACCAAAGAAATGATTCAGCCAAATCACACAGCCAAAAGCTGGGTACTAAAGCTGTGCCCATTTAACTGAACAAATTGTGCAGGCAAGAGCTGTGTCCATTCAGCTGCACAAACTGCACAAGGGAAAGCTGAGCCTATTCAACAGCAAAAAAAGAAACCCACCAAAAATGGATGTAGTTCTTTTGTTTTAAGTAGGTTTTTATCATGCTTTTCCTTCAAGGGGTTCAGGGCTGTACGCATGGTTCTCTCTCAGTTCATTTTATTCTCACAGGGTTTTTTTGTGAGGTAGATTAGGCTGAGCAATAGTGACTGACCCAAAGTCACCTAAAGTGAGCTTCCTGTCAAAGCGGCCATGCTGGCTGCCCCTGCAATGACTCCTTTAGAGAGTGTAAGAGCGTAAAACAATGGTTGGCAGAATGGTTTACAAGCAGTAAACATTGATGTAATCTCTAGTAGAACATCAGTGGAAACCAAAAAAGAAAGAAAGACCCAATTTACAACAACCTCCCTGCCTACTCAACTCTCAGCATTTCTCAGTCTCACAGATAACCAGACAAGTAATTCGCAAAAGTATTTGCAAATGTGGACTAGTCCTATGGAAAACACCACTCTATTTTACTTTTGCTTCAAGTTTAAAGAAGTGGCTATTCCGCCTGCTTAGCCATGCTGTAAAATGCATCTTTTAAAATAAGGATATAAAAGCCATCATGTGAATTTCCTTCATTACTTACCATCAGTAACGATCTCAGCAACATAATTTGAATTCGCCTGGTTCCCAAATCCCTAAAGGAAATGGAGGGAAAAACCAAAGTTAATTTGAATCAACACTTCTCTCTCTCTTAAATAGATAAACAATAACAACTTCCATAGTTGGTGGCTGTAGGATGCAGAATATGATAAAATGTTAAGATAAAATGGCAAGCTGGAATAGTGAGCCTCAGAACAGAAGCAAAAGCTGGAAGAATCCATGTGGCCCAAGCAACAAAATGCTGTAAATTGTTGGATTTTAGTTAAAATCCACACTGACTAGCAGAAGTGATGCCTAGGTCATTCATATTCAAACGAGAACTCTGAAGGCTGAAGTGGTGAGCATAACTGCCTTCCAAGCAGTTGACCTGGGTTCGTTTCCCAGCCAACGCACCAACCAGTGATTTGCGAGCTGAGCAGCTGGCAGTGGAACAGCCTCGGTGTAAAGAGATGGAAAGGGAGTGTTCTGTGTTTCCACATTTGCCTCGCCAGAAAGTGGCAGTATGGCAGGGGATCTAGCAATTCTAAGGTAACAGTCAGGAATAGCTGTGGAAAGGTTGCGGTGAGAGAAGCAGAGTCTTGGACTCTTGCTGGACTCTAAGCATGCCTTGACCATGGCAGTGGTGAATATCTGTGCAGTGGTACCTCTGGTTACGAACTTAATTCGTTCTGGAGGTCCATTCTTAACCTGAAACCGTTCTTAACCTGAAGCATCACTTTAGCTAATGGGGCCTCCTGCTGCTGCCGTGCCACCGCAGCACGATTTCTGTTCTCATCCTGAAGCAAAGTTCTTAACCCGAGGTACTATTTCTGGGTTAGCAGAGTCTGTAACCTGAAGCGTATGTAACCTGAAGCGTATGTAACCCGAGGTACCACTGTAGTATTTAGTACCAACAAGACCAGTACCAACTATGTTGGCAGGGCCCATTGATATTGGTCACCAGGAAGGAAGAGACACCTGTCAGACTTTTCTGGCTTTGAAGAGACCTTCTGCTGCTGACCTCCTTCCTTAAAGGTTGAAGCAGAAGACAAGAGAGGGACTTTGACCCTTTGAATGCTCAAAATATCCCCATGTCCTTTGAAACTGTTGATGCTCTATTTAGGTCCCATCCAAAAGAACGGTATTATTTTGGGGGGTGGGGAGGGGGCATCACGTTAGTTCAAAGTGGGTGACACCCTGAAGCAAGAGGACAACACTAATGATTCTGATGAGTAACTCTCAGACCTGAGATGGATTAGCAAAACCAGAATGGCACTGCAGAATCAGAAGTAGTGAACAGCGGAGCACAATTTGCTTCGGACCACCTATCACTTCTCTCTGCAGCATGAAACTATGTGGTAGAGGTTTGGGGAGAGCAACTGCTATCTGGACAATCCTCAGTATATTACGCATCATTTGCTAGCCTCATTCAAAGAAAAAAAATACCAAGAGGGCTAAGAGAGATCTGCTCCTTTATATGTATGCAGCGAAGATCATGGCCACTGGTCCCATCACCTCCTGGCAAATAGAAGGGGAAGAAAAGGAGGCAGTGAGAGATTTTACTTTCTTGGGCTCCATGATCACTGCAGATGGTGACAGCAGCCACTAAATTAAAAGATGCCTGCTTCTTGGGAGAAAATCAATGACAAACCTAGACAGCATCTTAAAAAGTAGAAACATCACCTTGCCAACAAAGGTCCGCATAGTAAAAGCTATGGTTTTCCCAGTAGTGATGTATGGAAGTGAAAGCTGGACCATAAAGAAGGCTGATTGCCGATGAATTGATGCTTTGAATTATGGTGCTGGAGGAGACTCTTGAGAGTCCCATGGACTGCAAGAAGATCAAACCTATCCATTCTTACGGAAGTCAGTCCTGAGTGCTCACTGGAAGGACAGATCCTGAAGCTGAGGCTCCAATACTTTGGCCACCTCATGAGAAGAGAAGACTCCCTGGATTAGACCCTGATGTTGGGAATGATGGCGGGCACAAGGAGAAGGGGACGACAGAGGACGAGATGGTTGGACAGTGTTCTCGAAGCTACCAGCATGAGTTTGACCAAACTGTGGGAGGCAGTGGAAGACAGAAGTGCCTGGCGTGCTCTGGTCCATGGGGTCACAAAGAGTCGGACACGACTGAACAACTAAACAACAACAATGTATGCAGCACAGAAAATAACCAGACCGATAAAGAGTTCTAGAGGCTGATATGCCTAATTAAAACTGAAAAATAAAAAGCCATGGGAGTCTGGTGGTTTCCTTAGAAAAGCAATGAATAAAATATAACTATGTATTGATGATTTGAATTTACGGAGGAATAAAATCCCCATCACAACAAGAATCATCCCGAGTGCCTTAAGTTTGCTGCTTCGTGACTCCCCGTCTGAAAATCGATGAGCAGAGAACGAAGCCGAATGATTCTGAATTATTCATTTCCACCAGAAGCCCATTTATCAGCACCATTCTCCTCTAGAAAGCATTTCTCAGAAGCCTACAGAATCAATCGAGGCCAAAATAGGCAGCCTTCTGCCACACTGGTCAGAACTTTTAGTTTTATAGAAAGCCGAAGGTGTTTCCAGTTAACCACATTCTATATGGCTGGACGGGTCCCTCATGAATTATTGGAGAGGGAAATTAATTTGTTAGGTGATCGGAAGGCTCAACATAGCAACACAGGACTGGAAAGGGCCCAGTGAGCCAATAAATTCAAGTGCAAAACAAGAAAAAACGATTTCCCCCTAATCATGCTGTAAAACAAAACAAAGTATTCTTGTTAAATAATAAAAACATCTCTCAAAATACACTTGAAACTTACTTTAAACAGCTGATTGCAAACACCAATGAGAGTGGCAAACTGCAAAAGGTGGATGTTGGAAATAATGGCTCTTTTATTAGAATCTTGCAAAAAAATCTACAGAAGCTATTAGGTCTTGAATAGTCTTAGTCTTGGTGCTGGAGGAGACTCTTGAGAGTCCCATGGACTGCAAGAAGATCAAACCTATCCATTCTTAAGGAAATCAGCCTGGAGTGCTCACTGGAAGGACAGATTCTGAAGCTGAGGCTCCAATACTTTGGCCACCTCATGAGAAGAGAAGACTCCCTGGAAAAGACCCTGATGTTGGGAAAGATGGAGGGCACAAGGAGAAGGGGATGACAGAGGACGAGATGGTTGGATATTGTTCTCGAAGCTACCAGCATGAGTCTGACCAAACTGCGGGAGGCAGTGGAAGACAGGAGTGCCTGGCGTGCTCTGGTCCATGGGGTCACGAAGAGTTGGACACGACTAAACGACTAAACAACAACAACAGTCTTAGTAGCCTGCAACTCCATATGTACCTACCTATGTCAGCTAGTTGTGGCATAAAAGGGAAAAAATAAAACAACCAAGAAAGAGATTCTCACCAGCTGTAGGTGACTAGATAAGGTTTACAACCTGTAAAAGCGTGCAAGAGGAGAAACTAGATAGAGAAATGTTTTGTTTCTTCTCTCATTATACCAGAACTCAGAAACATCCAATGAAGTTGAATGTTGGAAGATTCAGGACCGATAAAAGGAAGTACTTCTTCACATGATGCACAGTTGAACTGTGGAATTCAAACTCACAGGAGTTAGTGATTACCACCAACTTGGATGGCTTCAAAAGAGGATTAGACAAATTTGTGGAAGAGAAGGCTACACTAGCCAGGTTGGTTAAGTTCTACCTATACAGATGGAGGCAGTATGCCTCTCAATACCAGTTCCTGGGAACTGCAGGTGGGAAGGGGACTCTTGTACTCTGCTTTTGTTTGCAGGCTTCCCACAGGGATCTGGTTGGCCACTGTAAGAACAGGATCCTGGGCTACATGGGCCCTTTTTCAGCAGGGCTTATGTTCTTACATACTTTTGCTTTGATGCAGGTAAAGGGAAAGGGACCCCTGACCATTAGGTCGAGTTGCAGACAACTCTGGGGTTGCGGCGCTCATCTCGCTTTGCTGGCGAAGGGAGCCGGCGTACAGCTTCCGGGTCATGTGGCCAGCATGACTAAGCCGCTTCTGGCGAACCAGAGCAGCGCACGGAAACGCCGTTTACCTTCCCGCTGGAGCAGTACCTATTTATCTACTTGCACTTTGATGTGCTTTCGAACTGTTAGGTTGGCAGGAGCAGGGACCGAACAACAGGAGCTCACCCCGTCGCGGGTATTCGAACCGCCGACCTTCTGATCGGCAAGCCCTAGGCTCTGTGGTTTAACCCACAGCGCCACCCATATTTCAGCATATATAAGGCAATTCTGTTTCTCTCCAGTTGTTATTCGCTTCACAGACAAAATTGGATACCGCCTATGGCTACACACTTTCTTTATGGAAATCAGATTAAAAAGAATAGGGGTATTTTAAAGAGTTGGGTTGTGTTCACGCAAAGTCTCTCCACACCATTTTGAGTGATTCCTCCCTGACCTATGCCAGCCTGGTTTTTTTGTGTGTGTGTATGTGATTCTCCAGAGAATTTCTTTGGCAGGGGGAAGCAAGAAGCTGCAAAGGGGAAGGACAAATAGGAAAAGCCCCTTCTCTATATGCTTCCATCTGCCCATATTATTCAGGATCCAAGCCTGTATGCAAAGCCTGCCATCCTTTATTTCTGCCTCTTTTAGGATAAACAAATTTCCCACTGGAAGCCCCAAATATGTAGCAATCTGAACAAACCCAAACTGGCTTGTGTCCAGTGTGTGCGAAGTTGCTCCCAGAACAGGAACTTTCCCCATAATGAACAACATAATCTCGGACCGATGGTAGTCTGGCAGGTTGCTTCCAAAGAAACCTAAGTGCAAAAAGATTTATTTATTTTTAATTCCAGAAAGAAAAATTAACAGACAACAATGGATTTTCTTCTGCCCCAAATGAAAAACCAGCAATTGGTAATTGTTTTGTCTCCCCAGGCTGGATTTTATCATGCATATGATTTTAGTTTTCTTTTTTTGCTATTTTCCTTGGTTTGCATATAAAAAAATTCCTCTCCTGTTATGATTTTTTAAATTTTAAGAAGAAAAAGAAACACAAAATATTCCAGTTAACATGCATTAGGACAGATGTGGCCAATGTGGTGCTCTCCAAATGGACTACAACTCCCATCATTACTGACTTACTGACTGGGGCTGATGGGAGTTTTAGTCAAACAGCATCCAATGGGGTTGCTCTATGTGGATTACTCCTACATCAGGACGAGAGACTGTGCAATTTTGAAAAGTCTATTTTATTTTAATTTGCCATTGTTATGTCGATGGATGAGCATTTTTGGTGTTTTCTGATTTTCCTAGTTTTTAGTATGTTGTATTTCAGCTTAAGTTGCCTTGAGACTTCTTTTTTCTTTTTTTTGCATGAAGTTGCAAGCAAATGTAATAAATAAAAACATCCAGCTAAGTTTTACTCAAGAGTAGACTCATGGAAATTAATGGACCTAAGTTCGTCAAATGTGTCTCTAAGTAGGACGAGCATTGGAGACAACAAATAATTGTAACACTACTACTACTGCTAATAATATTACATGCTCTTCACCTCCATGTCCCACCTTAATAACAATAATGATGATGACTTTTTTTATCATTATCATGGCCGCTTTTATTTATTTTACATCTGTATACTGCCCTGTACGTGCAGATCTTGGGGTGGTTCAGAGGACTGCTTTTGCCTCCACCCCACAAATGAAACCTTAAAACTATTAAAAATTACTCACCAATTGTTTGAATGATAGCATTCTGGACAATTCTCTCGTCATTCTCTTTGGCACTTGCACTGAAGCTGGCACTGCTCACTGAACTACGCCTGTCACTTAATTCGAAATCGACGCTGAAACGCAGATGCTTCAGTAAGGTGTTAAACACTTCTAAGACAGTTGGGCCTGTGGAGAGACGAAAACCAACGGCTTCAACCTTTGGGAAGGAAAGGGTGGGTCACTGGGACCCAAATTTTGGAGAAGTATGTCTTTGAATACCAGTGGCTTTGAATCACTGGCAGCGAGGGTGATGTTGCACTCATCTGGTTGGCCATTGTGAGAAACAAATGCTAGACTGTTGGGCCTTTGGCCTGATCCAACGATCCAGCTCTTCTCATGTTCTTAAATGTTGGATTATCTGTTTCAAGTGGACAGTGTCAAGAATGGAGGCATCTTTCTTCAGCTTTCTTAAACACAAAAAAGTGAAAAAATTCTCCACAGATGTAAGGTAAAGTAAAGGGACTCCTGACCATTAGGTCCAGTCGTGACCGACTCTGGGGTTGCGGCGCTCATCTCGCTTTATTGGCCGAGGGAGCCGGCGTACAGCTTCTGGGTCATGTGGCCAGCATGACTAAGCTGCTTCTGTCGAACCAGAGCAGTGCATGGAAACACCGTTTACCTTCCCGCCAGAGCGGTACCTATTTATCTACTTGCACTTTGATGTGCTTTCAAACTGCTAGGTTGGCAGGAGCAGGGACTGAGCAACGGGAGCTCACCCCGTCACGGGGATTCGAACTGCCAACCTTCTGATTGGCTCAGTGGTTTAACCCACAGCGCCACCCGTGTCCCTCTCTCCACAGATGTAGTCTTCAGCTAAAGGCACTGAGAGTCATGGACCATTAATGGAGAACCCATTCTCCACTTTTTATTTGCTTTCTACCGCCAAAGGTATAACTGGGGAATGAGCTCATTGGCTGTGACCTTTGAAGGTCCTAAAACTGCCACCCAGAGGATCGCTAAAACTGTCCCTCCCCAAACCCCACAGCCTACAGCAAGCAACTACTGGGGAGTTAAAGGGCTCAGAAGCGAGTGACCCCTTAGCTTGAACCCACCAAGCACACTGGGACCAGGCCAAGTTATGGGCATCTATGGCTCCCTCAAGTGGGGATCCCAATAAAGTCCCAGGACAGGCAGAAGGCCTTGTTGTTATTGTGACTCCGTGTGGGGACCTGTATTGCCTGGACAAAGGGTCTGCAACAAGGGCTAAAGCCTCAACAAAGCCAAAGTTGCCATCTTCTTGTCGATCATAGTGGTAACTGGGGCTCAGGTTTGGGCCTATTCCCTATGGGGCATCTGCAACTTGGAGTTGACTCAAGAGTCCTGGAGTCTCCTTGCTTGTTCCGCCGGCAGCAAGTCACTCAGCGCAGACCCAGACCATCAAGTCCAAGCTGTCATGCGCACCACCCAATATGACGCAACATTGGCTATAGCAGCAGAGGCCCAGAGGGACACAGCTGAATAAACCCAAGGGCATTGAGATGGTTGCATTTTGTTGTAATTGTACTGCTGGTGGTCGCTGCCTTGAATACCACTTTTCAGAGGGACGGGTCCACTGCCAGATTTATGTATAAGCTAAACAAGCTATAGCTTAGGGCCCCACTCTCTTGGGGCCCCCCAAAAAATGTAAAGGGAAAAAAACCCCACTGGATGTACATTTCCAAAATATAAGATAAAAAACAAAGAAAATAAAACCTACATACAGCAACAGTGGCAAATGGCTTTAGATGCCTATTAAGCCCATAAATTACCATAAAGCATATATTCAACACAAAAAATAGGAACTATTCGTTGTTGACAAAGGACAGCTGGACATATAAAGGGCCTCATTACCTTCAGTAGCTTAGGGCCTCATCAAACCTAAATCTGGCCCTGGATGGGTCACAGGTTTAACTTAATAACTTGTAAGTTAAAATATGGCTCTGTTATAGGTACAGTGGTACCTCGGGTTAAGTACTTAATTCGTTCCAGAGGTCCGTTCTTAACCTGAAACTGTTCTTAACCTGAGGTACCACTTTAGCTAATGGGGCCTCCCACTGCCGCCGTGCTGCCGGAGCACGATTTCTGTTCTCATCCTGAAGCAAAGTTCTTAACCCGAGGTAATATATCTGGGTTAGTGGAGTCTGTAACCTGAAGCGTATGTAACCTGAAGCGTATGTAACCCAAGGTACCACTGTATTTCTATTAGAGAAGGGTCCTCCTGTGATGGAGAAAATGATAATTTCATAAAACTGTACCATTCTGATGATTCCGTTTTCTTTTGAGCCTATGCTCTAGGTAAACTGAAGAGGGCTGTGCCTGCCTTTTACAGTATAGAACTAGCTGCTTTTAGGTTGTGTGTGTAGCAAATGCCCATTCCAGAACACTGGAAAGAATAACCTGTTAGAATTTATGGTGGCCATTGTATGCGCGAACAGAGAATCAGCTAGGCATGGCAACTGTGATTAATCTTGAATTGTTTTGCAGGCAGATGAAAGAGGATATTGGGAGACATTTAATGAATAGGAAAATTAGTCTGGGTCTTAATAAAGACATTGAAAAATGATTATATGTAATCACAGGATATTATGATGAGGGCTGATGGTTTCGATTGGTTGAGGCTGATGGCATCGGGTTGCAATTGTTAAGATTGCTGTGACCCTTAGATTAGCAAATAGAAATCACGTGTGCAATCTGGAAGTGTTTCAGAAACATTGTTTTGGATGTGGTTGTTTGCAGCCTCCTCCTTACTTTTTAAAACATAATTTTATTTAAAATTTCTTAGTTTACAAAAATACATGCATTGTCTCTTTTTTCCAAAGTTGCGTTTTCTACAGGTCAGTTTCATTTGTTGTGAGACATTAGTGCTACATACAGCGTTAGGTTAGGAAGGAGAGAGGGAGAGGGGGGGAACGGCGAGGTGGGTGGGGTGTCAAGGCTTCTATTCCTCTACTTAGTGTATGTGTGGGGTTTTGTGCCAGTGTCACTTGTGTGGGTTCTCTTACTATTCGCTTGTTGTATTTCCTTGGTGGTGAGAGAGGTTGGGCGTGGCCTAGGATGTGGTTGGTTGTCTTTGGTTGGCTGTAGTGAGATTTGGGTTTTTGTGTGTGTATGTGCCTCCTCCTTACTTTTGACGCTGTCCTTATGTGCATTTGTATTCCAATAAAGGCCTAACTTTTCATTTGGAGCCTACATCCTTTCATTTTGGGTTTCTGGAAGGGAGAGCTCCATTCTAGGAACCCCTTTTAAATTTCTACAACACCTGTATAATCAATGTGTGTGTGTGTGTGTGTGTGTGTGTGTGTGTGTTTATGTTAATGAACTGAACAGACTGAAAGATTCTGAGTCATTGGTGGGGGGAAAGAGTGTGTGCTGGTCCCGGGGGTAAGGTACCTTGGGTGTAGCAGAGTCCACACGAAGGGGGGCAAGGTCCGAGGCAGAGAGCCGGGCGGGGAACAGGAATGCTGGAACAGGAGGCTGTGCAGGGAACAGGAACACCGGATGGTCGGGAACAGGAGGCCGAGCAGGGAACAGGAGTACCGGATGGTCAGGAACAGGAAGCCGAGCAGGGATCAGGAACACGGGAAGGTCCGAAGCCAACAACGACGTTGCTCCCGCAACCTGGGGCCGGGCTGACTGGGCTTTTATCCTCTTCTAAGGCCAGGGGCGGTCCCGGTCCCCAGGAGCCCCGCCTCCTCTGGCCTTAAGGCGAGCACTCCTCCTGGGGGCAACCAGCTCCCTTCGCCTCGCGGCCCTAAGCCTCTGCAGATCAGGAGAGGCCGAAGGGTTACTGGGCCCTGGAGGAGGCTCACCTGTGGCCACTGAGTCATCAAGCCCCTCTGGGGCCCGAAGGGCTTCACCTGGGGCCAGCTCCTGATGCACTGCCACAGGTGCAGGCTCTTCAGCATCAAGGCCTTGCCCCAGTTCAGCCGGCCCTGGAGGCGGGGACTCCTGTGCAGGCCGGGATTCCTCTGTTTCATCCTCCGAATCGGAATCCCAGGCCATCACAGAGTGTGTGAGAACAGCGTTTAGCTTCTTTTTTAATTGCTATTTTGCTAATATTGCTTTATAGATTAATAATAATAATAATAGTAATAATAATAATAACTTATTACAGTGGTACCTCAGGTTACATACGCTTCAGGTTACAGACTCCGCTAACCCAGAAATAGTGATTCAGGTTAAGAACTTTGCTTCAGGATGAGAACAAAAATCGTGCTCCGGCGGTGCGGCGGCAGCAGGAGGCCCCATTAGCTAAAGTGGTGCTTCAGGTTAAGAACAGTTTCAGGTTAAGTACGGACCTCCGGAACGAATTAAGTACTTAACCTGAGGTACCACTGTATTTGTACCCGGCCCATGTGGCTGGGTTTCCCCAGCCACTCTGGGCGGCTTCCAACAAAGATTAAAAATACATCAAAATGTCACACATTAAAAACTTCCCTGAACAGGGCTGCCTTCAGATGTCTTCTCAATGTCAGGTAGTTCTTTATCTCTTTGACATCTGATGGGAGGGTGCTCCACAGGGCGGGTGCCACCACCGAGAAGGCCCTCTGCCTAGTTCCCTGTAGCTTTGCTTCTTGCAGTGAGGGAACCGCCAGAAGGCCCTCAGCGCTGGACCTCATTGTCCGGGCTGAACGATGGAGGTAGAGATGCTCCTCCAGGTATACTGGGCCGAGGCCATTTAGAGGTCAACACCAACACTTAATGCCTTATTAAGAACCTAAGACGAAGCTGCTGGATCATGGCCCATCCAGTCCAGCGTCGTGTTCTTACAGTGGCGAGCCTGATGCCTATGGGAAAGCAGCAAGTAGGATTCAAGCACAACAGTCCTCTCCCTACCTGTTGTTTCCAGCAACGAGTATTTGGAAGAGCATTGCTGCCTCCAACTGTGGTGGTGGAAGATAGCCATCATGGCTAGTGGCCATCGATAGCCCTCCCCTCCAAGAATTTGCCTAATCCTCTTCTTGATTTGCTTACCATATAATATGACTTATACTGCAATCGTGACGCTTATTTTTTAGTTATTGGTTCCTCAGTGGAGTCTTATAGATAACAACAACAATAACAACAACAACTTATTTACATCCTGCCCTCCCCAGCCAAAGCCGGGCTCAGCGCGGCTAACAACAGTAAAAATAACACTGTATACATAAAATCACAATCAATTAATTGAAATACATTCTAAAATCAATTCATTCTAAAATCAATTCAAATCACATTAATGGCAACCATTGGGCTAGAGTTCTATGAGGATTACCAAAGAAGGGGGTCAGACTGTGCCTTGGCCAAAGGCCTGGTGGAACAGCTCCGTCATGCAGGCCCTGCGGAAAGATGTCAAGTCCCTTGTGACAGAGCGTTCCACCAGATTGGGACCATGGCTGAAAAAGCCCTGGCTCTGGTTGAGGCCAGCCTAACCTCCCTGTGGCCCAGGACCTCCAAGATGTTTTTATTTGAAGACCGTAAGGTCCTCCGTGGGACATACCAGGAGAGGCAGTCCCGTAGGTACGAGGGTCCTAGATTGCAATTGTTTCTACGGATGATCTGTTAATTACATTACATGATTTGTGCTGTACTTGCATTGCTCAATAATGTTGCTGTTATTTACTGTTTGTAAATTTGTTATTGTTGGGATTTGTTGAAATGGAAAGAGGCATTGAAATGCAATAAATCAAATTAAGTCGAAACCAAAGTTCAGCACGCCACTCCCACCCCAAGAATTGGCTTTTCGCCGCCAACTCTCTCCTGGCCTTATAACCAGACATAAACCAGACATGTTTATCACCCGACCCTCCCACTGCCACCTCCAGAAGTCCTGGAGTTAAACCAATTCAGCCTTAAGAGTTCTGGAAATGTTGACCAAATCATCATTCTGCTGCAACTTTAAATTAGGGGGTGTTCCAAACATACTCCTCCCCTCCAGCCGCAGCTATTTACGCCTTTCTGAAAACTGCCACCACACGCTCACCATCATTTTTGGGATTTGCAATTTATACTATTGTTCGCTGTTCCCCAAAGCGCTGATGAGCTAGTACACACACATCGTGCCAGACTACTGTTCATTGTTAGCCGGTCAGGGCTTCCAACTGGGAGCAATTTGTGCATGTTCCCAAATGAAAATACACAGATGAGGCAATTGGCTGGATTGCACCATAATTAGCATAACTTTGAAATGAGTCACTGGTTTGTTCTTTTATTTTTTTCCCCTCCACACATCTGATGATGCTTTCACAACCTGTTGTTTGATCTGCAACTGCAGATATAAAAATGTTCTCTTTGGGACTAAAAACATGATGGCATCCTCTTAAATATTAAAAAATAATAAAACAAACACTTCATAATGTAAATCAAGAATTTAAGGGGGTTTTGCCATTAACAGTGGATGGGCAGAGAAAAAATATGAATAGTATCAAAACAATTATAATAAAATAAAGTAATTCAAGTCTAGACTGAAAATCATGGGGCTGCTTTTACTTATTAGATTATTAAATCATTTGCAACCATTTGCATCTGTTTCAAGGAGCCCTGGACTTCTTTGGGAGTAGGACAGAAATCTAACACACATATAAAACCAGACATTTCAGTGAGGAAGGAAGACAATATTTCTTTCCCGATCCAACTCATCACATGGCAGGGAAGAAATATGTAATTGTTCTTTTCATTAGTCTGGTATCCTAACCCACCTCCAATGTCCTTGCATGTCCATTTGGTGATGGAACATACAAATAAAACCTATGTACATAAAAGTCAGTAGACACAGACCAAAATCGGGTAGCTGATTTCTCCAGTGTAGGGGACAGAGTATCTCTATTTCAGGGACGGCCAACTCCTGAGAGAGGAGGTGTTCAGGGAAAAGTTGCTGAGCTTTTTTAGGAGGAGGAGGAGGAGGAGTTTGGACTTGTTATCCCGCTTTATCACTACCCTAAGGAGTCTCAAAGCGGCTAACATTCTCCTTTCCCTTCCTCCCCCACAACAAACACTCTGTGAGGTGAGTGAGGCTGAGAGACTTCAGAGAAGTGTGACTAGCCCAAGGTCACCCAGCAGCTGCATGTGGAGGAGCGGGGAAGCGAACCCGGTTCACCAGATTACGAGTCCACTGCTCTTAACCACTACACCACACTAGGAGAAAGGTGGAGAGTCACTCACCAAAAGATCACTAAGGAAACAATCAGCCTCACTGCAAAAGCTCCGTGTTCCGTCCTGGAGATCCTGCAACAATGGAGGGCGGGCCGAGGAGGCGGGGCCCAATTCTGTTTTACCACCACTGAGGAAAGGGGAATACCTGAAGGAGTGTCTCCACCTTCATCCTTTTGCCTGGACAATGAGATCCAGTGCCGAGGGCCTTCTGGTGGTTCCCTCATTGAGAGAAGCCAAGTTACAGGGAACCAGGCAGAGGGCCTTCTCGGTAGTGGCACCCGCCTTGTGGAATGCCCTCCCACCAGATGTCAAAGAGAAAAACAACTACCAGACATTCAGAAGACATCTGAAGGCAGCCCTGTTTAGGGAAGCTTTTAATGTTTAACAGACCACTGTATTTTAATATTTTGTTGGAAGCAGCCCAGAATGGCTGGGGAAACCCAGCCAGATGGGTGGGGTATAAATAATAAATTTATTATTATTATTATTATTATTAACCAACAATCAACCGCGATCTACCAAAACCTACCGGAGATCTACCAGTAGATCGCGATAGGCCTGTTGGACATCCCTGCTCTATTTCATCACAATCACAACACACATCCTGTTTCCACATGGATATGAACGGTGCCCTTGAGCAGGTGCAGACTTGCTCCTCTCAACATGATGAAGAATTAGTGTCCAATCCCACCCAGATACAGTGGTGCCTCGCAAGACGAAAAGAATCCGTTCCGTGAGTCTCTTCGTCTTGCGGTTTTTTCGTCTTGCGAAGCAAGCCCATTAGCGGTTTAGCGGATTAGCGCTATTAGCGGCTTAGTGGGCTTAGCGGATCAGCTGATAAGCGGCTTAGCGGTTTAGCGGATCAGCTGATAAGCGGCTTAGTGGCTTAGCGGATCAGCTGATAAGCGGCTTAGGGATCAGCTGTTAAGTGGCTTAGCGGATCAGCTGATAAGCGGCTTAGCGGCTTAGCGGATCAGCTGATAAGCGGCTTAGTGGCTTAGCGGATCAGCTGATAAGCGGCTTAGGGATCAGCTGTTAAGCGGCTTAGCGGATCAGCTGTTAAGCGGCTTAGCGGATCAGCTGATAAGCGGCTTAGCGGCTTGGGAAAAAGGGGGGGGAGGAAAAACCCCCCGCAGGAACTCGCAAGACATTTTCGTCTTGCGAAGCAAGCCCATAGGAAATTCGTTTTGCGAAGCACCTCCAAAACGGAAAACCCTTTCGTCTAGCGGGTTTTCCGTCTTGCAAGGCATTCGTCTTGCGGGGCACCACTGTATGCTCATAGCATGGCACTTACCTATGGAACCTTTCGCAGCAATGGCCACTGCTTGCAAAAGGGCCTGGATGATACCCGCTCGGACTCGGGGGAAATCTCTCCTGCGAGAATCTAGGTGTGCCAGAATTTCCTGTATCACGTGATGAGAGTACTGCGCCTAGAAATCAAAAAATACTTGTCGGTTTCAAATGTAAATTAAAAGCTGCTTCCTGTGATCTTTAATTCCAACTGCTCTTTCTCATGCAAACTGCCCGAGGAAACACTTAACTGGTGTTGACAATGTTTTACCTGCTGTGCACAAAGATCTCTACTCCCTTGCCCCACTCCTAGATAGATAGATAGATAGATAGATAGATAGTTTAGGCCCCCACATATTAACTACCGTATTTTTCGCTCTATAAGACGCACTAGACCATAAGACACACCTAGTTTTTGGAGGAGGAAAACAAGAAAAAATATATTCTGAATCTCAGAAGCCAGAACAAAAGGGATCGCTGCGCAGCAAAAGCAGCAATCCCTCTTGCTGTTCTGGCTTCTGGGATAGCTGTGCAGCCTGCATTCGCTCCATAAGATGCACACACATTTCCCCTTACTTTTTAGGAGGGAAAATGTGAGTCTTATACAGCAAAAAATACGGTAAATATAAAGGGTTCAGCAAGCAGATGAAAATGTGCAACCAGCGCCAGATTTAGGGTGGTGCAGGCTGTTCCCCCACAAAAGGTGTTGATCTGAAGAGGTGCAAAATTCAGAAGATCCATAATTGAGGAGATCCAGTTGAGGGCACCAAATTTTATCCTCACACAAGGAACCAGTTTACCCAGATTACCAAAGTCTGCCATTGGTGCAACATAATTATATGATGGGCTTCAGCAAAACTGGGTTCAAGAGGAGTTGATACCCAGAGCAAGATCTTGGGGGAGGACCATAGCTCAGCGGTGGAGAATCTGCTTTGCATGCAGAAGGTCTCAGGTTCAGTTCTTGGCATCTTCAGGTAGGGCTGAGGAAAAACCCTGTAGAGCCAGTGTAGACAATATTGATCTAATGGTCCAATGGTCTCCACTCAGCATAAGGCAGTCCCTGATATTCCTCCAAATGTGATGTTAACCCACCAAAGGGGATGGGATCATGTGGAAAGATGCAGTCAATAAAGAATTATGGACTCTGGCCTAATAATAATAATAATAATAATAATAATAATAATATACCCCGCCCATCTGGCTGGGTTTCCCCAGCCACACTGGGCGCCTCCCAACAGAATATTAAAAACACGATAAAACATCAAACATTAAAAACTTCCCTAAACAGGGCTGCCTTCAGATGTCTTCTAAAATTCAGATAGATGGGAGGACATTCCACAGGGCAGGCGCCACCACCGAGAAGGCCCTCTGCCTGGTTCCCTGCAACCTCACTTCTTGCAGTGAGGGAACTTCAGAAGCTTCAGCCACATTAGATCTCACTGTGACAGCAGTGGTGCACCACCATAGGTGTGTGTGTGTCCGTGTCCCTGGGGCCTGCAGCAGCCAGTTTCACCAACCCATAGGTAGGCCTTTGAGTACGAATCCTTCAGGAACAAGTCTATGCGCTTGCAGCATTCCATCCCAGTTAGGAGATAATCCGTTTACATTTTGAAGCTACCACAGGCTCCATACACTTAGAATCATGGGACTGTAGGGCTGGAAAGGACCCTGGGGGCAATCTAATGCAGCAATCTGGCCCACAGCCATCCCTGGGTGGGCTCAAAGCTCCAACCTTCTGGTTAACAGCCAGGTGCACTGACTCACTGTGACACAGAGAGTTCTCAAGGACTGGTTGTATGTTGAGATTCCTGCATTGCAGGGGGCTGGACTAAACGGCCTCGGCCCAGTATACCTGAAGGAGCATCTCTACCCTCATCGTTCTGCCCGGACGCTGAGGTCCAGTGCTGAGGGCCTTCTGGCGGTTCCCTCACTGCGAGAAGCAAAACTACAGGGAACCAGGCAGAGGGCCTTCTCGGTAGTGGCACCCACCCTGTGGAACGCTCTCCCACCCGATGTCAAAGAGAAGAACTACCAGACTTTTAGAAGACATCTGAAGGCAGCCCTTTTCAGGGAAGTTTTTAATGTGTGACATTTTAATGTATTTTTAATCTTTGTTGGAAGCCACCCAGAGTGGCTGGGGAAACCCAGCCAGATGGGCAGGGTACAAATAATAAATTATTATTATAGACGACTTTTGGGGGTCCTTTCCAACTCAACAGTTCTATTATTCTATTATTCCAGTTGCTCACGCATTGTACAACTATGCAAAAATTTTACTTAAACAACTGGGGATTCGGGTTGGAGAAGAAAGTCAAGTGTCTAAAAGAGATTTCAAAACAGATGTCAAGTATCTGTTTAAAAGACAATTTGCTGCTTAGGAAGATGAACACAGCTGCCTTTCCTGGGAGCCAAATGTTTCAGATGGGGGGGGGGGACGTAACAACTATCTCTGGAGCACCAAGTTAATGTGTAAGTGTCTGACATTTTCTCAGAAGGAGAAGGGATTTGGTAGCGTTTTGGGGCCTTCTGTTATTTAAACAATGAGTGATTGTCATCAAAGAACATCTGCCTCCTTGGGTTTTGCTTCAAATGACAGAGTTAGAGAAATAAACCTTACCTGTATTGAGTACATGATGATTTTGAAAATGGCGACAGCAAATTCGTTGGGGTCCCACAGTCTGTGGTGGTCTAAATGTCTAAGAAGATAAAGTATAATATAATAAATTAAATTAAACCAAACTACCCCTAATCCAAACATTGTTTTGCATTGTGCTCAGAGCAAATGGGACCTAAACATTATCAAGTTATTCCTAAATGTGAGCAATTATATGACAGCAGTGAACACATCTTATGACCGAGTCCTACAAACCACTGTGCTGCGACTGTGGATCAATGCATATGCCAATTTCAGACAATTTCTCGCTTTTCTAATCTTCAATTCACTTCTCTACATTTTTGCATCAGTTTGCTTTATTTTTTTAAGGCCTCATAAAAAAATCGAAAGCATCGCCGTGCATATTTCTCCTAATACGCAGGTTTTGTTTGCAATTCTGCCTAACGTACCCATTTTCGAAATAATTACGTTAATATGTTGCACTTTTTGGCAAGTCGTTCTCTGTCATTATGTATTTTTATAGTCGCATAATTTGGTTGGAGAACGGCATTGCAGAATTTGCAGGAGAGCACGTTTAGAAAGGCTGATGTGGTTGAGTTCACATATTATTTTCAAGAAGCGCAATTTGAATAGACAAACATTGAAATACAAAGTACTGTATTTTTCGCTCTATAGGACGCACCCGACGATAGGACGCACCTTGTTTTAGAGGGGGAGAACAAGAAAAAAAAAATTCTCCCCCTCTCTGCTCAGCGCCCCTTCAGCAAAGTGGCAGGAGAAACGGAGCCCCTTCCATTTCTCCTCCCGCTTCGCTGAAGGGCGCTGCGGAGAGAGGGGGAGAATTTTTTTTTCTTGTTTTCCCCATCTAAAACAAGGTGCGTTCAGTGTGTTCAAGGTGCGCTCAGTCGCCTTCAGTGAAGGCAACCCGAACCCTCCGGAGTGCAGCAGGAGTTCCCACTGCGCTCTGGAGGCTTCAGGCGGCTACCTTGGAAGCCTGGAGAGAGAGAGGGGTCGGCACGCACTGACCCCTCTCGCTCTCCAGGCTTCAGTGAAGGCAACCCGAAGCCTCAGGAGGGCGGCGGGAGTTCCCGCTGCACTCCGGGGGCTTTGGGTTCCTTTCAACCTGCTCTTGGGTAGGGGGGGGGGGGAGCGCTGCTTTCCCCCTCTACCAGCCTCAAAGATCCCTGAAGCCTTCGGAGCACAACGCAAGTTCCCGCTGCGCTCTGCAGGCTTCGGGTTCCTTTTGCTGAAGCCAGGGGAGTCTTGCTCTCCTGGCTTCAGCAAAAGGAACCCGAAGCCTGCAGAGCGCAGCGGGAACTCGCGCTGTGCTCTGAAGGCTTCAGGTGGCTATCCCTGAAGCCTGGAGAGCAAGATGGGTCGGTGCGCACCAACCCCTCTCGCTCTCTAGGCTTCACCGAAAGCAACGTGATGCCTCTGGAGCGTGGAGGGAGCCAAGGAGCCTGCATTCGCTCCATAGGACACACACACATTTCCCCTTAATTTTTGGAGGGGAAAAAGTGTGTCCTATAGAGCGAAAAATACGGAATTTCTCCCGCATCCCAAACTGGGGCAGCTACTCACATGACTGGGTGTAAGCTTCTGGCTCTGATTCAAGAGGACAACTGAACTTCTTTATTTTGTTTTTTTTGGGCGGGGGGAATGGTCCACCTGCAGTGTCCCCCAAGAGAACAGCTGTGACCCAGAGGTTTCTGCACATCAGCTTCTTTTTGTGCAGTCCCAAATGTGACACTGCAGATGCCTTTTCTTTTTCTTTCTTTTTACACACACACACACACACACAAACAGATCTCCTACTCACGCGAAAACCGGCCTGACAGCATGGTTCATGTTGCCGTATGTTGCTCGGCCGAGAAGTTCCCTGAAACAATTCTCAGACAGCGCCGAGGGGTTTTCCTCTTTTTCCCCTCCCGAGGCTGACGAAGAGGGGCAGATCCGACTGAAACAAAACCATATGCCCTCTAAGTTATTTTAAATTCACGCGTATGCATGCATGGTTGTGCCCAACGAAGTCATCTTTCCAAGTCATCAACCAAGAATGGACACACACACACACAACCCGAGAGGTACATGTCACACACAGCTTCCAACACTGTTGTGCAGGCTGGACCGGTATGGCCTAGAAGAAGGAGTCCCTGCCAACTTTACAATTCTGTGATTCCATGATATGCTTGTGACGTTAACATATGAGAGTGCTGGAGGTGAAATAGTTAAACAGGTTACCCAATCAGAACCCAGGGGGGTGGAGTTAGAGGGACTATAAAACCAGCTCTGGGAGGAGTGAAGGGGGGAATTTGTTGGGAGTTGGGTGGTTGGTTGGAGTGGGAGTGAATTGGGATAGAGTCTGTGGGTAGGTTGAGTTAGTGTAGCGAAATAAGCTGAGTCAGGAACAGTTAGGAGCTAGGAAGACAAGTAAATATCTGAGAGGTGGTTTAGTGAGTGAGAGCGGGTAGCGGAAGTTATAGGTCTGGATAGGCACCCCATGATTGTAACTGACTGATACCGTCTATGAAACCACACGCTTGTTAAACTGCAATAAATAAACAGAAGTTTATGTTCCAATTTTACCCTGACTGGACTCAGTATTGTACCAGGTAGGGCCTGGGTGGTGGCAGCGAGAAATAAAGTGGTGGCACAGGGATCAATAGACGGTGAAACGTACGGGGACCCTGTGTGATTGCCACAATGCTTAATTATGATTAATGCAATTCATCAAACCAGGGCATCCACTGTTGTGAGTGGCTGTTTTTTGAAGAAGACACACAGCGTCACATCGCTGCCAAAAGAAAGAAAGAAAACAACAACCCTAAAGTTTTCTTCTTCCTGAAGTGGAGAAAGTGTTTCCATCCCTCCGCTGTGGGGCTGCAGATACTATTTTCTCCTACATATGACCATCTGCCTCCACCATCTGCTTATTCCTCCCACTCTTCAAGATGCTTCTCTCTGCAATGCCTCCATATGCAAAGAGTCATAATATCCAAAAGGAAAATGAGACGAGAAACTTATTGCATGCACCGTATGAGGCCAACAGTTCAACAATCCATAAACACTGTTTTCAAGCTCTTTATTATACGTGCATCCAGAGGGTTGATGGTGTGAAATTAGCCTTTTCGGGTGGAGTATTCTCAATGTCCAAACAAAGATTTCAAAGCGGCTGAGTTAAAATTTAACTCACGTATTTCTGTTTTTATTACCAGTTTTGAAAGCCTTAGTTGATCCACTGCCTGAATTGTAATCAATCAGCTAATTAAATCTCCACACATTTGCATAGGAATACTTGTGAGGAAAATGTAGCTTCTTTCAGTCCACCGGTCCAAGGGATGATGGGCGTTGTAGTCCAACAGCAGCTGGAGTTTCAAGTTTGGGAAATCCTGTCTTAGATGGTTGGGACAACCCACCATCAGCAATAGAGAAAAACCTCTGGCACAGGTGCAATTTTTGCCTGCAAGGCCCTTTCCCCCAAACCATGCCTAGGTGATATCAGCGCTTACAGAAGGATGGCTGGAATGAACTGCATTATGGTGCTTCCCTGCTGGGGGGCTCACAAAGCATTTTACAAAAGGTCCTTACCATAAAAAGCCGAGCACAGAGCAGAATTTCACACTTGTATTATTAATGAAATTTTTATTGTTTCTCCTATGTTGTTCACCACCATGCAGTGCCGGATTTACGTATAAGCTAAACAAGCTATAGCTTAGGGCCCCACTCTCTTGGGGCCCCCCCAAAAAAAATTAAAGGAAAGAAAACCTGGATGTACCTTTCCAAAATATAAGATAAAAATAAAATAAAACCTACATACAGCAATGGTGTTTTGTATTGTGGAGGCTCCTATGATGTAAGTAATGGGCTCTGCCTGCTAGCCTGCTCCCTAAAATATCACTGGTTTGCTCATTTCTATATATAGGGTGCCTACATTCTGCATGGACTGGTTGCATGGCAACATGCGCAAATGGCTTTAGATATCTATTTAGTCCATAAATTACCATATATCATATATTCAACACAAAAAACAGTGACCATTTGTTGTTGACGGCTGGATATATAAAGGGCCCCATTACCTTCAGTAGCTTAGGGCCTCATCAAACCTAAATCCGGGCCTGCCACCATGATATTTGGTGGTATATACATTTTTATTTTTATTTTTCAAATAAATTAAATAGGATTTAATGAGCATGCACTTACACACCTGTCAACATCTTCAATCTTGTGCATATTGAACAGCAGGGAGGGCACTATCTTGTCCATGTTCTGAGGCTCCCATATGGTTGCCTGCAGCTCGTCATTAACAGTCTTGCGAACCACACCCTGGATGCCCCTGATTCCGGCAATTCGGATCCTAGAGGAAGACAGCAAAGCAAGGCTGAAGCTAACAACAATATGATCCGCTCATTCATTCACTTATGCATTAAATTTATTACTAAGGTTGCCATACTTCCAAAAAGTAAAAATTACTGGCACCCAAAAAATTATTCAGCCTTTTTTTTTTTTTTGAGGAAGACCCCAAAATTGTAGAGCTAATTTGGGGAAACCCAAAAGTAGTGATTTTAAGCTTTTTGAGCTGTTTGCACTCCCTGACATTTTGCCAGTCCATCAAAATTCACCCCGACACCCAAAAATCAGGACATGTCAGGAAATTTCCTGACATATGGCATGCCTATTTATGACCCTTCCTTCCCTACCTTCTAAAGGAGCCCAAGGGCAGCAAACAAGTAATAAAACAATAGAAACACCTTTTCTAAAATTCCAATACAGAAAGATAACTTAGAAGGTTTCTTGGAAGAGGAAGGTCCTCAGTAAGCACAAAAAGTCAGCAGAGAATGCCTGTCTTGCACTCAGGTGCTGGGAAGTCAAAAGAGTAGGTGCCACCACATTGAAGGCCTGGTTCCTACAATTTGCAGAAATGGACCTCCTGATAATATATATACACCAGGCTTCCTCAAACTCAGCACGGCAGATGTTTTGAGACTACAACTCCCATCATCCCTAGCTAAGAGGACCAGTGGTCAGGGATGATGGGAATTGTAGTCCAAAAGATCTGGAGGGTGAAGGTTGGCTATGCCTGGACTAGATGATCCTTGAGGTTCCTTCCAATTCGACAATTCTGTGATTCTATGTAATTCCCTGCACAAATGCATACAGCTTGCAGCACAATGTGGCCAAGCGAGTACAGTAACACATTGTGCACATTTATTGCATAACATGTTAGCTGATGCCAAGATGATGCTGTTTTAGGAACCAGCTGAAGACATGTCTTTTAGTACAGGCTGTTTAAGACTGCATTCCTTGACAGTTATACTGCGAACTAGCTAATTACACTGTTATTGGAATTGGTTTTTTAAAATATTTGTATTCTGTCCCCTGCTACCTGCCCTGGAGTGGGGACAATATTGAGATGATGGGCAGGATATGAGGCCAAAACTAAAATATACGAACAAACAAACAAGGCTTCACTGCCAGTGCACTGATAAAGCAGTACCACTGATGGGATCATTCAAACAGTTCTATGAAACCTATTATAGTGTGTAACTTCAGCAATGACTAGGGCTGCAGGTATACACCAGTTAAACCAGCCTTTCTCAAACTGTGGGTCCCCAGTTGTTGTTGAACTACAACTCCCATCACCCCTAGCTAGCAAGGCCAGAGCTCAGGGATGATGGGAGTTGTAGTCCAACAACACCTGGGGACCCACAGGTTGAGAACCGCTGAGTTAAACAATGCACATCCAGATTGCTTTCTTGCCTTGGTTTAGATGCACATTAGCAATTCACAGGGAAGGCAAAGATGACCTGGAGGAGCAAGAAGGCCAAGGCAAATTGCACAGAATTGATTTTAGGAATTCCATTTGTTAAACTAGAATTCAGAAAAGGAACCACAAAAGGATAAAGCAGGCACCCCCAACCTTCGGCCCTCCAAACTACAATTCCCATCATCCCTGACCACTGGTCCTGTTAGCTAGGGATCATGGGAGTTGTAGGCCAAAACATCTGGAGGGCCGCAAGTTGGGGATGCCTGGGATGAAGGAACAGGGTGCTAGATATCTGCTCATATCTCCAAGGAAGGCTTGGGTATCAGAAGTAGCACTAAAAGGTAAAGGGACCCCTGACCATTAGGTCTAGTCGTGGCCGACTCTGGGGTTGTGATGCTCATCTCGCTTTATTGGCTGAGGGAGCTGGCGTACAACTTCCGGGTCATGTGGCCAGCATGACTAAGCCGCTTCTGGCGAACCAGAGCAGCGCACGGAAACACCGTTTACCTTCCCGCTGGAGCGGTACCTATTTATCTACTTGCACTTTGACGTGCTTTCGAACTGCTAGGTTGGCAGGAGAAGGGACCGAGCAACGGGAGCTCACCCTGTCGCGGGGATTCGAACTGCCGACCTTCTGATCGGCAAGCCCTAGGCTCTGTGGTTTAACCCACAGCGCCACCCACGTCCCTCAAAACTAAAGTAAGGTGCTATTAGGGACAGGGATGGAGAACCCTCTGGGTGCTGATGGACTCCAACTCCTATCCACCCCAGGCAGCGTGGCCCAATGGTCACAGGTGATGGGAGTCGCCCAGTCAGTCTGACATCAATACCAGGGAAGATTCTGGAGCAGATCATTAAGCAAACAGTCTGTGAGCACCTAGAAAGGAATGCTGTGATCACCAATAGTCAGCACGGATTTCTGAAAAATAAGTCATGTCAGACTAACCTGATCTCATTTTTTGACAGAATTACAAGCCTGGTAGATGAAGGGAACGCAGTGGATGTAGCCTACCTTGATTTCAGCAAGGCATTCGACAAGGTGCCCCATGATATTCTTGTAAAGAAGCTGGTAAAATGCGGTCTTGACTATGCTACCACTCAGTGGATTTGTAACTGGCTGACTGACCGAACCCAAAGGGTGCTCATCAATGGTTCCTCTTCATCCTGGAGAAGAGTGACTAGTGGGGTGCCACAGGGTTCTGTCTTGGGCCCGGTCTTATTCAACATCTTTATCAACGACTTGGATGATGGACTCAAGGGCATCCTGATCAAATTTGCAGATGACACAAAACTGGGAGGGGTGGCTAACACCCCAGAGGACAGGATCACACTTCAAAACGACCTTGACAGATTAGAGAACTGGGCCAAAACAAACAAGATGAACTTTAACAGGGAGAAATGTAAAGTATTGCACTTGGGCAAAAAAATGAGAGGCACAAATACAAGATGGGTGACACCTGGCTTGAGAGCAGTACATGTGAAAAGGATCTAGGAGTCTTGGTTGACCACAAACTTGACATGAGCCAACAGTGTGACGCGGCAGCTAAAAAAGCTAATGCAATTCTGGGCTGCATCAATAGGAGTATAGCATCTAGATCAAGGGAAGTAATAGTGCCACTGTATTCTGCTCTGGTCAGACCTCACCTGGAGTACTGTGTCCAGTTCTGGGCACCACAGTTCAAGAAGGACACTGACAAACTGGAACGTGTCCAGAGGAGGGCAACCAAAATGGTCAAAGGCCTGGAAACAATGCCTTATGAGGAACGGCTAAGGGAGCTGGGCATGTTTAGCCTGGAGAAGAGGAGGTTAAGGGGTGATATGATAGCCATGTTCAAATATATAAAAGGATGTCATATAGAGGAGAGAGAAAGGTTGTTTTCTGCTGCTCCAGAGAAGCGGACACGGAGCAATGGATCCAAACTACAAGAAAGAAGATTCCACCTAAACATTAGGAAGAACTTCCTGACAGTAAGAGCTGTTCGACAGTGGAATTTGCTGCCAAGGAGTGTGGTGGAGTCTCCTTCTTTGGAGGTCTTTAAGCAGAGGCTTGACAACCATATGTCAGGAGTGCTCTGATGGGGGTTTCCTGCTTGGCAGGGGGTTGGACTCGATGGCCCTTGTGGTCTATTCCAATTCTATGATTCTATGATTCTATGAGTCCCAACAACCTCTGCAGGGGCATCAGTCCCATGCCCAATGCTGAGAACAAACTTCGCAAAATACCACCTGATCTGGAAAGGTCATGTGTGCAAAAAAATCATATTTCCCCCTGAAGAAATATGATAACTTGTTTGCAAGTGACAAGCCCGTTCTTTGGTAATTCGGAGTCAAGAGATTCTGCAAAGGGAGATAAATCTACCACAGGTGAGAAAGTTCGGTGTAATTGGACCTCGCATGTGGGGTGGGGTGGAATTATCAGCCGGTGAAGACCTTTAATGTCAGTTTAAATTGTAATTTAAAAGGCAAGCGAACATACGGTGCTTGTTGGGCTCAGCTGCCTACTTGAAATTCTCCAAGAGCAACTTTCTTGTCAGTTGCAATCCCACTCAGGGAAGAAAAAGAGGATTTATAATGACTTTGTTCAAGCCTTATTTCATACATGCTGCGTGATCCAAACGAGAGCTATCATTCTGAGTTAGCAACGAAAGCTACACATTGACAATTTTATGGCCGACTGAAAATAATTATAAGGATTTGCTCTTCCACAGCTTCATTCAAGTCCACGAGCACACTCCCAACACTTTTTAAAAGTGTTTTATTAGTGGCTTTTCGGTCTACTGGATTCATTACATTAGGATTCGTTTTTACTTTATCTGCAACCTGAATATAAACTTCTGCAAGTTTCCTCACACTAGTATAGTAGGAACACAGGAAGTGACCTTATACCAGGTCCTGGTCTTTATTTCTTTTTTAAATTAGTTTTTATTAAAAGATTTTTTTTCCCCGTAATACAAAACATATTGGTTTGTGAACTTTGCCTTGGAAGCAGAACAAACAAATAAACAAGGAAAAGTACATACAACGTCTCCCCTTTCAATTCATAAGAGTCTTTTCCCCCCACAATTTTTTTACATTCAGTATGAGACAATGTTGTCATAGCCATTGGGGGAAGTTCCATGGGAGTATAAGGTTTGCTGAGGAAACAAAAAGAAATCAAAGTCCATGTCAGGCAGAAAGCGTTCAGGACCATGGACAACTCCACTTGGCCCTGCTGAGGAAGCCACCTGAGATGTTTCCTCAGCAATGAGTTTGAGCCCAATGAAACCTTATATAGGCTGAGAAGTGTGTTAGGCTCTCTCTGGAAGATCTGCCAGGATAGTTATAGAGACCTCACCTCTCCTTTTTTTGGTAGCATTTGGCTTATGTGATATGAACATTATGTGGTACGGACATATTCCACTGCCTCTTTGGAGCCTTCATTGGCTCCTGATACATTTCTGGGCCCAATCCAAATTACAGTGGTACCTTGGTTTAAGAACAGCTTGGTTAATGAACAACATGGATTAAGAATGCTGTAAACCCGGAAGTAGGTGTTTTGGTTTGTGAACTTTGCCTTGGAAGCAGAACACTGTTCCGCTTCCTGTCGAGTGTGCTCCAATTATAAATTGGGTCCCCCACTGCTATGGGAAAGCACGCTTTGGTTAAGAACGGACTTCTGGTATGGATTAAGTTTGTAAACCAAGGTACCACTGTATTGGTTTTGAACTAAAAAGTCCTGTACAGATTGGGGCCTCAACAGCTAAAGGATTGTCTCTTCCCATAAATACATACCTGAGCCCTACAATCACTTACAGAGGCCCTGCTCTATGTGCCTCCTCATGATAAAATTTGCAACAAGGAAAATGACCTCCAGCATCTAGCTGTGGAATACTTGCCTCAAAAAGATGCCCACATTCGTGTGAGGCCTTTATTCTCCCAGGCTTTAAAATGCCATTTTAACACCGTTTTAATGTAATTTAAGCATTCTACTGGTATTAATTATTTGAGTCTCTGCTGGTATATTCTGACTGGTGGAGGGTTTTGATTCTCTGCATTGTGGTTTTCATGAGTGCTGGCGGTTATTAGGGGCAGTGTCGTGATGGTTAAGATTAAGAGATGAGGTTAAAGGTAAAGGTAAAGGGACCCCTGACCATTAGGTCCAGTCGTGGCCGACTCTGGGGTTGCGGCGCTCATCTCACTTTACTGGCCGAGAGAGCCGGCGTACTGCTTCTAGGTCATGTGGCCAGCATGACTAAGCCGCTTCTGGTGAACCAGAGCAGCGCACGGAAACGCTGTTTACCTTTCCGCCGGAGCGGTACCTATTTATCTACTTGCACTTTGACGTGCTTTCGAACTGCTAGGTTGGCAGGAGCAGGGACCAAGCAATGGGAGCTCACTCCATCGTGGGGATTCGAACCGCTGACCTTCTGATCAGCAAAAAGAGCACAATTTATTTAGAAAGCTTAAAAAGGTCCCCTAGGAAGGTGAGAAAAAAACTGCTGGATGAGATTAGCCCAACAGTGAGGGAGCTACCACTGAAAAGGTTCTCTAATCAGGGACATTTGAAGTATGGCCTCTGAGGAGAATCGTAAAGTTTGGGTATTCATATGAAGGGAAAGCGATTGTTTGGGTCATGTTGCTCCAAGCCATTTTTCAGCGTGACAGAATTTGAAGTAAGGGTGGCGAGATATAAATTTAATAAGAAACAAACATTGGCATTTAGGCCTGCCTCAGTGCAATTCATGTGAGCTACTGAACTTAAGTACTGTAAACAAGGCCTCAGAAAGATCATTCTTACCTTTCTTTTGTGCAAAAAACAAAACAAAAAACCACCCATATTTTCACTAGAGGGAGCTAAAGACCAGAGTAACAACTTCATTGTACAGGTACACAAACAATATTTCAGTTTTCTCTTCTAACATTTGTGCCTTAGTTCATTTGTGCAAGATCCATTTCACAGATATACGTTTAAGATATAAAATAAATAGGATGGTAAATCATCCATTCAAATAAATCCAAAATAGTCCTTCTATCTGAGCTCATTTGCCACTGCAGCAAAAGCATCAAAGAATATTGCGGCATTTTAAAGACTCGAGTCCCATTCATTTGTTAACACCGTAGCCTCAGGCTAGATAGACTAAAATTAACGAACAGGAAGAATTCCTTTAATATTGATGGTTCTACTCTGTGTAGGACTTAGCTGGCTGCAAGCCTTGATCTCTAAAGGTGCCATAAGACTCTTGATTGTTTGAGGTTTCATGTGATACATGATCTTAAAATCGAGATGCAATAATCATTTGCGTACAATTCGTTAAAAGGACGTGAGCAAACTGCAGGATGAAACATACATAATCCATCTTACTTTATTCATTTGTGAATTTCCTCAGCGGTAAGTCAGTACACTGCTGTTTGAGGTATTTTATAACTGCATGTACCCTTAACAACGTCTGCTTTGCAAAGCTACATTCAGAATTCTAGCTCCGGAGATTAAAAACGCCGACACATGACCCACAGCAGTTTATTTTAGGAAAAGAGATTGCCATAAGATGAATGTTTATGAATAGAAACAGTGTTTTAGATGGAAGGCTGACACGGGAGACAATTTGAATCAGAAACGAATTGAGTGAGGACGCCTAGGCCCCTGCAGCTGACAGGAGGGTGGGGAGCACCTGAAAATCTGTCAGAACTTTCTGGAATAATCTGTGCTGCAGCTCCAGCCATCTCGAACGCGAGATCGGAAACAGGACTGAGGCGAATGCAATATGCTTACATAGATTGCTTCCTTCAAGAAACAAACTATTTGTGATAAAAACACATCCTCTAACATTTCTCCAATGAAAATAGGTATATCCTATTCCATCATCATCATCATCATCATCATACCCTGCCCATCTGATTGGGTTGCCCCAGCCACTCTGGGCAACCTCCATTATATAAAAACATAACAAAACAATAAACATTTAAAACAGGGGCTAGCAAACTTTTTCAGCAGGGGGCCGGTCCACTGTCCCTCAGACCTTGTGGGGGGCCAGACTATATTTTGAAGGGGAAAAAATGAACGAATTCCTATGCCCCTCAAATAACCCAGAGATGCATTTTAAATAAAAGCACACATTCTACTCATGTAAAAATACCAGGCAAGCCCCACAAATAACCTAGAGATACATTTTAAATAAAAGGGCACATTCTACTCATGTAAAAACACACTGATTCCTGGACCGTCCGCAGGCAAGATTTAGAAGGCAATTGGGCCGGATCCGGCCCCCGGGCCTTAGTTTCCCTAAGCATGATTAAAAAGCTTCCCTATACAGGGCTACCTTCACATGTCTTCTAAAGGTTGCATAATTACTTATCTCCTTGGCTCTGGGGTCGTATAACTCTATACCTTCCAACAACCCTCCGTCCCAAGGAGAAGTGGGGTATTCTGGGATCAAATCAGAAACCGGGACAGCTTCTGTAAATCCAGGACTGTCCCTGGAAAATAGGGACACTTGCGAGGGGCTGTAAAAAGGTTTCTCGGCTTGGTGATAAAGACCCATTTAAGGCGAGTGCAATGGTAGCAAAACATAGGTTTGAGATTTCCCCCTCCTCCTATATAATCTTGACAGTCTGGAATATGCACACTGCAGAATTAAATGGTGAGAATGCTGAGGAGGCTACGGAAGAGTGGATAGTGTTATTGCAGACTATGGGGCAACCATTTTGAACAGGGACAGACAGCTACAACTTCACAATATACCGTATTTTTCGCTCTATAAGACGCACCAGACCACAAGACGCACCTAGTTTTTGGAGGAGGAAAACAAGGGGAAAAAAATATTCTGAATCTCAGAAGCCAGAACAGCAAGAGGGATCGCTGCGCAGTGAAAGCAGCAATGCCTCTTGCTGTTCTGGCTTCTGGGATAGCTGCGCAGCCTGCATTCGTTCCATAAGACTCACACAAATTTTCCCTTACTTTTTAGGAGGGAAAAAGTGAGTCTTATAGAGCAAAAAATACGGTATATATATTTTCTGGTGTCACAAAAAAGTAATAATCATGACATACATTGAACTAGAGAGGCAAAAGTGGGGGGGACCAGGCTATCAGGCGGCCATTTTGGACAGCATCTGCTCTGTCAGGGCAATGCCAACTTTGACTGCAACGTGAAAAACATTTAGGGATGAATTGAGGTCATGTGAATCAGACTGACAACAAGGGACATTGCAGGGCAGGCTGGTGACTCATTTCCTGTGGGGAAGGAGCAGAAAAACCTGGGCTCCCCCCTTCTCCTCTGACAAGCCCTCAGTTGATCTCGAGTAGAGGCTTCAAATGAAAGCAGTTCACGGAAATTTTCAAGGCAATTTAGCTTCTGACTCCTCTCCTCTAAGGAGAAGCGAGTACAACAGTCAGCCAGCTGTTTTGACAAGGATACAATCTCAATTAAGAAACATACTTCTGGCAAGTCTAGAGCTTCCATGAAAAATATCTGAGAATTTAAGGGACTGCCTTGTCCCATATTTCCCTGCCCAGAAACTCTGCTCCTCAGATGGGGCATTGACAAGAGTCATCGCGTATCCCAGAGGACGGCTGAGTATTACTAGCAAATTGGCCTTTTTGTGTTGCAGTTCCAGCCTTCTTGAATTAGTTACCAGCTGAAATTAGGCAGGAATTTAGCATCCTAATATTCAGGCAGCTTCTTTGAGAAGGTTTTTTTCCTGGTATGTAGCCCAATCAACTTATGGAATATTAATTGTACCATCGCAGCAACGAATTTATTGCTTTTAGTTTACCGAGTCAGTAATCTGTTGTATCTGATTGAACACCATTTTATTAGCTTTGGGCTGCAAAGCTGTTTACAATCCTGCAAACAGACGCTCATTTTAGACCTCCCTGTGAGTGGGCAGAAGTGAACAAGCCAGGATGCCATAATTGGACCAAGGAAGAGGACTTGAAGCAAATACTCACACAGTGCCAGATATACGTATAAGCTAAACAAGCTATAGCTTAGGGGCCCACTCTCTTGGGGGCCCCCCAAAAAAAACGCAAAAGAAAAAAAACCTGGATGTACATTTCCAAAATATAAGATAAAAAACAAATAACATAAAACCTACATACAGCAACAGTGTTTTGTGTTGTGTAGGCTCCTATGATATATGTAATGGGCCCCGCCTGCTAGCCTGCTCCCTAGAATATCACTGGTTTGCTCATTTCTATATATAGGGTGCCTACATTCTGCATGGACTGGTTGCATGCAACATGGGCAAATGGCTTTAGATACCTATTAGGTCCATAAATTACCATATAGCATATATTCAACACATACAAAAAGTGACAATTTGTTGTTGACAAAGGACAGCTGGACATATAAAGGGCCCCATTACCTTCAGTAGCTTAGGGCCTCATCAAACCTAAATCCGGCCCTGTACACATATCTGGTTACTTACTCATTTTGTACTTCTGGATCCTCGTGGTAAGAATGACACATGGCACTGAACTGGGAAACAAAGAAGTCATAGCGCCTGTGGTATGAAGGAGTATCTTCCTCAATGTTTGCGAATTTAACAAACTAGGGAAATCAGAAGAAAGAGAATACAAGATTGGTTTATGGTCAGAGGTAATACTTGAAAGAGATAACAGTCTATTGCCAACTTTCCTGGCTTAAAGTGTACGTCCCTTGTGGTGTTACACTGAAAGACCAAGATCAACTTGGATGTGCACTTAATCAGAGGCAGCTACCAAACTTGTTTTTCTTAACTTTGCTACAGGCACAGGGCAGACAGATCTGTGTGAACTTTGTTTTACCAACCCCCTAAAATCTTGAAGTTAAGATGTGAAAACTTCGCTTTGAAAGTCACCACGTTAAATTCAGCCTTTCCATAAATATCCAGGCAAGGTTCTACTTTCAGGGAGCAAAGTATCTCTGCGCACATTCTTAGAAATATCAAGTTTACTTTATTTCCAATGAATGTACCTTCTGCTGTAGCCAAGGCACGAGGCCAATTTAAAACCTGATTCACCTGAAAAGTTAGGAACTGAAAATAATTTATGATATCTCAGAATAGCTCTTTCCTCCTTATGACTGTAGAATCTTTTGTGTTGCTATGGAGAAGGCTTGCACAGATTTTAGAACTACATCACATCACCTGAGAAGAATGAAACTCAAAATACATCCATTTTCAACATTTGCTAGAGTTAGGGAGGTACTATGATGTGTTTAATGCACGTATTATATCCAACATATTTGAGGGACAGACATGTCTTCCCTTTTGCTCATTCACTGTACAAAAGTTCACCTGAAATAGGGATTGGCAAATTTGGCTTCTCTCAGGTACTCATTTTTTTCAGCCTTAAGTTCAGTTCTCACGGAAATTCACCAGCCTTTCAGTGCTAATTTCTCAGAAAAAAGGCAGCCAAAATTATTAAGGAGATAGAGCAACTCCCCTGTAAGATAAGGCTGCAGCGCTAAGGACTTTTTAAAGTTTAGAGAAAACAAGAGCAAGAGGTGACATGACAGAGATGTATAAAATTATGTATGGCATTTTTAGAGAAAAAAGTTCTTCTCCCTCTCTCAAAACACTAGATCTTGTAGCCATCCAATAAAGATGAATGTTGGAGGATTAAAGACAGATAAAAGAAATTATTTGTTCATAGTTAAACTGTGGAACACCCTCCCACAAGACGTAGGAAAAGCCACCAACTCAGATGGCTTTAAAAGATGATTGGGCAAATTCATGGAGCCATGATGGCAATGCTCTGCTTCCACAAATTTCCCACAGGGATCTGGGTGGCCACTGTGAGAACAAGGATGCTGGAACAGATGGGCCACGGGCTCGTCTTATATTCTCCTAATGTACAGAAATTCTGCCTGATATACAACGCAATTTCCCTTAATATATACTTATGTTATCCTCAGCAATATATTCATTTATATGCACACTTTATAATAATAATTTATTATTTGTACCCCGTCCATCTGGCTGGGTTTCCCCAGCCACTCGGGGCAGCTTCCAACGAAGATTAAAAATACATCAAAATGTCACACATTAAAAACTTCCCTGAACAGGGCTGCCTTCAGATGTCTTCTAAAATTCAGGTAGATGGGAGGACGTTCCACAGGGTGGGCACCACCACCGAGAAGGCCCTCTGCCTGGTTCCCTGTAGCTTTGCTTCTCGCAGTGAGGGAAGCGACAGAAGGCCCTTGACGCTAGACCTCCGTTCTGCTCAGTCCAGGCAGAACGATGGGGGTGGAGATGCTCCTTCAGGTATACTTGACAGAGACCATTTAGGGCTTTAAAGGTCAGCACCTTTAAAAGTCAGCACTTGTGAATTGTGCTCGGAAACATACCTTACCCGTGTATATGTATTTTTGCACACATTACTTAAGCGCTGCAAAATTCAGAGAAGTGCAAATTTCAGAGGGCTGGGTTTCAGTTTGTGCACTGTTTTGAAATTAGGTAAGTTCACCTCTAAATGTGAACTCCATTGGAGTTCTCCATCATCCTTAGTCATCTCTGCCTGCCTGCTAAGGGATATCAAAACTGTAAGGATGCTTCCCCCTTTCGTTACAGCCATCAGATGAGGAACTGAAAGTGTTTACGCTGCTCCTGCAGTCCCTGCTCAGCTGAACTTTGGTTTACTCACTGAATTGGTCCCCAGAACTTGCAGCTTTGGCTCTCCAGACTCCAGCAGCTTAGCTACCATATGAAGGAAGCTCTCGACAAACGGTTTGATGCTCTGTGAGCGGCAGGCCATCAGAAGCTGGTCCAGGGCTTCCATGGCAATTAAAACGTATCTGAGAGAACAGGCAAGCAAAGATCCACAGGTGTCAGGCAGCGCATGCACTCAGGAAAACAAATAAGCTATATTTGTCTGTTCCTATGCATATTTATCTGAAAGGAAGTCCTGCTACGTTCCATGGGGCCTCCTTTCACGCTAGGCTTAGTTACATTCCTAGCACCCTCGTTCTAGATGCACTGCTGTATCCTCCAGGGCAGGAGGGAAGAGGCAACCTGGTTTGGAATAGCTTATAAAGCAGTATTTCAAACCTTTTTGCCCCCTCCTAAGAGAGGCTGGGTCTTTCAACAAAGCCAGCCTTCCAATCCAATCCACCAGGCCCAATCCGTTGGCTCTGCTGGGAGCCATGCTGCCTTTGGCTCTTACTCTCCTGTAACAGTTTCTATTTAACCTGTTCATCAGAATAACTTTGTAACTTTAAGGTATATAGGGGGTAAAGGGGACCCCTGACCATTAGGTCCAGTCATGGCCGACTTGGGGTTGCAGCGCTCATCTCGCTTTATTGGCCTAGGGAGCCGGCGTACAGCTTCCGGGTCATGTGGCCAGCATGACTAAGCTGCTTCTGGCGAACCAGAGCAGCGCACGGAAACGCCGTTTACCTCCCCACCGGAGCGGTACCTATTTATCTACTTGCACTTGCAGTGCTTTCGAACTGCTAGGTTGGCAGCAGCAGGGACCGAGCAACGGGAGCTCACCCCATCATGGGGATTCGAACTGCCAACCTTCTGATTGGCAAGTCCTAGGCTCTGTGGTTTTTAACCCACAGCGCCAGCCTTCTTTTTAGGTGGACTTAAAACCACCCCAATTCTTTTCAATGGGTGTACGCAGGATACTACGCTGTGTAGGGTTGCACCCACATTTTGAAAAATCCTTTGACCTGGACCAGAGCTGTTTGTGGAGCAAGGAGAGGCTGGCAAAGCCTCTGTTGGGCTTTGGCCTTGGAAGAAAGCGGAACCCTCTGCCACTCTCAGCTCCACAAATAGCTTTATCCTGGCCAAGGCTAGAAGACGGAATCAGGCTCATAAGAAGCGGGACGGGTCCAGACCTATCGCAAAAGAGGTGGGATGGCACCTAACTCAACTTCACCTCACTTCAGGAGTAATATGTTCTTGAGGTCACTTACAGAAAACACTGTCCTTTTCACAGTAACAACTGATAATGGCTCGCAATTACATCTAAGTGTGAATGCAATCATTCAAGCTCGGGAGCACATTGCTGAACAGTTATAAAGATGGTGAATGGACCACAGGCTAATTTCAAGCAGGGCCTAATGTGAAATGAAACCATCTCATTTTCTCCCTGACTGCAACCACGCTTTGAAGGCTGCCCAGTTCAGATTCTTAGATGCGTGATCGCTGTGTCAAGTGGATCGTAGTGAATATTGCCATGCTGAAACGACAGCTGGACACCCAGTGTGTAAGTTTGGCCTAAGACAAAGGAAAATGAAAACTTCTAGCCCTACAAAGCTTCTGTTCCTCCGAGGACAGGCTTCTGATATCAGGTTAAAGGTAAAGGTAAAGGGGCCCCTGACCATTAGGTCCAGTCTTGACCGACTCTGGGGTTGCGGCGCTCATCTTGCTTTATTGTCTGAGGGAGCCAGTGTGCAGCTTCCGGGTCATGTGGCCAGCATGACTAAGCCACTTCTGGCAAACCAGAGCAGTGCACAGAAACACTGTTTACCTTCCTGCCGGAGAGCTACCTATTTATCTACTTGCACTTTGACGTGCTTTCGAACTGCTAGGTTGGCAGGAGCAGGGACCGAACAATGGGAGCTCACCCTGTCACGGGGATTCGAACCGCCAACCTTCTGATCGGCAAGTCCTAGGCTCTGTGGTTTAACCCACAGTGCCACCCGCGTATCAGGTTAGTTCCTGCAAAAAGTTCCCACTGGTTTTAACTGCTGCTCAACCTGAGTCACAGATACCATCTCCACTATCTAACATCCATGGTTCTAGCCCAGATTATAGGGGGAAATTGAAAGAATCACTGGTGGGAAGATAACATCAGCATTAACGAGTAAGAAGCTTACCCGTAACGGTGTCTGACAACATCCCGGCTCAGTCGCTCTGCTAAGTAAGCACCAATTCGATCGAGCTTCTCAGGTGCAGAAACAGCGTAAAAAGTCAGCTTCTCCATATCAGCTTTGACAAGCCCATCCTAATCATAAGAAGAATCACCAGTCAATGTTTTTCTTTTTTCCTCGGTAACAGAAATCACTTATGATTTGCACTTTGGATACTATGGCCAGATATTGATGTGGCGAAGATAGCATCCTGGGGAATGGCATATGAGGCCACCACCTTGTTGAAGCTAAGCAGGTTCAGGTCTGGTGAGTGTTTGGATGGGTGACCATCTGAGAACTATGTACAGTGGTAGCTCGGAAGTTGAACGGGATCCGTTCCAGAAGTCTGTTTGACTTCCAAAATGTTTGAAAACCAAGGCGCGGCTTCCGATTGGCTGCAGGACATTTGGGTTCCAAAGAAGGTTTGCAAACAGGAACACTCACTTCCGGGTTTATGGCGCCAAAATGTTCAACTCACAAGGCATTTGGGATCCAAGTTATGACTGTACATGCCATCTTAGGTCGCATGATGGAAGAAAGTAAGGATATGAATATCATAAAATAAATGAGTCAATAATGTAGACCAGTGTTTCCAAAACTTGGGTTTCTGGCTGTTTTTAGACTACAATTCCCATCATCCCTGACCACTGGTTCTGCTAGCTAGGGATGATGGGAGTTGTAGTCCAAAAAAAGGTGAAGACCCAAGTTTGGGAACCACTGGTGTAGACACTGGCCACTGAATGCCTGTTTTCTAGAACATTATAGGAAGAGGAGAGAAGCAGGATTGTAGACTGCTAAATTCTGGCTCTCACCCCTCTACCAAACATCTACTAGAGGACCAGTTGTGGCAACATGGCCAGAGCGTCAGGACTGAGTAGAGCCAGTTTCAGATTGCACATCTCAACCCCACTAGCTGATCTTGGACCAGTTACCACCTTTCCACTTATGCTACCCTCACAGGGTTATTGTGTGGAAAAGCTGGGGATGGGAAGGACAAGAGAGCACCATCTTGAGCTACTTGGATATAAAGAAATACTTCAGAAAGGATAGTGCTTCTTTTCTTTTTGCAAATTATGTTTGGCAGAGCATTTCAAATTCTTTCACAGAGAATTAAGAATTCAAGTCAAAGTACTTATTTAAAAAAAATAAAAACAATAATCTTGAAATTATTCCCACAGGGCAAAATTAAATTGTGGAGAGGCAAGGTATGCAAATTATCAGCACACTCCACTTAATTTAAAAAAATGAATGAGTTATTAGCAAGACAAGGAAAAAAATAATTAGAATTACAATATCCCACAGGACTAAACCTAAATGTACTGGAATGTTGCTGATGCATTAGCTGGAGGAAATATTTAAATTCAGAGTGGTAATAGCTTGAAGCGTTGGACACTTGAATGGCTGCATCTTATTTGGAACTGGTTCCCACAGCTCAGTGGTAGAGCATCTGCCTTTTGCATGCAGAAGGTCCCTGGTTCATTCCCCGATATCTCCAGGTAGGACTGGGAGAGGCAACATGTTTGAAATCCTGGAGGGTGCCCTGGTGAGGGTAGCCGATGGGTTTCAAACCCTCAGCGAGTTAGGGATTTCCCCTGCATGCGAAGACAGGCTCCGGTGGACTGAGAAGACCAAAGGTGGGCCATATGGTCAAGGAGGTGGTTTCTACATGTGCTGTAGAGGGAAGTGAAGGGCAGATGGGACTGGTCAACCTGGGAAGGTGGCCCATCTAGGAGAAGGAAAACTCTGGTCCTCTGATGGGGCATCTTTGGGAGAAGAAAAGACGAAGGAGCAAACCCTACACAGATCTGGTGTGGAGTCCCTGAGAGGGTTGGATGGAGTCTGGTATGCTTCCTTCTGGTAACTCCTACAGCCAAATGTGTTGCTCTGCTTTCCTTTGGGCCACGTCAACAAGGCCGAGGGGTGTGTGTGTGTGTGTGGAGGTGACGCTCCGCTTGTGCTGAGGCAAACCTCGCACCAGGCATGCAACAGTGTGCCAAGGACCATTGCGCCCACGCTCCCTGACCTTTTGCCTTCTCGGCTAGAAGACAGAGTTTTTCCCCTGACCATTTGTCATCTCACAGATTTGGTTACTAGACATAACGCTTGGCTGGAGCATGCCCAAGGATGCAGACGTAATCAAGTATCGGGGAACATTTTAGGGAAACACCTCCTAACACGTGTATCTGCTAATGCTGGAAATGTGCTTAGATGGAAATACGTCATGTTCAGAGTGGTTTCATTACTGTTTCCAATTGTTGACTTCTGCTAATAAAAGGAGACTCTGCAGAGCTAGCCGGCAGCTTGTTTTGGAGCTTGCTTACTAGCTTGCTTCTGCAGAGCTCACTTGCATCCAGCCAGTGTGGTGTAGTGGTTAAGAGCGGTAGACTTGTAATCTGGGGAACTGGGTTCGCTTCCCCGCTCCTCCACATGCAGCTGCTGGGTGACCTTCGGCTAGTCACACTTCTCTGAAGTCTCTCAGCCCCACTCACCTCACAGAGTGTTTGTTGTGGGGGAGGAAGGGAAAGGAGAGTGTTAGCCGCTTTGAGACTCCTTCGGGTAGTGATAAAGCGGGATATCAAATCCAAACTCCTCCTCCTCTTCTTCTTCTTCTCCTGTCATCCTCGTTATTCCTACAGGGGTCTTGTCATCTGATCAACACAAGACCTCCATACAGCCCTGGAGAAGTCACTTTGGTACTCCTAACACAGCAAAAATAATGTGGGAGGCGGCAGTTACGAGTTACCGGTTTCTGCTGCCACAGCAGGCGCTGTGACTCCCCAGTGGTTTGACTTTATCCCTGGAGGTGCGCTCCATGGTCTCTTGAGACAGATGGATGCCAACAGCCTGAAATTCCCCAGAACTGAACTTGGAACCTTTCACATGCAAGGCATGATCACATAAGAGCATAAGAAGAGTCTGCTGGATCAGGCCCATCTAGTCCAGCATCCTGTTCTCGCGGTAGCCAACCAGACACTTGTCTGGACACCAACAAGCAGGTCCTGAGCACAGGAACAAATCGAGCCATGTAGCTTGACGTTTCCTTCACTTACTTTTGGGTCTTCAGGGAAGATGTTATCCACCAGGCGTTTGTAGCGAGGGCGCAAAGCAGCACAGCAGCAGCAAACACCTGGAAAAACATGGCCCAGGCAGAAAGGTGAGCAATGAGGAGAAATGCAGTTGCAAAAACCAGAATGTAGCAATAAGGATTTTGAACAGTTATGAAATACTGCCTCCTCCAAAATAATAATTTGAAAAATTGCTCAGTGATAGAATAAATGAAATTTATTTAGGGCTGCTGCCTTTTTTCTTGGTGCTACTCCTGAACCTAGCAGTTCGAAAGCACATCAGAGTGCAAGTAGATAAATAGGTACCACTCCGACGGGAAGGTAAACGGTGTTTCTGTGTGCTGCTCTGGTTCGCCAAAAGCGGCTTAGTCATGCTGGCCACATGACCTGGAAGCTGTACGCTGCCTCCCTCGGCCAGTAAAGCAAGATGAGCGCCGCAACCCCACAGTCGCCGCGACTGGACCTAATGGTCAGGGGGGTCCCTTTACCTTTTACTCCTGAGGAGGAATAGATGACTGTTGTTTTTACTCATTTTTCCATTATTAAGTTCAATTCTTCCCATGACCGCATCAGTTTGCAATGTATTTACTTTTAAGAGGAAGCCGTCGTGAAAATTCAGTAGCATTTATACATGTATGCATGTTTGCACACACTTTTGCAAAGCAATTTTCCCTAGCATAATGCGCGTCTTCTATGTCATTTTCACTAATGTGTGCATTTTTAATGCACCACTTTACCTCAACATATACATTTTTGTACAAATTACTTGAACTGTGTTGAAAAATTCAGAGAAGGGCATATTATGAACAACGGCTGCATTTCAGCTGGTACGTTGTTTCAGAAAATGCAGATCAGTTAGGTGTGTCTTTAAATACAAACTAAATTCAATATATACCACCCACATCCTTATTCCTTATCTCCACCCACTCACATGATTGGATCACTTAAATGCTCCCCCAATCACTGATAAGCATCCCACTGACATGTCTGAAGAACACCTGATCCCGGACATCTGGCTGATTCCTCCCCCAACCTGCAATCTGTGCTTTTCATTTTAAAGTAGAAGCCAGACTTAGATTATGCCGATAATGAAAAGAATTCACACTAAGAGACGAAATGATCATCTCTGGCAGTTAATGAAACAACGAAATTTCATAAGCTATACACGAGGGAGCTATTAAAGAGTGCCAGAGCTCTGAGCAAGGTTATATCAAGTTTACTGGCTCAAGCAGTAGAATATTGCAGGGCCATTGCAATGTTCGTCCACTAGAAATATCTCGTCATGCCCCAGAGCTGAAGCATAGCAATCACTACCACATATGTCTGAATCTTTCTATGCAAAAACTCGTTCTGCTTCATTAACTTGTAAAAATGCATAGATTTAGCAGATGGAATGCTTTCTTCTTAACTACTGTAGTGTTTTTTGTTTTTTGTTATTTTTTTTTTTAAAAAACCATCTATTTCTATCGTTTTGGTAATTAGCACCTCATTTCCCTATGACCAAATGACTCACTGAACTGGAAGTGTTTTGTATATTTAGAAAGAAAATTCAAGCTCTTGCTTTGGAGTGCGAAGACTCCTGGCTTTTTTTAAAAAAAGAAAAAAAGAGAGAGAAATCTAAAGCAAGGAAGGTAAGACAACAGTTTTAAATGAGGTCGTAGTTAGCGATCTGAGAGGTTGTAGTCTAATTTCCTAACTTGCAAAATGGTTGCATTTCACCCTTTCACCCATAGTTGGCACAGGTCAGTGTAGGAGAGGTTTCAAGCAGTATTTCTTAAAATCTTGCCCCCCCCCTCCAAAGTCACAGCACACACATGGAACGGGGTCAAATAAAGGACACCGAAATGAAATCTCTGTCATCTTACTGCCTTCAAGCAAGCAAGCAATTTTGACTGAGAATATTTTGACAGACATTTCAAGTCTGTTCTCCTGAAAGAAAAAGGAGATGACACAACAGGAACACAGGTCTAGCATTTCAGTCATTATATAATTATTATTAATTATACTCCAGAGGCATTGTTTGTAACGTGTCAAACATCGTTGGGAGTTTTACCCAACCGAACAGCAGCTCTGCCCGAGAAAGATGTATTTAACAGGCTTTCAAGCTCACCTCTGTAAGTTAATGGAATGAAAGTGCAGGTCACAACTACAAATGTCAAGTTTGGTGTAATACGTCCATTATCTCTCTAGTCATTCTGCTTCCCTTTTCTTTAAATGTTCTCCCCCACTTGTACAAATGGAGGCAACATCCACAGAAGCAAGCTGTGCATCTCTGTGCTGAACTTTGCCAGGGGCTAAAGGAAGAATGCTCCAAAAGGCCCATGTTTACAACCACTTCTATCTGTCTTACAGCTTTGAACAGTGTTCCATAAACCTAATAAACTGCCAGTGGAATATGCCACCAAAAGGGGAGAAAGCAAGAAACACTTTGATTTACCACTGTAAAGGTAAAGGTACCCTGACCATTAGGTCCAGTCGCGGATGACTCTGGGGTTGCGGCGCTCTTCTCGCTTTATTGGCCGAGGGAGCTGGTGTACAGCTTCCGACTCATGTGGCCAGCATGACTGAGCCACTTCTGGCAAACCAGAGCAGCACATGGAAACGCCGTTTACCTTCCCGCCGGAGTGGTACCTATTTATCTACTTGCACTCTGATGTGCTTTCGAACTGCTAGGTTGGCAGGAGCGGGGACCGAGAACGGGAGCTCACCCTGTCGTGGGGATTCAAACCGCCAACCTTCTGATTGGCAAGCCCTTGGGCTCTGTGGTTTAATCCACAGTGCCACCCGTGTCCCTTACCACTGTAAAGAAGACTTTGATAGAAGCCCTTACACTGAGCTGACTGCCCCACCGCATTGCCCCCCTTCCTCCTGGTATGCAACAACGACACCCCCTTCAGGGAACATGCTTCTGCCCCACCCAGTGAACCACTTCTGGTTGATACTTGGAAGACACTGAGGCATGAGGGCAGAAGGAATGAGATGGACTACTGCAATGCGCTCTATGTGGGGCTACCTTTGAAGGTGACCCAGAAACTACAACTAATCCAGAATATGGCAGCTAGACTGGTGACTGGGAGCGGCCACCGAGACCACATAACACCTGTCTTGAAAGACCTACATTGGTTCCCAGTACGTTTCCGAGCACAATTCAAAGTGTTGGTGATGACCTTTAAAGCCCTAAACGGCCTCGGCCCAGGATACCTGAACGAGCGTCTCCACCCCCATCATTCTGCCCAGACACTGAGGTCCAGCGCAGAGGGCCTTCTGGCAGTTCCCTCACTGTGAGAAGCCAAGTTACAGGGAACCAGGCAGAGGGCCTTCTCAGTAGTGGCACCCGCCCTGTGGAACGCCCTCCCACCAGATGTCAAGGAAAACAACAACTACCAGACTTTTAGAAGACATCTGAAGGCAGCCCTGTTTAGGGAAGCTTTTAATGTTTGATGCTTTACTGTATTTTAATATTTTGTTGGAAGCCGCCCAGAGTGGCTGGGGAAGCCCAGCCAGATGGGCGGGGTATAAATAATAAATTATTATTATTATTATCACCTCAGACTTCAGTTTATTCTGAATTAGTTTTCTTTGCCCCTCAGATAAACACAGTGCTGCTAATCCTGAATAATTGCCAGTGAATCCCTTGCTTAAAAGGTTTGAACACCTGCCATCACACCTAACCCTACACTAGGGAGAAGGACCCCATGTGTGCCTCCAGATGCTGCTGAACAACAAGACCCATCACAGAATCATAGAGTTGGAAGGGACACCGAGGGTCATCTAGTCCAACCCCCTGCAATGCAGGGATCATCCCTGGGTACTGGTCACATTGGCTCAGGCTGATTAGAGTCAGCATCCAACAACATTTGGAGACCCACAAGGTCCCTATCCTATGCAATGTTGTTAGACTTAACAGCCATCAGGATTATTGATAGACTTCTCCTACATGGCTGTCTGTGGCTGCTTTGTATACTGAATAATGATTATCATGGTGCCCAAAGAACATTTACATCTTTACAGGATACCTTCTGACCCTGCTTACTGTTGTGTGAGGTGCTTTCCCCCCTTCTTTCAAGTCAAAAGGCTTAGTTAATAAACATTTGAAGACTGCATGCACTCATCTGGGAATATGTCCTATTATACAAAATGGGACCTTGCATAGGATTGTGCTGTTAACTGTTTATTATGCTGTAATAAACAGTGTAACCTTTGAACTCCACATAGGCACCTCTGCACAGCAGAATGCATATACAAAATGGCAGGTGTGTGTGTTTTGATTCAGGGCTTGCCCATGTAGTGACCTTCAAATGTTGCTGTTGGGCTACAATTCTGGTTCACCCTCAGCTTGTATAGCCTGCGTTCTGAGATCATGGAAGTTGGACTCCAAAAAAACCATCTGGAGTGCAACCTGTTGACTGGTTTAAGCAATTTAATCAAGCTTGAGTTTTCATTGTCTGGCCTGCAAATAAACAGCACATTTATAACTTGAGGGTATTCCAATGCACTGGAAAAGTGTAACAGGAAATAACGATGGCCTTTCCCTATATGAAAAAGGGAAAGGAGACAACATAGCTTTTCTTGGTTCCATGTTACATTTTCGCTTCCTTCAAAGGCCTAAAAACTGGTGCCTGTACTGAGATTAAGATAATATGCAAAATTATTCACAGGCAGTCAGTTAATCAGTTAATTGGTAAGAAGCTGGTGCTTACTCAACTAAAAAGCCTTTCATACACTGACAACCTGACAAAATGCAAATATTCATATGCATCAAGCTTATCTATATCAGTTCTATAAGCCAGACGTGCGCTGAATAAATTGCCCAATGCACTCACCTTTCCGAACCATGACGTGTAGACCAGCTGCAAATGCTACACATGAAGCTTAATTGAAAACCAGCGTGAAACCTGGATGGAAAGCCTTATCTGGGGAAAAATGAATAAAAGAAAGGAGAAGGGTTTCAAGAGAAAGATAGTTCAAGAAAGTCTATTTTGTACCCTGGAATCCACAACTACAGCATTTGTTTTCCATAACTGGAAGTGTCACAAGCATCAGAATGTAAACATCCAGAAACCAAAATATGCAATAAAGCAATCCCATTAAAACAGCACAGCTATTAAAACAGGAGGCTCAAGTCAAGAGATCCAGGAAATCCCTCATATAAACAAGCGAATTTTCAAAAGCCGTCGAGATGCCAATACTGATGGGGCCGCTCTTATTTCAGGAGGGAATACAGTACATTCCATAACACTAGTGCTAGCAGTGAAAAGCACACCTCTGCCTCACCACAGTATATATGCTAGAGAGAGCATTTGTAGTTAATTTCGCCATCTCAAGAACTTAATATTATGAGCTGGAATGCCACAATGAAAGATCAACATGCTTCGTCATGTGGGTCAATCTGAATTGATCACCAATTTCACACTGTATATACCGTATTTTTCGCTCTATAGGACACACTTTTTCCCCTCCAAAAATTAAGGGGAAATGTGTGTGCATCCTTTGGAGCGAATGCAGGCTCCTTGGCTTCAACTATAGCAACGCGAAGCCCCCGAAGCGCAGAGGGAGCGCTCCCTCCGCGCTCCGGAGGCTACATGTTGCTTTCGCTGAAGCCTGGAGAGCGAGAGGGGTCGGTGCGCACCGACCCCGGTCGCGCGCCAGGCTTCAGGGATAGCCACCTGAAGCCTTTGGAGCACAGCGGGAACTCGCGCTGCACTCCGAAGGCTTCGGGTTCCTTTTGCTGAAGCTAGGAGAGCAAGACTCTCCTGGCTTCAGCAGAGAGGGAGAGCTGCGCAGCGCCCCTTCAGCCAAGCGGGAGGAGAAGTGGAAGGGGCTCCGTCCTGCCACTTTGCTGAAGGGGCGCTGAGCAGAGAGGGGGAGAATTTTTTTTTTTCTTGTTCTCCCCCTCTAAAACAAGGTGCGTCCTATGTTCGGGTGCGTCCTATAGAGCGAAAAATATGGTACATAGCATTATCCTTTGGTTCCAGCCAGATGTCATAGGCAAACAATAGCACGCTTGCTCCTCAAAGCATGCACACATCTCCCCAGTGGAGGTGCAAAAGTTTGCATTTAGACATGGTACGGAAGCACAGGTCAATTCAACTCCTTGTCTACCCTTCCCCTCTTATTATCACCAGATATGTGGGGCAGAAAATTCCCCATGATCAAATTTCCAGTGCTTTATTTTTCCATGGATTTTCCCCTCCCCCATTTTTATAAGTCCATTAGTAGCAAAGAATAGATGCCAACTGCAAATACAGCTTGTGAGTTTTAAAGGTTTTAGCTTTGCATACTAAACACAAGGGAAGCGAACATGCTAAATGAGACCACTCTTTTCTAGGGCAACAGAAAATTTCCTGATGCAAACCCAAAAGTTTACAATGCAAACAACCCCAATATGCATGGAGAAAACCTCCAGGAAATAAACCCGGAAAACCCACAGCACTGATTGCTACACCTGGCAAGCTTTCAGTATAGGAGGAGAGCCACTCAGGTCACAAGTTTGCTTAATTATACACAGAATGAATGTTTTGCTCACTGCAAGTTCTTCCAAATCAGAGTTGAAAAGCAGGCTCTTTCTTCTCCAGCCATTATCATTAACAATCAGCAGCTAACGTTAGTGAGGATGGAAGAGGTGCAAAAGAAAGAGGCCAACAGAAAGTATTCTTAGCTCTTAATACCAATTACGCACAGGTTAAGAAGGTATCAGTTTGACTTTTAGAACTAAAGCTAAATTAGAAGGCCAGACAGTTGAAAAGAGCAACCTTTTCAAGAATGTTTAAACACACACACACAAACTGAACTAAAACAACACTGATCAGGCAATCCTATTGCCTTAGAAATTGACATGACATTTCCTATTTGTATAGACCAGTTCTCTGTCAACTTGAAAGTGTGTTTCTGTGGCATAGGAGGTTCTGCAGATGAAGCTATGGTGGGGTTTGCCTTAGAGAACTTTTATTCCCTGCCCAAAGTCCAATAACAAAGGGAGAAAACCGAGGGTACGTCCTGAAAAATTAGGCAGTCATCTGTCTAGTGCTGGTGTTAAGAGTGGTAGCCCAAGGTGGGGAAAATCCTTTTGCACTGATCCTTAGATCTCCTATCCATTTCAAAACAATTGATTCCCTTTGCTTAGAGGTCAGTCAATCACTATGTTTATTTGCAGAGGTCTCAATCCACACATACCATGTACGAGGCCCATCCTGTAGCTCAGAGTAATTGCATGCAAATTGTATGCAAATTTGTGTAATGGGCCTGTAATGAAACTGTCCACTTCAAGTCTTTCAAACAACCATCTTCAAAGCCAAGACCCCATATTTTTAAAGTGGTAATTATTATTATTATTATTATTATTATTATTATTATTATTATTTATTATTTATACCCTACCCATCTGGCTGGTTTTCCCCAGCCACTCTGGGTGGCTTCCAACAAAATATTAAAAATACAATAAAACATCAAACATTAAAAACTTCCCTAAACAGGGATGCCTTCAGATGTCTTCTAAAAGTCAGATAGTTGTTTATCTCCTTGACATCTGATGGCCCTCTGCCTGGTTCCCTGTAGCTTCACTTTTCGCAGTGAGGGAACCACCAGAAGGCCCTCGGTGCTTAGTGTCCGGGCTGAACGATTGGGGTGGAGACGCTCCTTCAGGTATACTGGCCCGAGGCCGTTTAGGGCTTTAAAGGTCAGCACCAACACTTTGAATTGTGCTCGGAAATGTACTGGGAGCCAATGTAGGTCCAGACCATTTCAATATAGGACCATCTAAAAAGCACTCATCTCTGGGTTTAGAAGACAGAACATACACATGAAAGCTACAGCACAAATCCAGGACTTCTGCCAGCCCATAATGGCCAAGAGTGGGTTAGGGCCGTCTCCAGACACTACTTAAAAACTGCTCAGTGGGCTTCAACAGGTGATGGAGCAATTCCTACAAGTGATGTGAACTCTCCATGGTGCTGACCACAAGCTGCTACCTGATAGACTTCCAATGCCCTTATAAAATGGGGGGGGGGGATATACTGGGTTGTTCTTGTGTTTATTATTAATTTTTTGTTTTAATGTTGTGATTTTATGTTGACAACCACCGTGAGACCTGTGGATATAGGGCAGTACATTGGTAGCTCGGTTTAAGGACAGTCCGGTTTAAGAATGATTTGGTTTATGAACTCCGCAAAACTGGAAATAGTGTCCCGGTTTGAGAACTTTACCTCAGTCTAAGAATGGAATCCGAACGGTGGAAGGTCACCAGCGGTGGGAGGCCTCATTAGGGAAAGTGCACCTCAGTTTAAGAACGGTTTCAGTTTAAGAATGGACTTCCAGACGGATTAAGTTCGTAAACTGAGGTACCACTGTATACAAATTTAATAAATAACAACAAGAACAACAACCAGATTAACCCTTCCCTGCTGCCCAACCATGCATTATGTTGGCTACATAACTGTGCCTTTAAGTTCAGGCCCAGATCCATGCTTGAACCCAAGTATGAGGAGTCCAATCCTGGCATCCAATGAAATGTAGGTGTGCTTACAGGGACCGTATATAGAAGAGGGTGAGTCAATGAAAACAGTAGTGGATGGAGACATTTGGTTAGACCCTTTTCCAGCTGCCATAGGAGACCCTGGTTGGGAACATACTGCGCTCTCAGCCCCTGGCTTACACTAATAGCATTTCACACTTGTTACTTTCCAGAAGACACTTTGAAACCACTGCACAATAAACATGGGGATTTGACCAGAGATGAAGAGTGCAGCAAGGCATGCTGAAACTCACACATCCATTAGCAGGAAAACCAGTAATATGCATCAAATAGGTCATGAGAAATACCGCTGTGAATTTTTTGTAGAGTGAGGGGGGAGGCCCATTGCATTTTCTCCATAACATTTCCCCTCAAAAATATTTAGGCATATTGTAGCTCAAACGCAATGATGGGGTGTGTGTGAAAGCATCAGATATATAGATATAGACATAATTGGCAAGCCTCAAAACATGCTCTCAGTGTGTAATATTAATAGCAAGTATTATGACACTGTTGCCATGACAGCCACCACAAGTTTAGTTTTTGGATGTCACCGTGGAATCAAACCCGAAAAACAGGCGCTTTGCTTGACATTCTTTATAAAGCGATATTCCAGTAGCACAATGTAGTGGATGTGGACAAGTAAAACTGGTAGTAGCTGGAGGAAAATAATTGTTTACCAAGAACAGAGACCAGCTTCCTTTTTAAATATCTGCCCAGCACCTTCTCCTTCAAAGGTTCAGAGGTTTGGTGGGTCTGCAAATCTCCAGTATGTGTGTATGTGTATGTTACAGGTAGGTAGCCGTGTTGGTCTGCCATAGTCGAAACAAAATAAAAAAATTCCTTCCAGTAGCACCTTAAGAGACCAACTAAGTTTCTTATTGGTATGAGCTTTCGTGTGCATGCACACTTCAGATACTTCAGATGTATGTGTATGTGTGTGTTGCTGGGGGGTGGGATTTGCTACAATTCCCAGAGTGGCTCAACCATCAATCCCTTTTCTTAGGGAACTCTGGGAACTGTAACTCTGCGAAAGGAAACAACTCTCAGCACACTTAACAAACCACAGTTCCCAGAATTATTATTTGGGGGGGGTGTATCAGTGGCTGTTTAAAGTGGTATCAAAGTGCTTTGTGGTGTGCATATAGGTTGCATGCAAAATGAACATTTTATGGGTGGATGCATTGAGCACTGTGCATAAAAGTATGCACTGAAGGAGCGTCTCCACCGCCATCGTTCTGCCCGGACGCTGAGGTCCAGCTCCGAGGGCCTTCTGGCAGTTCCCTCACTGCAAGAAGCTAAGTTACAGGGAACCAAGCAGAGGGCC